GTTCCAAAGATGGCGCGCGAATGATGTATGGAAGCCGGAAAAAAATTTTTGGGAGAAGCGTTGCAAAACTGGGGCTACAAACATTTCGGAACTTTAGGTAAAAATTTAAAGGCTAATGTTGTGTTCGTTGTTCTTTAAAAATAAAGAATTTAAGATTGGATCTGAAAACTTTCGGTAATTTAAAAAAATACATATTTTGACATTTATCGAGTGGTGAATCGCCATCAAAATTTGTACACCTGCGTCGGTTTTATATTTATTTAAAAATAATTATTATATATATATATATATATATATATATATATATATATATATATATATATATATATCAATATATATCAATACGTGAGAATATATATATATATATAGGAATTTCAAAAGCTCCTCCTCAGAACATTTCACTCAGATTTTAGGTTCTCTCGGGATGGACAAGGACGACATTATGGCAAGTTTCGATGTCAAATCCCTCTACCCGAGCATTCCAGTAGAAGAGGCACTCTTGCTTATAGAAGAAAACGAAGATCTTCCGCCGTACATAATAGATCTGTCAAGACATTGCCTGAAAAACGCTTACTTTATGTACAACGGGAAAATTTACCGACAAATAGATGGAGCAGCAATGGGATCATCTCTCTCACCTGTTATTGCCAACCTCTTCATGATTTACTTCGAAAAGAAAGCAATGGAGAAGGCAAATCTGAAGCCAAAACTATGTACAAGATACGTTGATGACGTATTTGTTGTATGGCCTTTTGGCAAGGAGGAGCTTTTGAAATTCCTAGATCATCTAGTGACTGGTTCAATCTGAACAACGCGAAAGTCACTGCTACTAACAAACCTAACAAAACTCTAACGAAATCTTAGAAATACGTTATAATTACACAAAGATTTCGTGCATGCATGATTTCCGCAATCGCAATACATCGCAAAATGGAAAAAAATCTCAATTGTCACCGTTTTCCCGTCTTCAGTGGCGCGTTTCAGAAAAAAAAAAAAACCCGAAACACTTGGCGAACTATATACCCTTAATTTCCGCTTCCAGCTGTTCTGCTCGATCCATCGCCCCGTTAATAATGCCTGCCCCGATCTTACACTACCGCGCAACATTATCCATTTATAAAAGTTTAAGCCTGCCCATTAGTTCCCATCCACCTTTGCTTGTGCAAGAAGCCGCGCGTTGGACAGGTGGAGATAATTACGTAAAAAGAACGCCTCACTGTAGTATCCCAACACGTACCCGAACTCACCGTTCGAAAATTGAGATTATCGAAAAATTCGCAGCCGCCAAACAACGAAATTAAGGGCTTTGGGTGGCCTTACTCTTCGAAAAAACAAATGACAATCAACGATTGATTTTGATGAGTTTTTGTACATTTTAGCGTACACAATTTATCCAGAAATTTTTCAAAAATACATAAAAAACATATACAACATACCGTGAGTTGTCTCAGTGTCAGTATTAAAATATATTAATTAGGTAAATAAATTAATTAATACATTTTCAAAATAAACTTTTTTTATTTTTAATTTCTGTTTCTTTTTTTTTTCCTTTATCAAATCAGATCGGATTTAGAAAACTTATTTACTTTAATAGTTAAACAAAATAAAAGAAAAGTTTTATGAGTACATTGTGTATGTTTTCTTATATACCTACCTCGCACAAGGGTGTCTCAAGGGGAACGTCGATCTTATATAGCAACTTTAACTAACATAAATTTGAACATTTTAGGTTATACTGTAATTGGTGTGACATTTTTGAAATATGGGCACTTGCATTTTACCCGTATTAAATTATTTATCTTTATGACTTTAATTACGTAATTTCATTTATAGAAAGGACGTTTAGTAAAAATTACTATGTAAACGAGAAATAATTTTAAATTTTTAAATTTATACTTTAAAAATCTAAATTAAAGGTTCCACCAGTAAAGTTCATTACATTTAAGTTAATTTACATTGGTTACGGTCCAACCAAATGTTACACCTATAGACGCCAATCTACAAACAATTTAAAAATATTTATTTAATTTTTTTTTAATTCTAATTTGTTCTAATTAATGCTTAAAACTTCAAGAAAACATGATTTTACAAATATTTCACGGATATCACAGATAACAAAGATTTCACTCATGGTTCACCACTCGGTATTACCCAAATATTGACCAGTATTTCTGTATATATCTCGTTTTTGTGTATGACCTTAAAAAAATGTTTTTTGATACATTTTTTTTAATTAATTTTGATGGTTTATGTAAGATATAGGGTACCAACTGATTTTAAAAAATACTTACATATTGCCTCGCCTATTGCTTCTCAATCACGTCTAAATGAAAAATTACTATAAACTTAAATTAAGTTTGCCATTTAAATAAATGACGTAACTTGTTTCTATCTTTCTCCGTTATTTTCTTAGATGCGATTCTTCTTATAAGACATCAAAATGAAAGCTTATTAAAAAGTAAGATAGCGTAAAAAGTTGAAAAACTTTCAAATTGAAATAATCTGAATTTTAAAAAACAAACGAGACACTAAATGTAATTTCTAAACAAACAACCATGGAAAAATTGTCGCTGAAAAATTGATCTCTCTAAAGAACAAATTTGTTTTTGGATTTTGTCAAATCATCTTTTCGATTGGCCACCATGTAGAATTTGTATAATTTCAAAATTAAAATTTTATGGAGAATTATAAAATGTAAAAAGTTATAAGGAAATTTCACTTAAAATAATATTGGTGCCAATTTTAAGATGTGACAAACAGAAACTTACATACCTTTATTATTGGAAATCGTATACATTTGTAGACGCGCAACCACGCAAATTGGACTTTATTAGAATAGCAGGTATTATACCGAGACACAAGTAATAAACGGAATGAACGGGATTCAATATTTTAACGTAGATAGAAAAATTATTGAAGTAAGTATTAGAAAAACAGTATTGTAGAGCAAAATTTGGTATGAAAGAGATATTTCCAAAAGCTTCTTAAAATTATAATCATGTACCTAAAAGAGCGGCCTTATAATAATAAAAATATCCCCCCCGTTTTTGGAACTTTGTGTCAACCACAGAAAGTGCCCCTTTCTGTCATGTCCTGGCGCCGATCCATACAAATCGCGTTAATATTTAAATAACCCTCGATGCCGGTCATTTCCGCTCATAAAATTAATAAAAGGGCACGGGTATAACAGAAAATGCGTTCACCGCAATCCAAGTTTAATGAAACCCTAACAGCATCGTCCCCTCCGGCTTTTTATTTTTTATATTTTACCCCTTCGTTTTTAATGCACGCAAAGTGGGAAACCTAACGTCGTTAAAAAAACAATGCCCATTAAAACGAGATTGGAAAACTTTGATGATGGCGCAAAAACTGAATTCAAGTATTTTATTACCTAATCACTTTACCCACAAGTTGAACTTGCCACTTTTAAACGGTAAAAAGCGATAAAATACAAAAATTTCATTCACTTTAAGACTATTAATATTCAAATTCAAAAAACGCATTTGGTTATTAGGATTTAATTGCTATCTAAAATTCAAGCCGTTTTGAATCAACAACGGACCAATTAATAATAATTGAGCTCTAATTAACATCACGTTCTTGTCAGTATCGGATATTCGCGGAGCCGCTCAAGTGTCATCGAAAAAGAATTATTCTAGACAGATTACAAGGTTTCTACCTCCATTTCTTAGTAATTTAATCATTTAGTACCTATGTCACTTATACGATATATAATAATAACCCAATAATTATAACAAAAGTAGAGAGAGCACAAGAAACAAAAAAAGGCTACAAGCCAGCGATATGTAAGGCTCCAAACGAACTCAAAAATGTCGTGTCGAAATCTAAGGCGATTCTGAAAACTTAAACGAATCGGAAACGGAAATTGAAAAATAAATCAGCCCCCTAATCCCTTACGATAAATAAGAAAAATCCGGGAGGAGATAAATGGCTCAGACAGCCTATTCTTCCCTCCAAGGTCCTACTCGGAAAGGATACCATAAATCTTCCTTATGAACAATATTGCATCCAACGAGACGCACAATAAAATTAAGATCGACATTTTTAATAAAAATTGAAAGAAAAGCGCCGATATATCAAAAAGAGCGAACCAGTTACGTAGTGGAGACATCGCACCGAATACGCCCAGAAACACCGAGGTTTCACGCAAAATTCTTAATGAAAACTTTCAATCTCTAACATCACAGCTGGTCGACAAGAAATTACTCACCAAATGTTATCTCCTTGTATCACAAACCGATATCCTCGAGACTTGGAAACGCCAAAATGACCGGACAAACACGATGGACAATCAACAACACTTCACATAGCCTACTCGATATGTAGACAAAGAACATCACATTTTTTCCACCCGGTTTCACGCACTTTCTCGCGATTCACGGTTCCGGCCCGTCTAACAATCAATGAGTCCCAATGTTTTTTCGTCCGTTTAACGCGAATCTGAATGCAGACTCCGTTTATTTGTTTATTTAACTGATAAAACTCGAGATAACAGCACCTATCCTGACAAGTACCATCCCGACGCCATGTTATATGTTGTTGAACGGCGCTGCCAATATCGCCACGTGAAAGTCACTGCTGCGCTGCACCTGAAAATATTTTCGCCCCATCGATTGGCCGCGCTCGTCTCCGGATCACTTTCCTTCTTTTTCCGACACCGCGGAAAGAGCGAGATCAACGCTGCCCAGAACAGTTGGAGTGAATTTTGTGAACAAGGCATTTAAATTTTCGGCTGTGTTAGAGGAGGTGTGTATTTATGTTAATTGGCTATTGTATTATTATTGCCCGTAAAAAATTACCATAACAATTATGGTAATCGAGTTTAATAATGCTGCTTTTGTTTTCCAGTGTCCAACGAGTTATGTTGCGGAGACCTATTACGCTCGATTTGATTTAACGTGCGTTACCTACTCGCATATTTATCAGGCCGCATTTTTTTGTTGAATTATGTGATTGTATGGAAGGGAGGAGTCTTCAAAGCCGTTTATTTAAAAATATTTATTACTCTTATTGTGTTAACAATTGTTTTTCTATTTCACTATCTTTGACTACAATAAAAAGTGAAGGGCTGCCACCTTTGATAAGAAACCTGAAAGAGAACAATAATAAATACAAAACTAATATATATATATATATATATATATATATATATATATATATATATATATATATATATATATATATATATATATATATATATATATATATATATATATATATTATTAGGCTTTAGTTACCTATCCTGCTTTAGCACATCTTTTAATAAACTGCCTGGGTTAATTTTAACTACTTTTCCTTTGCTGTCTTCATAATAGATGCTAAGGTTTTGCAAGGTGTATTTTTTTTCCTGATCCCATTCGGGACATTGTTCGAAAACTACACTCAAATGATCAACAATTCTAAGGAGAGGTAAAAAATAATCCATTATTCAATAATTGTTTTCAACAAATACCTGTGGTTTTCAGAAAACTCTTCAATGTAATCAATTACTTTATATTCTGGATAAACCAAAGCCACCGGCCAAATTAAAGAGTTGGTCCCTTCGTCCAAGTATACACGGTGATTCACAAGTTCCGGAAAACATGGTTCTAATTGACTCAGCTCAATTGTCCCTAGAAATTAAATTAAAACTTTGACTGCTAAAGTCCTATATATTTGTTTGAGATAAAAAAAAATAGCAATTCTTTTTGAAGATTGTAAGTCCAGTCTAGTCCAATGGCCTAACATACCTACCACTCTTGCCACCATCCAATTTATAACCTCTCTTCAATATTTCGTTTATTAGCTTCTCTTCCTTTTGTTTATCTTTCTTGAAAGCAGTTTCCTTTCGTCTTTGATCCCTCTCTTTGACCTTCAATAAATTTAAACACTTTTTTCTCAACTGCAGAATCTCCGTGTCACTTTTATCTACATTTAAAAGTTTGTCACAGAATTCAATGGCCTTGTTAAATTGTAATATTTCCAAACAACAATAAGCTGCCCGGTTTAGTGCCTTCTTGTAATCTGGCTTAACTTTTAAAGCCAACTCACAGTCTCTTAACGATGACCTGAAAAAGGTCACCCCACAACCAAGTCAATTATAACCTTAAAATCCATCACCTACCTATAGTTTTTTAAAAAGTAATGCGCGGCAGCTCTATTGTTATACAAAGTCGCTTCAATTTCTGCATCGCCACACTTTTGCTTAATTCCTTCCGTGTAAGCGACTATGGCGAGCCTATAGTTTTTATGTTTGAAATTAAAATTACCGTCCTCCTTATATGATATCGCCAATTCTAAAAAATTGCACCTATGTCCAAAGTTAGTAGGCTGCGTAAGGAATTACCGGGTGGTTCGTTCTCTTCAGGATCATATTTCAATTTCTGCAACCCTTCCATCAATGGATGCAATTTATCTCCGGGTTTGGGTGGTTCCTTCATGAAAAACGGATGCTTAGCCATTTCCTAGGTCATAAAATATAGTTAGACTTCCCCTAACATTTACTACTAGTTCCCATACTTCTTCCCATTCATCCTCACGCCAACCGTCCTCGTATTTTTTCCGAGGCAGATTTTGAATAAATTCATCCAAATCCGAGTCCAATTTTTTAGCCAGTTTTAATCGGTCTTCCTCCGTCATCGACGAATTTTCAGCCGAACTTTTCTTCATGTTAAACCACTAGGTAACAAAAAACACTTTTTTGTGGTCGAACCGAACTTAACCTCACTTTCATCTTTTTAAGGTTAGATAAACAGCTGATTGGATAAATTAACTTTTCTTCTTAAAAATACGTTTTAACGTAAGCCAATGATAATAATAACGAGGAAGATGTTTAATGTTTTAATTTAGTTCCTACTTTTAATACAATTTTAGATGTCCGGTAATTTTATCTAAAACACTTTTCGGGGCGGGTCCGATGGCGATAACGGTCCTTGTTCCTGGAAGCACTTGGGTTTGTCCCGCGTCCCTAATAATGCAGGACAGAACGTTCATTTCTTTAGCTTTCTTATCAAGTTCTAGCAGTTGTTCTTCGGAATCTACACGGACGGCAATTTTCGTTCCTCCTAAAACTACTTCCTCTAAAAAATTTACAGAATAACACTCACGCAGCTTACCGTTCCTCAACCAATTTCGCAACAGTTTAGGCGACGAACTCAACGTCTTCGCATAGGCGGCCATCGCCCCGTGGCCACATTGAGCAGCTACTTTACCCTTTTGCATTTTTAGATCGTTCCTCACTCCCAATATTAACCGGAACTCATCGGCGGTATCTTCGAACTAAAACGGGGCTGCGAACGATTATTTTCTAATAGTTTATTTATAAACCACTGGGTGTTTACCTGGTATCTTTCTTCCATCCCGTTCTGCCAAACCACATCTTTCTTGGGTTTAGGCACCCCGCGAAATTTGACAAGGAAATACGCAGATGTTGCTCCAACGAAAGCCCCCATACTAAATGCGGCTAAGTACGAATTACTAGCGATAATTCCCATGTTTCCCTTTTAGATCTTGTTAAACTATAATGTTAGGTTATATCACCGACCATGGAAATAATATTGATGTTGCAGTTTAGTTGTCAGTCCCGGGCGTCCTCCACCCTGAGACCACAATTAGGTTACCTACCAGCGTTTTTAGATTTCGTAATAGTCGTCGGAAAACACTTTTCAATGTGTTATTTCTCGTATGTGGTGACCATTTCTGGTAGTAGCTAGAGTGCTATCAGATCAAGACACCTTGGCGAGGTCCATAGAAGGACGTTATCTGGCCAGCGGTGAAAGCTGTTCGTTTCAAAATGTCGTCGAGTGGCTGGTTCAATCTGAACAATGCGAAAGCCACCGCTATACCAGATCAAGACCTAACCTAACCTATTCAGCCTTTCGGAGTCGAGTTTCAACTTTTCTATAATAGTTTAAAAAGCAATTTGTTAATTGATACACTAGTGTTTAGTTTTCTTTATAATAATTTGCTGTTGGACACTGATGAATCTCCAGACTATGAGAATGTATTGCTTTTTGTTAATTTGGCAGCTACAAGAAAACAAAAAACCTCCAAATAATCACTTTTTTCCACAAGCTGAACATTTATTCTAACTTAAATGTACTTTGCCTGTTTAGAAGTTTGTTTCGGCTCTTTTGAGATTACCCCCCAAACTTCATTTTTTAGTGCCGTGTTTTTCTTTAAATATTAGCTTTAGAATATTTTTTTCAACGCCATCGTGTAGCGGTATTTTCATATTTTCGTCATAAACTAGATTTTCATATGCACCCCAAGTTGTGGGACTGAGAGTCGATTTTCTCCATTTTAATTTACTTCTTGCAAGAGGAAAAAGAAATAGGTCGGAGAACATGTGTTGAAGTGTACTTGCGGGACAATTTTTATCTACCTAACGGAACGCAATTAAATTTTAACCTACCCAGTTGAATCTGAATGACCAGGGCGCACTAGAAACGACGTCCACCAAAATCTCAGTCTGCGAGGCAATCTGTCGGTTGTCAAATGGTGTCATTTTACATGAACCAAAAGGCGAGCGCACATTAGTCCCGAGAAAGTACAAAGGTCATTGCAAAAAAAAAAAAATTGAATTTATTATGTAAAATGCTGCGCATAATTCAACACGTATACAATCAATAAAAATATGTATTTTAATATTTTCCCCGTTGGGTTTACTCATATAAAAATCTTCCCAATTGTCTAATGACATACTTAAATGTCGCTCGCGTTCCCGCTTACATCTAACCGTCATCAGTCGCCAAAAACATTCTCTTGGATCACAAAACACTAACAGCGTACGGATCGACCTCCAAATTCTGCTTCAAGACGGCGCTCAACACCAACTCTACGTTACACACGACCTTCTGCTTCTCCTTTTTGTTTTTCAACAGGTCCGCAACGAGATGGAGGTCGTGTTTCGTTGTCAATATGAAATAACTCAACGGCGAATTCGAGTTGGTCACCTCAATCTGCGCCTTGGTCCTCCTTATCCGTTCGACCACGCCCCCGCAACACTCGATCAGCTCCGCGACGATTTTTTTGCTCGGAAACACACTCGGAGTGACCCAAAAGAATTTGCCCTCGAACAGTTTCTCTCTCTTGAAGCTCTGCAGGGTATTCTCGATGGTCACCTTGTACTTCTTGTTGAACTCTTCTGTGGGAAGATTGAACGTGATCTCGGGTAGGAACTCTTTGGCTGCATGACTCTGCTCGATCCACTTTTCCGAAACGACGTGTGCGTTCTTGCACACGGCGAACAGGAGCTTGTGCGAGCGCACAAGCCGGGGCATCACCAGGTGCGTGAAATCTTTGGTATCAGTCACGACGGTCCCGCCCAGCTCCCTGAAATGGATTCCGTTCGAGTTCGTTTTGGGAAGGATGAGGAGGGGGCGGCGACTCACTTGACTTTTCGGTGGAGTTCCCGCGCGCCCTCGCCGTCGAATTGTGAAAACAGAACCCGGTAGTCCGAGTTCGCGACCGCCTCGCTGATGTTGTCGTTCTCATCCGTACGCTCCGTTTTCAGTTTCTTTGGTTTCGGCAGCGCGACCGGCGAGGCGGACCTCTTCACGCGCTCGTACGATTCTTGCGAGATGTTTATTGGCGCCTTCCACGCGTCTATAAGTCGATGACGTCATATGTGAATGTCAAACGATCAAAAAAATACAACTGAACAACAGCCTTCATGTGTTTTACTGACTGGCAGAAATCCTTAGATCGACCAATTCCATTCAACATAATCAAAACAATTGAAAACATATACAGGCAAAATAACATACAAGCAAAACTAAATGGCGAACTAACTCAACAAATCCGAAATAGAGAAGTGAAAATTCTGTCTGACGCAGATGACACTGTTCTTGTGGCGCAGACGCAGAAAATTGTGATTGAGGACAAAATAAAACAATAAAAAATTAAATTCAATTATTTAGGAATTAAAATGTCTGGATATGGAGACGTTGACACCTAGAAGTAGACAGAAAGGAAAGAGAGGCAGAACCTCGATGGCGACAACTGGAGCCACAGAAAAGCAGAGCATAGTAAAACGAACAAAAACTGCATTTATTTTACCGCATAACACTTTGTTCGAGGTAAAAGTTTTTTTTATATTTCTTAAGAAGTTCTATACAGGCAGAAATACAGAGAATTGATGTAAAATCAGTTTCCTGGCCAGTTTTCAAAGAAAAAATAAATAAGATCCCAGACATAACTTTTAATTACCACCTGACTAAGGTATTATTAAGATGTGACACAAAACTGTCCTAAACTGACCAAAACTAACCTACTAATTAGAAATATCAAATCGTAGCAGGCACCACTCATTTTAGTTTTTACATAAACGATGTGATTCATTAGTGGACTACTCTGAATTCCTGAGGCAACTAAATTTTCATGTTCCTTCAAAGACTGCAAGGGCATCATCTGTGTTGCATCTAGTAACCCCAAAAAATAATTTTTTGATAAAAGGTCCGTGCGTTTTGTGTCTTGATGATTCACAGTTAACCACATTAATCAAATATAAATTTTTCTTACGACTTAGATAGGGGATTATGTGCTTTTAATGTTATTTTGCTGGAGATAATATACTTAAATAGTTATAGTTTCTAAACAGATGTATATATTGAGTAGAAAAATAATATTAATTTAGTTAGTTAAATACCCAGAAAAAAAGACAAAAAAATTTGGTATGTAATATGAAATACCCAATTCTTACAGCATCGGATATATTTTAAATTTTATTTCAAAAGTGACGATTGCAGGTCTAAACATATCTAGCAATTTCTTAAACGCCAAGCCTTTCTTATGTATTAATTATTTAGTTATATATTTGATATTAATTTCATTTTAGAAGGTAACCTGCTTTTTCTACTCCCTTCTGTAAAATACCTAATTATACACTGATCTAGCGTGAGGAAACTGTCATTTTACAATGTCACTGTCATTTCCTATGACTGCGAGCCGCTTTGGATATTTCCGAGAGCAATAGTTTGCCAAAGAGAATAGACAGATAGTTAGAGAATATAGTTAAATAGTTACAGTTTCTATATAGCGTCTTCTAAACAGATGCTAGATAATAATAATATATTATGCAACAAGTGTTGTAAAAGGTAGGAGTTTATTTGGCAAGAGCGGAGCCCAGCGGAGCGACTGTTTAATAAATGAGTGACTTAAGTTTCCTAAACGTGTTGCATACTATACTTTTTTTACGACCGTTAGTTTTTGGGTATATTTTTGTAAAACAACACGAATATATTCATATATTCATGACATGACTGTCAGAATTTGCAACCGTCAAAGGGGCTCGGATCCGAAACAAGTGACGCTTGCCGCACGCTAGATCGGTGTATAGTCAAATATTTTACAGAAAGGGGTATAACAAGTTTATTATGATTATTATTATTAAATATGTTGCAATTTAGATCTCACTCACGCATCATGTTGGGAACCAATTTGGGATCAAAGCTCATGTTGGGCGGACTCGAGTACGTCTGGTACGCCTGGTTCTCTGTCTGATTCAGGGCGGCAAAGTTCCCCAGAATCACGTCGGTGAGCCACTGGACGTTGACGACCGGTATACCCCACTTTTTCGCGTGAGTGAACTTCGTACCGTCCACCTTGGCACATATTAGCAGCGTATTGTGCTTGGAGAAATACGAGGTGCACTAAAAAGTATCAAATTATTTTTGCTGTTAACCATTTATAGAATTTTTTTCATTTAATCGAAGAATTAATCTTACTTTCGCCCCCGTATATTGTATCATCTGCTTAATCATGTTCCGGATGTTGCCCTCAAATCCGCTGATCGAGATCAAATGTTTCGAAGCGGGTCGAATATCGAAATAGATTTGAGGCAGGTGCAGGGCTGTCCACGGCGGCAGCACCTGCTTTCGTTTGATGACGTCGCTCAGCCACCGCACCGTCACGCAACGTTTGCAATCCCTAAGGGCCTGCATCACGACGCCGTGGCGCTGAGTTTCACAGAGCACGTGGGTCACTTTGCTCCCATATTGTTTCTCCACTTCCCCTGCGGACAGGGTGGTGAAGAGAGGTCTGTTAGGCGCGCTTCACTTTGTATCTGGGCAGTCAATAGAGGCAATATCTGTGACGAAAACGCTGATCGCGGCCCTCAATCGTCAGATAAAATGAAAAAAAAAAAGTGCAGCAGAAACTGAGAGCTAAATAGGAGAAGCATGGATAATGTTGAGTATCAAAATTTCTGGTCCTACCTAAAAATTTGAATGTTTCCAATACAAATCATTCTAATCAACATTAGTATTTCTTCCAGGTCCACAGCTCTTATTATCAATTTGCATATATTTGTTTTGGTACATCTTTTAAAACGATCTATCCACCAATAAATATTTTTGGATTTTGCACGTTAACCCCAGTCAGACACTAAATAATTTCTTTGCAGAAAAAAAATATAATTTTCTTTGAGATTTTGCTGTATCTTTTGTGGTACTCTGAAAACGCGTCAAATGCATAAATCAGACTGAACAATATTGTACTAGATAGTTTCACAAACATGTCAAGACTTGTCTGGCACGAAGAACATTGCCTATAAGGTAATTATAGCACAATACTACTGATACTATTATGGTAACCAAATTTGAACTCCCTTATACTCCTTTTAATATCCCGCCACATCGGATGCCAAAAAAGTCAAAACTCAGAAACGTACCTCCATATTTCTCGATTTTTTGCTGCCAACCAGGCAGTCGCTCCTCCAAAAAATCTTCAATCTCCACCACAACAAATATACACCCTAGCAGAAACAAGTCGGGAGGCACTGTAAAAGAAAATCGCAGCTGCAGTAAGGAGTTAAACATGGCATCGGAAGGGATACAGGAGGCGTGGCTTACGTTTCAAATTAGGATTATGCCCGTAGAAAGGTCCGACACGATGCTGCACCGGCAACGGCGGTTTCTGCGAGTACTGCAACTTGGGAGGTTCGTTCGGAGGCGTGGAAGGCAACTGAGGAACCGGAGTCTTAATTATTTCTCCGTTGGGCCCGTTGATTACCCGCCGCTGCTGCAACGCTATAATTTCCTGGGGCTTCGAGTTGATGGCCGCATTGTGTTGGGCCGTCATCATCCTATTTAGAAAAAACGGCAGTCATATCCGCCCCAACCCGCCTATCCTAAGGGCGCCTAACCTCAAAGTCCCTGCCGCTGATGGTTCGGGTATGGTTTCCTGGCGGGGCCCGCCTATGGTTCCACCACTCTGCAGCTTTATGCTGAGCATATTTGCTAAAGCGGTCTTAGTCTTGGGATTGACTTGGACTTGGGCAGGACTGGTGGTCGAATCCGCGGACGGCGGCTGATTCGGCGGTCTTACCGCCGCTTGTTGTGGTATCGCCCCTAAAACGCCCAGTTCACTGCACCATGCGCACTATTTCTTTAAGTTTCGGTGTTTTTACTTTTTAACTTTACTTTGGCAAGAAAATAAGGTCTTACAAGATTCACCCACCCACCGACAACTAAAATAGTCACCTTGCTGAGTCAGATGCGTTTTCTGCGCCTGTTCCCGTTGCAGCTGCAGCTGTTGCAGTCTGTACTGCCGCAACTGCAGCTGGTGCTGTTGTTGCTGGTTCTGGTCAACGAATTGTTGCCCAGCGGTAGGACCTTGGTTGATTGGACTTAGGCCAGGGGTGTGCTGAACATTTGCTGGGGGCGGATTTTGCTGGGTGATGGTGCCTGGCGTGATGTTCTGCTGGATATTCGGCGGTAACACGATGCCTTGCTGTTTGGCCTGTTGCTGGAGCCACTGAACTTGTTGCTGGGTCGTCAGACCTGGGGGCACATTGCCTCTGATCAATATGTGACCGCTTCCCCTCTGCTGCATCTGTTTCGCCAGCTGCAGTTGCCTTTGTTTCTGCAGTCGTGCGACGAACAGGGCCTGTTGCTCGGGCGGCATTTTCTGTAATTGGTTGTGGGTGTGGGCGTCGAGCTGTATAAATTGCCGCTGGGGAATGCCCTGCTGCTGACCCGGGGGCCACTGGACCCGAGGTCCGGTTCCCGTGGGAGACTGCTGAACCACGCCCACAGGGCGGTGAATCGCTTGTTGGCCTTTATTTCATTAAATACATTATCCACAAATTATTATTATTTATTTAAAAATTCAATTTTGGGGAATGAATAGTCATTTCTTTTCTGGTGCACCTCGTAAAATTTTGCCGTCTGCTGGTATCGCGAATAATAGCTCACAGTTTTTAACACAATGACAAAATTGCAAATTTTTGTTGACCTTGTTGACTCGCAAATATGTTTTTTGTTACCAGCGCTTTTTGTTGATTGGTTTAAACTACACTTGCTTGTATTTTTTTACTGATCCTCCTGCATATAATAGCTATAATGACTCCTAAGAATATTTTTTCACTTATGTAATTGTTTATAGTCCAGACTACATTTTTGCAAAATTTCATATTTGTTTTATAAATAGATATAATAGACCCGTCATTTGAAATTTAAGCGAATATAAAATAATAATCAGGCAAATCTACAATTTTATTTTTCCCCGTTTTTTTCGTTCAGTTCTTTGTTTAACTAGACTATTTGGAAATCTTCTACTTTAATTGTCACCTTACCTTGAAGCTGACCCTGCTGCTGCTGTTGCTGACCTTGCGCCCATAATTGCTGATTGATCTGAGGCCTCTGCTGCTGCTGATTGGCCAACACTTGCTGATTGATCATGTTGCCCTGTTGGAATTGCGACCTAACCACCTGCTGATTTAACTGAGGATTTATCTGCTGCTGCTGATTGGGCAGACCCCCATTTAACTGCTGCTGCTGCTGCTGTTGTTGTTGCTGCACCAACCCCTGGTCGAGACCTAATTGTTGACCAATACTAGTTGGACTCATGTTACTCTGCTGAAGGTTCTGCTGATGCAGCTGCTGCTGGTTAAGCTGTTGTCCCAGATTTTGAGTATTCAGTTGCTGATTCAACACTTGGACATTCATCTGATTGAGCGATTGTTGGTTCATTTGCGGCAGCGGTGTTTTTTGTTGCTGTATCGCTTCAATTGGCTGCTGATTAAAGCCCTGACCAACGAATGGGGGTTGCTGCGATTGGATACCGCCTGCCAAATTCGGGTTCTGTAAGATTTGCTGTTGTTGCTGGGACGTTACCATCTGCTGTTGGCTGAATAACGGCTTCTGTTGTAGCAAATGCTGCCCGAAATTTTGGTTCGGGTTAACATTTTGCTGCTGAAGGGTTCTGTTCTGCATGGACAACTGGTTCGCCTGATTCAATTTCATTTGCATCTGGTTTTGAGCTCTAACCTGTTGGTTTTGGTTAACTATTTGTTGATTTTGATTAAGTAACTGTTGTTGCTCCCGTTTCAACTGCTGCAACTGTTGAATTTGTTGATTATTCAACTGGCCTAGATGTTGAGTTTGAATAAGGCCCTGCTGCGGCTGCTGCCCGCTCAAAAGCTGCTGACTCTGACTTGTTTGATTCAAAATCTGTTGTCCTTGCTGATTTACCAACTGGCTAGTCGGGTTCATAATCTGATTCTGCTGATTCATCAATGGCCCTTGGCTTTGCTGTTGCACCATCAATTGATTTTGCTGGTTGATTAAAATATTTTGATTCTGTTGATTAAGTAACTGGTCATGTCCCTGCTGACTTTGCTGGGTAATCAATTGATTTGAAATTAGCTGTTCTTGGGGCTGTTGCTGCCCCTGTTGGGCGACCAAGTTATTTGGATTCTGCTGCTGAAGCAGAACATTATTCTGATCTCTGTCTTGGGTCAATAGCTGAATCTGTTCTTGTTGCTGATTCACTAATTGGTTTTGATTTTGTTGGTTGATTGGCTGTCCCTGCACTTGCTGATTAAGCAATTGGTTCTGAAGATGCTGCTGATTCAACAACTGGTTTTGACTTTGTTGAGCCAATAGTCCTCCCTGGTTTTGCTGACTGATTACTTGATTCTGCTGTTGTTGATTTAACAACTGATTTTGCCTTTGCTGTTGGCTGATCAACTGTCTCTGCTGCTGGGTCATAATAGGACTTTGAGGTTGGTTAATTAGCTGGCTTTGACTTTGTTGATTATTCATCATTTGATTTTGATTCTGCTGCTGGTTTGACAACTGATTCTGGGTCTGTTGAGCCATCAACTGACTTGGATTTGGTTGTTGGCTTGGTTGCTGTTGACCAACCATCTGACCTTGGGGCAGCTGGCCAATGAGCTGATTTTGTGCTTGTTGATTAATAATCTGGTTCTGCTGAATTACTGCCTGATTTTGTTGAATAAGCTGAGTGTGCTGTGTTATTAATTGGTTAGAATTCTGTTGTTGGTTTAACAACTGTTGTTGGTTCTGCATTAATTGCAAATTCCTTTGAGCTAGTTGCTGCTGCATAAGCTGTTGCTGTTGTTGAATGGTAAGCTGACGTCCAGAAGCTCTTTGCACATTTTGCTGATTTTGCTGTATTCTTTGCTGTAACAGTTGTTGGTGAATCTGACTTGTGTTTAATTGACCTCTAAGCTGTTGAAGATTGGCTCTGTTGGCTTGTGGGGTTCCAACAAGGCGGTCAATGTGAAGAGGATTTTGCTGTGTAATAGTTTGAGATTGATTTGGAGTATGATGCACAATAGACTTTGGGACCTGGGAGGGGGACATAGAACTAACATTTGCAAAGCTAGTGGATGCTGACAGTTCAGCTTGATTTGTTGCTGATGATATCAACCCTTGAGGTCTAACAGATTGAAGATTTTGATTGCTAAGCTGCATTTTATTAAGGAAGCTGGGAGCTACCACATTTGGAGGTGCAACTGGATCAGAGCAAGAAGTTGTCTGAATCGTTGAAGATGAACCAGGCTGATTCCAAGGCATTCTCTGTTTTAATTTTTCTAAAAGTGCTTGTGTTGATTCTGAAACATCTTTTTCTTCTGGTTTCTTCTCAGACATGTCAGGTTCAAATCCAGTTATGGCAGTTGTACTTTCATGTGGTTTTGGCGGGGGTGGCCAAGCTATTAATTTTGGATGAAATAGAATGGGATCCGCCATAGCATTATTTTTAATTGATTCTACAATCCAGTCAGGGGTCACTATTGAAATTCCAGTTGATTCAGCTTTTAAATATTTTGGAGAGTCAGTGATTCCTGTCACTAAATAATTACACTGTTCACTAAGACGATTGTGTACAAACCCGCCATTATATGTAATAAGAGCCCAAAGTGAGTTGCGATCTTCTACTTGTGAAAAAGAAAATACCAAGTTTGTGAAAAGTCTAGGAGTTGTGGGATACAAATACGGTTTAATTTCTACACGTTTTCTCAAACGAGCGCACATTAAAATCCATTTGGGTAAAACTGCAGGTATCTCATAGAGATCATTGGCATCCGCAATATCATTCTCTTCAACATTGTGACCGACAATTAAATGGGTTACATAGTCGGAGAGATAGTTCATGTGCTTGGCACCACCAGTTCTCAGCAAATTATCGATCTAAAATACAAAATTTATATAGAATTTTTGCAATTCTCACGACTTTAGTAAGGCCACCTTTTCGTGTATTTCTCCGCTTATGAAGTATTTAATATCTTTAAATATTTCGTCCGTAATTTCTATATCCAAGAATTCGTCGCCGAATTCTGCCATTTTGTCAGAAATTTTATTAAATTTACGTTTGAAATTGTTTACAACTCCATCATGTTGACACGTTACTGAAGTTAGCGGCGAAATCAGCCCGCCTTGACATTTAGTTTTGGTAACTGTATAAAACTAAAATTCCCGGTTGGGTGATACGCTAATTTTCGAATAAGATTTTTTAATATTGAACCTATGACGAATTTTTCCTAGGTTCTTACAAATATTGTAATTATGGACTATTATTTCAGATTGATTAATTTAGGTTTCGTAAAGGAATCGCTTCGAACTCTTTTTGACCAGGGGGTTATTTGCTTTTCAGTAATTGGCGGCACTTGTTCTCTCCGCGGCAAGTCGGCCAAAAAGTACAGTTAATGTCGGACGGTCTCCTTTTAATATCCAAAAATATCCGAGCCATCCCGTAGCTTTTAGTTAATAAAATTAATTAAAGTGAATTCAAAAACTCATCCCAATGGCGGAAGCGGATAAATTAAACATCGATAGCATTATTGCTCGGTTACTCGAAGGTAATTTCGCGAAGGTCATCGGATTCTTGTTGACAAAAATAATGGCGTCTTGGAATACGCCTTGGAAGTGTCAAAGTTGTTAATAAATTCGCGATTTTTAGTGCGGGGAGCGAGACCAGGAAAAAATGTTCAGTTGACGGAGAACGAAATACGAGGATTGTGTTTAAAATCCAGGGAAATCTTCCTTAGTCAGCCGATATTGCTGGAATTAGAGGCCCCTTTAAAAATTTGCGGTAAGAAATAACTACTTTCTTGTCTAGTAAACTTGGCTAATAGGTATATCCCTGATTTAAATATCGAAGTGCCGAACGTTTTGGCTGCAGGTTTAACTATTTTCCGGTCGGGTCATATAAAAATAGCTAAAAACGCGTTGTGAAAATAGTAAGGTGAAGAATTTCAGTCAAGTTTCCATTTTGAGCGGCACATAAAAAACTGTTTGTTGACGGCAATCAATCCTTGAATAACTCGGGAAAAAAAAAGAACTTTAAGATAAATATTATTGATTTTGCTGCTGTTTATGTAATGTTCTGATTTCCGTCGAACTTCAAATTCTCGCAAAAAGGTTTTATTAGTAAAAATTCGTCAATATAAATTTGTTCCTGCGATAAATTTTTATTTTACGATGGTAGTAAATTAAGGGAGTGATTCAGCAGTGATGTAAATAGATAGCAGGTAACTTATTTACTTGGGATTATTGAGATAAAGTCCTCAAAATAAACGACATTCTGTGTAGAAAAAGTTTATTTTGGGTTTATTCCTAATGCTATAAAATGTAATATTTATACTTATTTTGCGCTTGAATAATAAACATTTACAGGATAATGCGGTTTTTGCCCTTGTTTATGTGTTTCGCGTTAAACAAACTTTGAACTTGTTTTATGTACCACGTCAATATTATGTTAACATGCATACTAATTAATCTATACATGTTTTTTCATCAGCAGAGTTATTATTGTCCACACCCTGTGTGGCGAATTAATTTCATTGGGTGGAGTTTGGTTCTACTTTCTCTTTTCGATAGGATAATAATAGAGCTAGGGGATTTTTTATTGTTTCATTAATTAAACTCGTCTGGTTCGCAGGTGACATTCACGGTCAGTACTATGACCTGCTGCGTCTTTTCGAATATGGTGGCTTCCCTCCTGAATCCAACTACTTGTTTTTGGGTGATTACGTGGATCGTGGCAAACAGTCGTTGGAGACGATCTGTCTGTTGCTCGCGTACAAAATTAAATATCCTGAAAATTTCTTCCTGCTACGCGGCAATCACGAGTGTGCGTCCATTAACAGAATTTACGGATTCTATGACGAGTGCAAAAGACGGTTAGTCGTCCCCCGCCCTTGTATACAGGGTGTCCAAAAAGTGTGGAAACTTTTGTTTTTTTCAACGTTAATCTTTCAGGTATAACATAAAACTATGGAAAACTTTTACGGACTGTTTCAATTGCTTGCCAGTGGCGGCCATTGTGGACGAGAAGATATTCTGTTGTCACGGAGGTGAGGTAAGAGCATGGGTCTGAGCTTCTTGGGTAACAGTGGATGTTTGCGGTTAGGTTTGAGTCCAGATCTTCAATCCATGGAGCAGATCAGGAGAATAATGCGGCCGACAGATGTGCCGGATCAGGGTCTGCTTTGCGACCTGCTCTGGTCTGATCCTGACAAAGACCAAATGGGGTGGGGCGAGAACGACAGGGGCGTGAGTTTCACGTTTGGGGCCGAGGTGAGTGAGAAAGTTGTTTTTATTTTGTCACTTATCGTCCGAAACACAAAGTAATAGAGACACGAAGACAAGACAAGAACAAATTTAATAAGGTACATGTAAAAATAATTTCCACTAATAACAATTATAACAAATACAAAAGTAACCAGCAATTAATAGTAAGGCGAAGGTGGTATTGGGGCTGGTCAATTGACCACTTTTTAATTGACTAGTCAAATTTGATCGTTTTTTTTAATGACATCTTGCTTCTACAATTGCTAACAATCATAATATCTATTTTATAATACATTATTTTGCGTTTGTGATGTTCAATTTACCTATAATCCTCTTCAAGGAATACCCCAAAAACAATACTTTGCAAAAAAATATCGACTCCATTTAGTTCTCAGAATTTGACCTGTAATAAATAAATATATAAAAAAACTTAAACGTCAAAGATAAAAAAGGAGACGAATTTCAGAAAAGATTCCATTTTAATTTCCATCTATTTCAGTTTTAAAATCAATACTGGAGGATGTGTTGATAATTTTTTTTGGCACATTTTGACCTACCCCTAAGGCGCGATGCGAGTTTCAGTCAATGGTTTTCTTGTTACATTTGAACTACCACTTCCTTATATTTATATATGTATATATTTATGTCACTGTTATTTTATTATTTTATTGCAAGTTACCTATAATTTGGTCAACTGGACCGGTGACTTTTGGGTAGGTGTATTCCTTTGATGAGATATTCCATATCGAAATTGAGTTCCAAAAAATAACAACAAAATTTGGCATACATGTAACGGAATCGGCGGCATCAAGCTCTCCAATTTCTGCATTTCCTCAGAGAAATAAATATACCTATTCAATTTCATACGTTAAGGAAATGCAGAACATTTTACACTACAAATTTAAACTTTAACAAGTAACACTGTAAAAGTATTTTTTGCGAAGCCAATGACGTATGGTTCAGCAATCTTTTGAGAGACACAATTTTTAAGTTTGATCTACTTATTTTTTATCCATTTATGTCAGTGGAACGTGAAAATTCAGCAAAAACTACAAATCGCAAAACCTTAATGAGCCAATGACACATTAAACCAGAATATTATGTTTCAAATACCACGAAAGCCATGGTTAGAATGTTGGAAAAAAACATGGCTATAATTATGGTTACCAATTGTAATTGTGTTTTTTTTTGTTTTACAATTTTTTCATTGATATTTGAATGTGATATGTAGCATGAACAAATTTCTGGTGTTCGATCGCAGGTCGTCGGCAAGTTCCTCCACAAACACGACTTTGACCTGATATGCCGCGCGCATCAGGTCGTAGAAGATGGCTACGAGTTTTTCGCGAAGAGACAATTGGTGACGCTATTCAGTGCGCCGAATTATTGTGGTAAGTGAAATCCCCTCCCTGTTCCCGCCACCGTGTCTTCAAAAGTGGTCGAAATAAATAAGAACTAAAAGTTCAGATTGTCCCGAAATTATATGTTATGACATGACAATTGTTTCGACAACACCGTGTCTTTATCAAATTTAATATTTACAAACTACCTGCTACTATATATACCGAAAAATGACAATAAAACCTTAATTAATGTTGTTTTGAGAATTTAAGTTCAATAAGGGAGAGGTATTTAAATCTAATTGATCGTTAAGCAATACATTTGCATGTCTAAGGTAAGGTTTTTCCCAAATGCATAAAATTGAAAACCAACAACAGAAGTGTCGCTGCAAAGAAAGCCCAGATCCAAGGCCAGATGTGGTTTAAAAATAGCTTTCAGAACTAACAATACAATAGGAAAATATTTAAAAAATAATAAAACGAAATGTCCAAAATCCCAAAAATCAGGTGTCTACAGGTTAAAATGTGGATCTTGTCCTAAAATTTATATTGGACAAACAGGTAGATCCTTCGCATTAACGAACATAAAAGAGCGTTTAAAAACAGTAACTTAGATTCTAATTTTGCTACTACACACTTAAACACAGAAAAACACATTTTTGACGACAATTTTGATATTTTACATACAGCCACAAAAAGTAGAAAATTAAATTTATTGGAAGCCATGTAGATTAACAAAATGAGACATTCAAATGTATTGCTTAACGTGAAAATCTGAACTTTTAGTTCTTATTTATTTTGATAAATGGATTTTCATCAAGTAAAAGCCACCTCAGTTCAATTTTCAAAAGTGGTCCCGGTGTATTATTATCTTTTTGCCCTTGGGTGAGAGGCGTTTTAACTGAAACAACAAATTTAGGCGAGTTTGATAACGCGGGCGCAATGATGTCCGTCGACGAGACGCTGATGTGCAGTTTTCAAATATTGAAGCCGGCCGACAAGAGGAAATTCCAGTACAACATGAACGCGGGCCGACCCGTGACACCGCCCAGGGGGGCCACCAACAAGAACAAAAAGAAGTGAACTAATTTATTGATAAGCCTAGGTTTAGCGTCATCATGAATGTTTTCCCACCCTCCTCTCATCCTTGTCCCTGTCCCCGTCCTCATATACATGTACCGCAAAAGTAATCGGAAGATCCGTTCATCCTAGGTTAAGTACAAATCAAATGTAAGAGAAATCAGGTTAATTCGTTGTATATCCGGTCTATCAGATAACACTAGTACGTAAAAATGTCGTGGGGTGCCGTTTCGCCGTATTTTTTGGTGGGGCGTAGAGTTTTACCGAACATTATATGTACATTTTAGCAGAAATAAAATGAAACGGCAAAAAAATCTATTTGCGAAACTTTTAGAAAGCAAAAAAAAAAGAATTGAAGTCAAAAAGAATTGAAGTCGCACCGCGCCGCGCTATATTTATTACTTTCGTATTCCTCACTTTTCTTTTAATATTTTTTTTTTCATTAATCCGACTTTTGTATAAAATGTATTTTTATATGTGTATAAACTTCGCAAAAATCTCTAATTGTTTGGTCCCCCGCCAGTTGAAAATGTTCATCTTAAATTGATTTTTTTTTTGTATCAATGCGTACATGGTTTTTGGATCTGCGTCGTTATTTTATGTCAACAATAAAATTTTTATTTGAAGAACGACTTTGCTGTTCCCTCCGGCGAACGTCATAAGACTTGCGTTTACGTTAACGGTGTGCTGCGCTTGTCAATGGCGTCGCCCAAAATCAAACGTCGCAATAATTTACTGCAGTTTCAAAATTTCTCTCGGCTAACAAAGTTTGGGTTGGGAAACACGTTAGGTCCTTGGAGTATTGTGGTCTGGGGTTAGTTCCACTAAAATGCACACAGAGCTTTAAAAAGTCCTATTTGTTTACAGCGTTAGGAACATTCCCTATTTATTTGCGGTATTTGGGACGGGAGTGGTGTAAGAAAAATAAGTTTTCCGTTTCATTGAAATTCGCATTACATTACTCCCTGAGAGTTACGTCTTACATACGTACGATAGAGTAACAAGCCAAATTTTCTACACTGCCATTTTAAAAGAAACGTCAAAGTTAAAAACAAGGATTAAAAATTATAATGGCGTCGTCAGTTTGTCCGTGACAAGCCTAATAACCAAAACAACAATAATATTCGGGTAGTATTATCAAAAAATATGACATGTAGAGTGTGAAAAAGCGAAAGAGAGATCACGAAAATGGCAACCGGACCGGAATCTCAGTCGCCCGACGGCGCGTGGACCGATTTTTGCGAGAGGCACGCCATGGCTGCAGCCCATGATTTTTCGAAAAGTTGCGTTCAGTATATAAACATGAGCTTGCCAGAGAGTTCGAAATCTTTGGTGACTGCGAAGGATTTACTGAAGAGATTCTTCGATTGCTTTACCGAGGAATTTGAGAAGGATTTTAATAAAAGAAAACTCCAAATCAACAAGGTTTCTAACGGAGTGTCTTCAGCTAGCGAAGACACTTTCGAAACTGAAGAGAGCTCCCCAAAAATGCAACATAAGCCGTTCTTTCGAAGGTCAGAATACAGCCAAAATACTTCGCGTTTAAGATTAGGTTGAGTTAAGCTTTTTGGAGCTATTTGTTTATTTTTGAAGGTTAAGTTTCAAGATGCTGCGGAAAAGCAAAGATCTGTTCCATAAGCACTCAGACGACGAATCCTCGTCATCTTACAACAAAACCAAGCTTGCCAAAATTGTAGTGGAGTGCAGGAAGGAGGGAATAGTCAATTATTCCACACCAGAGTGCTTGGATCAACCTTCAGGACCTCCCAAATGGGAGAAATGTAGGCTACAGCTGGTAAAGGCTACCGGCGGTTATATGCTCGAATTTTACTCTCCACCTAAGAATCCTAAGGTTAGGTTTCCATTTTATCTCAGTGCCAAAGGATCATTTAGTATAATTTTTAGCCTCGATGTGGGGTGTTTTGCGCGCTCATTACTGAAGCCCGTGAGACGACGGCGTTAGAAATGCCAGACCATGAAAACACATTTGTCTTAAAAGCCAGTAACAATATGGAGTTTGTTATAGAAGCCCATGACACAGATGACATGCGATCATGGCTTGCTACAATAAGGTAGGTCTTCATATGCTAGCTTCATTCAATCAGACAAATTCGCGTCCATTTACAAATTTGTTTCTGTGCATGGTTAGTTTTCAACCTTTTGGAACCTAGTTGTTGTCGATAAAGTTATCTGGCATACAAGTGGAATTTTAATTGGCTACATCAAAAGAAAAAGGGCCACAACAGTTTGTTTTATTTTTGATAATTGGAGTTTATAAAGTTAAACACAGCTATTTTAGGTGACAGAATTTAATTGGCCCGGTAAGTTTCAATTTTTAAAAAATTAAAAATAAATTAGATTTTTTCGTTTCTAAAATGACGTTTGAAAAGAATAAGCTCATCTAGTAGTGATGAGGTCTTTTAGAACCGCATAAATTAAGACCTAAAAGTTATTTATTCTACAGTATAGTGAAGCCTTGGGGGCAATCGACCACTTTTTATTTGACCAGTCAAAATGTTTTAAATAGCAGGTTGCAATAGGAGAGTGTTATCTCTCATTATTTAATAACAATATGTATTTTATTTTTTTATTTACCTATAACCCTCTTCAAATACAGAAATACAAATTATGGTTTTATTTTTATGCAATTCTTAAAAAGACCTGGGTCTTTAATATATTTATAATGAGATAAGCAAGACGTTTCGACACACACAAGTCCAAAATTTTTAAAACGGTAATAAATTTATTTCAAATTGATTTGTGTTACATATGGAGCAAATCTGATCAGGTTTAATGAAATAAGTGCAGCCGTTATAGGAGAATTTCAGAAAAATGTTATTGCTCAATCTTAATTGTACAATAATTATTAAAGTGGCCATTGACAATTGGCATTTTAAATTAAACATTGTTGGAGGCCAAGAATCTATTCTAAATTTTACCTTTGAAGAAGTTTAACATTTTTTCCGCTGAAGGTCTGATGGTATTCTAAGATTGCCACTAGCTTCAGCATATTCTCCCATGTCTAAATAAATACTTTACCAAGTTAAGTATTCCAAGGTGCTGTAATGTCTCACATAGTGTCTCTACAAAATCCTTTTCGTAAAGACTCTTAGTCAGTCGCGTAAAAGTTATTTCATTCTCGAATATCCTGAGACACACCCACTGATACTAATCTATAATTCAAGTGTACTACTCTGGAAATGAAAACACTAAAAAATACTGAATTATTAGTTAATAACTAAAAAAATATTGCATTTAGTTAGTACATTATACAATCATAATAAACCTACTTTCCAGATTGTTCATGTTAAAAATACTGTAAGTCAGAAATCTGATTGATGTTGACATCGATTAGCTGATTCGGTAATCGGAAAACGAGGCACATTTGCAATAAAGAAAGCTAGATTTTCTGACGCCTGCGCGGATTATTTTGAATTTCATAAAAAAAAAACAAAAAGAACTAATTTTTTCAAATACAATCAATATTCAAATCAAGAAACTTGTGTACTCTCTACGGAGGTTCCATTCACTTTAATAAATCATAATCCACACTAACATTTGCGTCTTTTTTTAATTAAGAAAAAGACTATTATTGACACAGTAATTACAGAAATTTTGGGAGACCTTCCCAGAATCTCCACTTACATATAATCTATTTGATAGCTGTGGTTTAGCGTGTTGAACTCTGTACCTAAATCATAAATTAAACCTACATAATGTTCCTTCCCATTAAGAGCAAAATAAACGAATTGAAAACAGTTTGCCATGCATCATTCGCTTTAATTCATCGAAAAAAAAAAAGGTTTTATTTTTTAAGGTATTGCATGAGATTAGGTCCTGGTGGTAACGAATTGGGCGTGGCGAATAACGATTATCATTCCAACGCGCCGGACTTACCCCCGCGGCATTTATCGGGCAGGGGCGGAGATAGGCTGTCTTCCAGTTCAAACTTTGATATTTGTCCAAATAATGGCGACGCGGTCGCCGCAGAACTCGACATCGGGCAGACTTTGAAAAAGGAGTTATGGTTCCACGGCACTTTGGGTAGGTCGGAGGCCGCGCAGCAGGTTCTGCACGACGGCGCAGTCGGTCACGGTCGGTTTTTGATCAGACAGAGCGAGACGAGGACCGGAGAGTTTGTTCTTACTTTTAACTTCCAGGCAAGTGACTACTGTTTAGTGTCATCCCAACTAACATTTTTCGCAGCTTAAGGTTTTATTAGAAATTTGTTTTATAAAAAACCTTAGCTTTTATAACAATGGTTATATTTTTATGAGAAAGCCATCGTGTATCACAAATTTCGGAAGAAGAGCAATAAATACCAAAACACTTAAGTTTTATAATGTTGCTTCCAAAGCGTTTCCGTTACTCTATCTACAAAAACTTTCGTGTTGGTTACCCCAGGATTGTTTAAAAAGTTTGATATAGTTCTTAAAAACCTTATTATAAAATAGTCTTGTAACCCTCATAAATCGTGAAGCACCTTATAAATATTCTACAGTTATTATGACACAAAGAATTTTATAAAAGTTACAGCCCATTAAGAAAGTATTTCGTATGGAAGAAACTCGATATGTTTTTGAATTCATATTGTTTAATAATTATTTTTATAAAGACGTTCCAAGTTAGACAAAATTGGTAAAACATTAAATATAGTTATTTATAGCTTTGATTCATTTGAAATACAATTATCCTTGATTTCATGCATTGCTGCTGATCAGCTTGCTTCCATTTTTAATTCTTTTGGGGGGCAACAACAGCACATCCGCTGGACTCCCACACTGTTGTAGAGTCCGTGAAAGATGTGTTTTCTCAACTTTTTGACATAATTGACATTTGACATTTACACACTAGTAATGTTGAATTGGTTTTCCCGGTTACTTTTAGTTTTATTCCAGTTACGAAGGTTTTTATAAACGCGGTTTTGGTATGAGAATTCCAAAATTGTCGTCTTTTTAATTGCAAGGTTCCCAGATAAGTTTTATAAACGTTTCTAAAGGTGTTTATTATTACTTGAAAGCCCATATAAAACTATAAGTTTTTAATAGGCGCACCTGGTGAACCTGGCGTCGTGAAACTTAACAAGTTACACAAAAAAGAATCACGGGACATGGTTTTAACTTTAAATTATCAACCGAAATTACGCCTCATTACATAAGAATAAAATAAAGTCATCTTAGGATTTTTTGTTGTTGTTTTATGTTTTAAAATATTATAAATTGTTATATTATACGGAAAATGTCACGTCAGATTGGTCAGCCACAGCTTCGAGCCACATTTATTCTCACACCTCGAATTTTGACGTTTGTCATGTCACACGTCACTCGATGAATGTATTGTGTAGTTTATTAAGACCCGTGGCGCAAATGCCGTTTATCAAACTTGTTGCATAATATGATAATAATAGTAATAATAATAAAGTTTATTCATCATAATAAATGTTAACCTACATATTAAAATAATACATATGTTAATGAACCAACTGTTCAGCACTGAAACATTGTTTATTGCTTGTTAGTGCTGGTTCATACTTAATATAACGACAGGAGGCCATTTTTACTACCTGGAATAGAGTCACAGTCGAGTTTATATTATTTACAATATTTACAATGGGGGTTTTTTAGAATAAAACGACTTTTCACATAACGGTAGCAAACACCTTATGGATTTCTAGTCTATCTGTAAAATTTCTTTAGCTTTATTTAGAAATGTTTATCATATCATATCATATCTTTAAGTTTTTTGGGTGAGTACTTCAAAGATGATCTTTCCTTGGCGGTTGTTTTGCTCACTGGGACCATTACACAATTATTTTTATGTCAGGTATTCTGTTGATTTGTGATATTTTCAAGCTCTTTTTTCTGTTAATGTTGACGGGTGTCTGGTATTATAGTTTCATTATATAAAATGTAGTAACCCACGTTTACTTCTTCCAAAATTTATTTGCGATTCAAAGGGAGAGTAGTAAAATTGTTTAAGCTAATGATTTTTTAAGTAATCTTTGAGATAAGAAAATCTGGTAGCTAAAAATCTTGTTCTATTAGCCATATGCTTAATATGTTTGTCCCACCTTAAATGACCATCAAGAATTATGCAAAAAATATTTTGCAGAATCAGTCTTTAGAAATTCATTATTTTCTTCCACTTTGATGGTTTCAAAGTGTGCTAAAGTATTAGAGTAAGATGCAAAAGGAATAAAATTTGTCTTAGTGTAGTTTAAAGTCAGTTTATTTTGCTTAAGTTGATCCCAGTTTTCTGCGGTGTGAAATATGGCATGTCATCTGCAAAACTGAATATACTTCCTACACTATCAATGTCTAAGAGATCGTTTATATAGATTGTGAACAGCATTGGACCCAATAACGTTCCTTGTGGAATACCGCATGTTGCGGTTCTTTTTTTTGCTTTTAACGCCATCAATATTTACAAATTGTTTTCTATTTATCAGATAGTCTTTTTTCATAAGACCAACGAAAACGCACAAGGAAGCTTTCTTCGTATCTATTGCATTATAAATGTGCGAAGTCAGATTAAATAGTGCATCTTCTGTGGATTTGTGTTTCCGGAAACTGAACTGTCTTGTATTGTACTGTACTCTCTCTTTGATCGCTTTTTAAAATATATTCCCAACATTCGAAATAAGTGAAATCCAGGTTATTTTTTTAGTTTTAATCCTTTAATAATTTTGTGTATTTCTCTGCACGTCATTTCTCTGAAGTAGTGCACATTATATGTAGCGCATCTAATATTTTCATTGTAAGAAACATTTTTATTATTTCGTCAAAATAAAGATCTGTTGGTGTCGACTTTACAGTAAAAGCAAGGTAGATTGATAAGGACATGAAATAAAATATAATGTATATTAATGATATAGAAACTGGTGAAGCAAGTGGCGTCATTGATTTGTGTTTATAAACACTGTAGGTTTTATAGTGGTGACGAAAATGCTTTCCTTGCTGCTATAAACTTTATAGTTTATAAAGGTAACTACAACCCCTAATTACAAATAGGCGGGAAGTAAAACTCTTATATGGGACTAAATTCTGGGGTCCGATACCGTTCATTTAAGTGCTACAGCGGTTTTATAAGAGTAATGAAAACAATTGATAGGTTGTAAAAAATAAATAATTAAACAAGAAATGTTAGTTCCGCTGGGAAAATCGCTACACCCTTTCTAATCATGTTTAAGTTTTCTTGCAAATTTTCAATTTGATCGAATTGAATTGTACAGGGTCGGGCCAAGCATCTGCGCATGACGATCAACGACCAAGGTCACTGTCGCGTCCAACACTACTGGTTCCAGTCGATCTACGAGATGCTCGAGCATTTCCGATCACAGCCGATCCCGCTCGAGAGCGGCGGCAACTCAGACGTAAAACTTACCGACTTCATATTGAACCCTACGGCGCGTCAGCAGCTGAGCCGAGGCACTTCATCGCCGAACGCGACGCTGGCGGCCACCGCGGCGGCGCCGGAACCCCAGCCTGGCGCCTCGACGGCGGTCAACGGCGTCGTCGACGTCGTCGGCAGACGGCAGATACCGGCGCCGGACGCGAGACAAGTGAGATAGGTGTAGCGAGCGGGTGTTGTATGATTATGCGCGTCCGATGGGTGTGGCGTGTGCGCAGTGAATTTCGGTTTCGAGGTAGTCGTCGATACGGAATGGAAAAAAAATGATTCTTTGCCCGAAAATGGCGTCCGCCGTCCAAATTTACTTTATTGTTACTTTTGCGCTATATTAGTGAGACGTCAGCTGTTGAAATTTAGAATCCAGACAAACCGATTTGCCATATAAGTTTTTGTGGTATTATTGGAGACTATTTCACAGATCATTTTAATTATTGCTTTGGAAATATTTAAATTGCAAGTTGAACAATCTGTTAAGAGTACTTAAATGAAAATCAAAATATACCCTGGAAATATTAATAGGCCTAATAAGTGTTCAGCAACTAACCAAAACTGATTATTTGAGGGACCATAGTAGCAGTGTCCGAATATTGGTATCCCACGTTTCAATTTTATAAAAAAACGCTAAGTTAAGTAGTCCGTAATAATTTAAAAAACCCAAAGAAAGAACCCATACAAATTTATACAGTCAGCCTAAACGTTGACAGTTACCAACGAAAATGGGCGAACGCTACGTCATCACCAATGTAGCGTATACCAGATGGGTCTGGTAATTGGTGCATTTGACTTATCGATGCCTAAATCGTTTTGGATTACGAGAGGGTTGCCAAGATCGATACCACTTTTTTTACCTTTTTTTTTCCCATGCAATTTTTAACTAAATTCACAACTTTTTTCTTTAATTATTACAAATTTCCTGTTTTCAATTTTTATTAGCAACTTTAGTTGAGTATTTTTAATTAATTATTAGAAATGTCCTGGTTCTTCAATTTTTACTACTTGGTTGAGTATTTTTTGAATTATTGTAGAAAACTCTTTGAGTCTTCTGAGCAAAATAGAGCTAATTGATGGAAATTTTCATGTAAAGTTACTTTACTTTTATTTCCCGCAATTACTGGATGTGTAAATCTTTTTGGTCAGGTGCGGAGGTTGGAAGTGGTCTGATCCGATCGATCTGCAAAATGGTACATCTGACCTACTGTTGTCTACACCGCGTTAACAAAATTAATTGTTAGCGGATTTAATTGAAAATTCCGCATTATATACCAAACAACTATTAAGAAGATTATTAAAATATAATTATTAAAATGTAGTATTTATTATTATTTCAAATACACGACGACCTGAACTTTTTTTGTTAGTTTTTTCATGGGAATATCAATGTAAAAAATTTTAAAGCCATTGGCCAAAGGGCTTATTCTAATTTTATAGGATCAAACGGCAAAATGTACTTAAAAATTTTACTCTTCTTCCACCTTTATTAACGAGACCCACACCCGTTCCACGACTACCTCAAAACGACTTTAATTTGGTGCAAGATATAAAGTTAAAAAAAATTATGTCTTGTAACATTTTTGAGTATCGGCGGTAGCTTTAGAACTTCACTTGTTAATTTTTCTCATTGCCAGGTTTTCGTTTTGACCGAAGAATCTTCTTTCCACGCGAGATTTGTTGTTAACTTTTGGATGTTTATTTTTGTATTGGTTAAAAGCTAAGCATCGTCCCTGAGTTCGCGCAAATTTTTATTTATTTTAGAGTTAATTTAACAACGATATTATTTCATCGCCCTTGAATCGTGTGATATATGAACAAAAGTTTAAAACTCCCGTTCTTATAAATTGTTTTAAATTTTTGTTTAAGTACAATATCGAGAACTCGTGCCCTCCTCCCTTCTTACCTCATGATCTACTTTTTAGTTTATGTTTATTCCTTTTTTTGTACAAACTTGTCGATGTTGTGTTTTCGTGTGTGTACGCACTCTTTTACTATTAGGGGCTTAAACGTTTAAAATTAAATAAAAAATAAAATTAAAATTATAAACATGACATAAAGTTTTGCATACATCGCGTTTTGCATTGAGTTGTTTGCGATTCCCTTCTAAAAATTCAAAAATTTGCCACCGTTCCGTAATAATCCAGGAGAAATGCTAATTGTAAATTACATTTTGTTATCGGGGCCCTATGAAGAATTTCAAGTATATACTAAAAAATCCATGTCCTTGTTTCAACTAAAAACAATTTGGCAAAACTTGGTTTAATGCAGAACGACCGCATATTTTTGAATTTACAAATTAAGAGATTCTAATAGTGCGCCTCGAATTGTAACACCCTGTATGTGTGGGAGATCACTTTTTTTGTGTCTCGTGACGCTTTTGTAGTTGTCGACTTTCGGATCCATTTTTGGAAGCAAAAACTTCAAAAACTGAAAATACTCCACGATACGTGAGTAACTTTGATATTGAGTAGATTTTGTACAAAAGAATAAACAAGTGCAATTTTTAAATATATTATTGTCTACCGTAGAAGTTTGCGTCTTCAGGTTAAGGTATAATTTATTTGGCTTTAATTTATTATTTTAATTGTGTAAAACGGCTGCGAAACAAGAACCTGTTTTATTTATTTTATTTTTGTTCGAGTTAAGTTATAGCAAGTACAATGGAACACGTAATATACATGATTTTGAAGTTCTTAGCGTTTTGTTTTATTTTATTTTTTCACCTTGAACACTTTGGTCTCAGAAAATCTGAAGGTCCACTTTTTCTGCAGCGAAATTTTTTTTAAAACTTTTCCATTTTCGGTCTTTGGGATTGAGGTAACGTATTCCTGGTTTTTACGCGAGTGAAAGAGCTGGCGAATTTTTTTTATAGGTCCTGTCTCATAATGGGAGTGTGAGAACCCAGGACACTTCCATTGAGCAGATTCAAGCGGAAGCGTCGGGTCGGGCGGTCGAAAATCAGTACAGCTTCGTTTAAAACTGAAGATATGAAATAGATTTTAAAGTAAATTCCAATTCTTGGTGAATACCTAAAACCCGGTGACAAGGTGATTCTTGTGTTTTTCCTAAAAATACTTCTCAAGAATCTGCTTTCACTTAAAAGTAAAATTAGATTGTTTCTGAATGTTAAATGTTTTATCCCCTACACAGTAATCATTCTGGAAGTAACTCCAATTCCTAATCAACCTTAAAAGTATTATGGGAAAGTATTGTTTTATAATGTGTTCCTATTATTATAATTATTATTTATTGTCATATAACCTGCCAAATGTACAATTTTTTTATAAATTCTTAATATATCTTGTGTTATAATTGATGTGTTATTTTCCTAGCACTATGATGTCGTCACAGTTGATCATCATGAAAATAATTTAATTGCTGGTTCAGAAATTCCTCCAACTGAGAGGAAGTAACAAATTCTTCCCTTACAGAGTTCGTTATTTTTGCTAAATTAACGGCCAGAACGTGAACGCAGGTCAAACTACTTCGCGTTTTTAAAACTTGCTCTTGGAACCTGGTACATTGACAAAAATTAATACTGTCGTAAATTGTATATTGGTCAGCACTTGTAATTATTTTATAGACCTGTCGAGATCGATCTGGTATCAAATAACGAAATACTCTACATTTTTCTAGTAGTTCGGTTGCCTCGACTACGGTCTCTCCGAAAAATGAGTGTAGGCTTTCTACAGTTTCGCTGGAAACTAACATATCTAAATTAAATGGAAATTATTTAAAAAAATATAACTACATAATTTGTTTTGTTGATAGTCCGATTCTGCCTTTTTCAATGTATCGAATGCCAATTTGGGTACCAACGATTTTTGCATCTTTTAAGCCCAATCTTAGAACGGTTACAGTTCTTTTCTTAATTTCCATTAGCAAAAACTGCTAGAATCATTCGGCAACGGTTACGTTTACCGACAATGATGTTCTTCTTTTCTTCTTTCTTCTTTACTTCTAATGGCCAAGACTACATAAGGTCATTCGGCCAGCTTACACAATTTTGAACATTATTCAAATATCCTAAAGAATGCCTTCTTAAGAGAAGGGTCTGGACCAATCCATCATCCTCCGGATTTGTTACATATACAAAATGGAATTTCAACAAAAAAAAGGTTCTTTGACCGATTACAAAAAACGGCCTCCTCCCCTTCCCCCGCGGACCAACCGGGTCCAACCGGCCGCCATACCGGCGTGAACAGGAAAAAACGACGGAGCCGACCACGATTGTAACTTTATAATATTCACTGAACACTAAAAACACTAAATCCACACTGTGGATACCGATTTCAAAGTTTTTAGGGACGATTGCAAGGGATTCTGTCGGGAGCGAACAGAGGTTAAACCTCGTGCAATGCTCCACCACAGAATCGACAATGATGTTAAGTTGTCATCAACTTAATTTCTTAAAATTCGATGAACGACTTCGTGAATTTGCCTAATGAAAATCCTATGAAGAATTTGTAAAACATAACCTGTCTTCCTAGTGGGAATTTTGAAGGTTTAAGTTTTTAAAATGGAAATTAAACCGACTCGTAAAACATGGGACGAGCTCACAGTTTCTTTGCACAGCGAAGTCATGAACGGAATTAAGAGTTTTAATTTTCCTACCATGACTCCGGTGCAGGCTGCCACAATTCCGCAATTGTTAAACAAGAAAGATGTTGCTGCAGAGGCAGTCACGGGTAATTAATATCCATATGAGCCTTATTCGTTAGTAATTAGCTTTTTAAGGTTCTGGAAAAACTTTGGCCTTTTTAATACCCCTACTGGAAATGCTGAAGAGAAGAGAGGTGGAAGAAAAGTGGAAAAAGTATCAAATTGGTGCCATAGTGATATCTCCAACTCGTGAATTAGCATTGCAAACCAAAACGGTGCTGGATCAGATGCTCGATCATATACAAGTGCTAGCATTTCACATATTATAAAGTAATATTTTGTTTTCATAAACAATGTTTTAGAATTTGACAACAATTCTGTTTGTGGGGGGAAATAATGTGGAAGAAGATGTAAGGACATTTAACAAGAATGGTGGAAATATTGTTATATGTACACCTGGAAGGTTAGAAGACCTACTATCTAAAAAAGACATTAACCTTCCAAACTCTGTCAAATGTTTAGTAAGTCTCGTAATATACTTTTTAGTTTTTGGTTATCTTAAAAATGTAATAAAATTTTTAAATGAAAAGCCCTGTCTATTATACATAAAATACTAAGTATATTTTTAAGTTATTCAAAGGAAATTTATGGTGATGTGTTTTATATCCCAGTTACAATAAACTTGCCACATTATACAGGGAACTTTGTCGAACTGTTAGGGTAAAACTGCAAGTATCAGATTTGAAAAACTGAAATTAAACTAATGTTGGTGGTGCTAAACCATTTGCAAGATGGTGGCACATCAAGATATACCGAAAGTGTGTGGAAGAATACCCAATTCTAAAATACCCCATTCTACACACATTTGATGTATATTATCTCATAACATAAATTTTACCTTTTGTGCGATATTTATGTCAAACTTTACATACCCAACAATATCCGCGAATTTTTCCGGTATAATTTTGCTTTATTAACTTACACTGTAGAAAATGATGTGGTGACAAACTGGTATTATTAACAATCTAAATTATTCACTAAATTTTTTCTACAGGATAAGTTAATAGGGTAAAATTTTAAAGGAAAAATTTATAGATATTGTCTGGTCTGCAAATGTCAATTTTGACGAAACATTAAATTCTTACAAATGGTAAAAAATTTATGTATACATGCAATATGTGTTCCATTTAAAATATGAAAGTTGACACCCCACCTCCGGTATATCTGAATGTGGAAATATCTTAGCGGGATTGTCCTTACCAACATTAGTTTAATTCCAAATTGTAAATTTTTTTCTACTTATAACCAAGCACACCTAAGTTGAAATTTTCCAAGCGACCGATTTTGGTCACATAACGTCACTATCCTTGTAAAATTCTTCTCACAGGAGCTTCTGATATTGGATGAGGCTGACAGACTGCTTGACCTGGGCTTTCAAAAGTCTTTAGATACAATCCTTAGTTACTTGCCAAGGCAAAGAAGAACAGGTTTATTTTCCGCAACCCAAACAAAAGAAGTGGAAAATCTCATACGGGCGGGCTTAAGAAACCCCGTGTTGGTCAGCGTGTCCGCCCGTGACAAACACAGCACCCCCGACATGCTGAACAACTATTACGTATTGGCCCGGAACGATGGCAAATTGGCAACCCTGTTAGCTTTTCTGGAAACGAAAAACGTCCACAAGGCGCTACTGTTTTTGCCCACCTGCGCGTGCGTAGATTATTGGTCGAAAATATTCCCCCGGATTATTTTACAAAAACTAAAGTTGCCCATCATGGCCATCCACGGAAAGATGAAAGATAAACGGAAGAAGATTTTGGACAAGTTTAGAGACGCCGATAAAGGACTGTTGTTGTGCACAGACGTGATGGCCCGAGGCATAGACATACCGGAAGTGCGACTTCGTTATGTTATTTTGACATCCTGTATAAAAAGGTTTCCTAGGTGGAATGGGTGTTGCAATGGGACCCCCCATCGAATGCTTCCTCGTTTGTTCACCGCGTGGGGAGGACGGCGAGGCAGGGCAATCAGGGGTCCGCCCTAATCATATTATTGGAAAGCGAGGAGTCCTACGTCAATTTTATAGAAACGAATCAGAGGCTCAAGTTAAATAAGCTGGAAGATTTTGCCAACGATGACAGGGTTTGAATTTTTTACTGCGCCAAGGTCATGCAAATTTCATAAATAAAAATTGCAGGTGCGCGCGGTTAGGGAGTCTATTAGGAATTTGTTGAAAAGTGACAGGGCCCTCATGGAAAAAGCGACGCAAGCTTACGTGTCTCACGTCCGGGCCTATTCCAAACACGAGTGTTCCCTGCTGCTCAGGGTGAAGGTATAGCAAAATTTCGTGCGTTGGTTTGGACATAATAATCTAATCCCCAGAGGGTTTCTTCACTCCACAATGATAAGCACTATTTCAGTTAGTGTACATTACTATGTAGCAGTTAGTACTTGTCTTAGTCTTTTTCATTGTTTTAAACTGCTGGTAAGCTAGAACTGGCAACATTGCAAACGGCTATATACCAAATTACAAAGACATTATCGTCAGAGTTCGTTACAAGTTTTTGTGTAGTACTAGAAATTAGTCAGGATATTTTCGTCTACCCTGTAGGGCAGTGGTGGGGAAACTTTTTTTAAAACGGGCCATTTGTAATAACTAGACGATCGTAGCGGGTCAAAGAATGCTTAATCGTTAAACAATTTATGTGTTTTATAATATATTATTACATACGCTTATTATTTTAATAGTAAAAAAGCAAAAGGTAAGAAAATCATAAGCACAAAATATAAAATGAATTTAGTGTAGTTTTTGATGTGAAGTATTATCACTTTATTTTCTGGTGTCATTACTGGTTGATGGTGCATGAGAAAAATGAAATTGAGACTGTTTTATCAAAATTTCATCATAGTCCGGTTTCATTTGCGAAGCAGAAGTCCTTAAAACGATGGAAGGTGCTCACCTATAATTCTTTCTTAAGGAAGTTTTCCTAAGCTTCACTGTTGAAAAGATTTGTTCATATATAGAAGATGAGCCGAACATTGTCATTACCTTCATTGCATGAGTGATTAGATTTGGGAAATTATCTGGACTTAATTTTTTTTATAAAATTCTAGTAATGGTACTGTATGAAAAGTTTGGTTTATGAGAGTATTACAGTTCAGTTTGATTAACTCAGTTTGAAATTTTGCATCAACTTCTTCGTAATTAACATTGAATACGGTCGAAAAAATACTAAATTCTGGTTCCATTTTTCTAAAGTCCTGTACTCTCCAGATAGTTTTCTCAAATTAATTTCGTATTTTTTAATCTTATTGTTTGATATAGTGAATTTCAAAGATTGTATTCTTGGAAAATGAGAAAAATCAGATTTAGAGATCTGATTAGCAAGTAATAATAACTGTAATTTGAAACTCTTCCGGTATTGCCAAATAAAGTGAAGAAACTCATTCATGTGTACGAGGAGGTCTATGAAAAAAGCGAAATCGGAAAGCCACGCTTCCTTTTCTAAGACGTCAAATTGATTATAAATGTCTTTATCGAGAAAAAAATTCACAATATCATCTTTTAAATCCCAAATTTTTTTCGAATACTGTTCCAGTACTTAACCAACGAACTTTTGAATAACACATGATATCGGAATGCTCAGCATGTACGCACTCCAAAAACTGTTGAAGCTGACGATGTAATAATCCTCTGGAACGAATCATATTTACTAGTTTTACAACAATATTAAGTATATATACAGAGAGCATCCTGATGTATAAGGCAATGCAAAAAAACATCATTTCGCGGATACTTAGAATCAAATTTTCCAACAAATCGTTGACTGATTCCAACCATATTAGGAGATTTTCAAATTCACAAAATCACCATTCGTTGTTCCTTTCATTAACCCTGCAAGTTCTTCTGTAATTTCAAAGTCAGCGTTGATTCCTCTTACAAATACGAGTAACTGCGCAGTATCGCTGATATCTGTACTTTCATCCGTGGTAATTGAATAAAAAATAAATTTTTGAGTTTTTGTAGTCGGTTGTGAAATTAGATTTTTATCAATATTTTCAATTCTCTCGGTGGTTTTTTTTTTGAGAGTGACTGAAAATCAATTTTCTTTTCAGGGCACATAATGTCGCATACATCTATCATGCACTGCTTTATAAGTTCTCCATCTGAAAATGCTTTATTAGTTTTAGCAATATTATAAGCCAACACATAACAGGCTTTCGTAGCGCATCTTCGAGAATGATTAGCTCTCTGAAATAATTGTTGACTTGATAAATTTTTTATTAAATCTTTCGATTTTTTTTTACCTCTTCACTTAACGATGAGTAGGAGTGGTTTTCATGTTTGCGTTCAAACATTCTCACGACGGCATTCTTAAACGGGCCGGATTAAACCTTTCCGCGGACCGTAGTTTCCTCATCACTGCTGTAGGGACTCCACAATCTCGCGTGTATTATTGGCGAATATTTTCCATGCTTCTCCCATACATTTGTGAACAGTGTAATATTGCAGGAGCTACCATTGGGAGCTTTAGCTGCCACCTATAGTTTACTTCAGTTGCCGAAGATGCCTGAGCTGAAGCATCGAGACTTATCCGACTTTCCCGAAACGGACATTGACGTGGCCAGTATTCCTTATCGAGATAAGAATAGGGAAGCGACCAGGCAACAAAAATTAACCCAGTACAAAGCGACCGGTAACCCTCGAACAGAGTTCAAAGTAGTCGCGTTGGGCAGTCATTACTTTTTTGCAGGTGTCTGGCCCGGGTTTAAACAGAAGTTTGTGAAAAAAGCAACCGAGCCCTGGTGCAAAACTAAACAAAACAAGGAGGCGAGGAAGGAAAAGAAGTTGAAAAGGAAACAAGCGAAATTGGCCCAATCTGACGAACAGGGGAAAAAGAGAAAAAGCAAAGGCGAGTTCAAAAGTGACCAAGCCATTTGCTTTTGATAACCTCAATTTGTTTCCCCCAATTTCAGCGGGTATCAGCGCCGAAGACTTGGAAGAGCTGAGGAAAGATGTGGCATTACTGAAAAAGCTAAAGAGGAGGAAGATAACTGACGAGGAGTACGATAAGGAGATAGGGTTGGGCTAACTTAGGGTTTTGTGAGAATAAAACTAGACACCTTTTACAAATAAATTCCTTGGAGAACTTTATTTGCGAAAAAAAAATATATAAAACAACTGTAACATTTTGAGAATACTTGTATTTGAACGAGATATGCCCAAGAAAACCAATTATGTACAAAAAAACATGAGCGGCGGGTATAAATCGGTAATTTTTTTTATAAGCGGAAAATATGTTCCAAAAAAATAACCTAAGGCACCTAGAGTTGACTTATATGTATTGGGCATCGATACTGATCTTGTTTAATAGGTCTCTTGAGACGTTTTCCGCCATGCGAGTGGAAAATCCGTAGAGAAAAGTTTGAAAGGCCAATTATTAAATTAATTATTTCTTTCAAAGAAAATTTTTCCTTTGCGGTTTTTCTGTTACACAACGAAAAACAAAGACAATACACGCGACACACAATTTTGCGAAAACGTATAAAAAATACCAAACGATAAAAACGTAAAATTTCTAACAAAACAAAGTGTAATTTGATAACTATACCAATTTATCCGCAAAACGGCCATTTTATAAATAATACACGCAAAGAATAACGGCATGTCGATTTTTTTTACGGAAAAGTTGGTAATACGCAGGTATAATTTCGAGGTTAAGCGTATATGGATTGTCAAATGTGGTACCCAGAACGGTACTTACTGCTGATAATCAGATTGCGAACTGACGCATTTAGGAACTGACTTTGTTATTGGCATAAAAATGAAGAAAATAGAAAAAAAAAGGAAAATATTTTAAAAAAGTTTTTATATTTTATATTAGTATAAAGATGAAGTTAAATACTAGGCTTAATTTGAAGAATTTTTACCAACATTTATTTTAAGTTACGCTCACAATTTTTTAGGGTGGTGAATATAACAAAAATAAATGTATAAATCATCGTACCCATGTACACCACAGTTTTCGCAAATTTATTATCCGATGATGGTGGCTGCTAATAACATGCCCATTTGGAACTATTTCGTAATGTTTACATGATACCTTTGACCAGCTGGGTAAGCGACAATGAAGCATTATTCGTGGCTCTGTTATTAGATTTTGCAACAGGTGATTTGTGAAAAATGTGGAAAACTTTTCAACACTTTACAATAAAATCCACTTTTATCGTGCTTAAAATGTAAGGTGGAAGCCGAAGCATTATTTAATGCAGAACACGTAATTTTAATTGGGTCTACTGCAGGAACCAGCAAATTGAAAGCACTCCTTATGAAAGGGTCGATTAAATATTGTAAATTGCATTTGTAAAGCTGGATTGTCGGAAAATTTTAAATATATTAATAAATATATAAACAATAAATAGTAAATGTTCACATGAGTCACATCCATCAGCACGCAATTTGCGTTGTGATTGGATTTGAAGCACTTAAACTTTTCCTTCAATATTGAACACTCAGATGAATCCACAATAGCCACTGAATCGCGGACTATTCCAAACGAAATACTTTCTAAGCAGCATCAACATAGAAACAGCTTAATATTTTTTCGGCTAGAGGTCTCATTACATTGTAATTAAATACAGTAATGGTCGCGTTCAGCAACTACAACGTTGGACAAACGTTTGATATTACTTGTCTGAACGTTTCCGCCTGCTTGGAACTTTCACTATTTAATAATTATATTATATAGTTACCTAAATTAAATTATTATACAAAAAATATTACTAATGGGCCATGAGAAAAAAAACAACGCCATCATAAGCCAGGCATAAAATCGCCGCAGAAACATTTCGTTTTAACTTTATCAAAATTCCCGCGTTTGTTTTTCCTTATCGATTCCGAATCATAAGCTAATGGCATACCTCAAACAATACAAAAATATTATATTTGAAGATATCCAAAATATACAAAAAAATCAAACTTCTCTCCCACCCCTCAAGCAAATCTCAAAATTTGGAGATTGAAATAGCCATAATTAAAAAATGCCACATTTTACGGCATTATTTAGCTCTAAAAACACCGATTGATTGTTTTTATTAAAGTCTAGTTTTTACTCACCTTAAAGTCGGGCCGCAAATGTTATTACCCTGTATTTACCAATTTTTCCGTAAAAATTTAGCTGGTATGGCTTCCAATTTAATGCGACGGCGTCGGGGAACAATTAAATACGATGTGATACACCACCTACACTTTGAAATTTAGTTTTAACTTCCTACGTTTAGGAAAATTAGTCGGCCGGGCAGTTTTGTTTCATTATCGGTATATTTGTCGGTAACACGGAGAGTTTTGAAGCTCAACGTCTATAAAAAGACTTTAACAAAAATACCTAACTCTATTGCCCGAAGGATCCTAGCGTACGTGGCCAATGACAGTAAACAAAACCTATTTTTCTTTTTTTTTTAACAATTTACATTTTCCAATTTGATGAAATCAGTTCACATTACAATAAATAATGTTCATGTTAATGACCAATTAATTTTAATATCGATCTAAAAAATTACAAATGGTGTTACTTCTTTGGGTACTATTTCCTTACTAATCAATGATTTCGTGGCAGTTAATACCCAGAAAACGCAGAAATTCCAATTAGGTAAACCTATTCTGCTCGTAGTCAGGTGGAGCAAATATAGTTAGTTTGTAATTTATTCAGTTATGTTTTCCTTCTAGATTAATATGTAGCACCCATATTCTCGTTGGAGAATCACAGTTTTACAGCAAAAGAAAACTAAAAGTTTTAAAAAAGAACCGATGAAAAGGAAAATCCACGCGCCAGAAGGCGATTCAATGTGTAATAGACATAATGATGAAGAAATTTTATCTGCATCCTATAGAAAATATGATGATCTTTTCAGTTTCTGTGTTTAATTTGTTGAGGTTCCTAAAAGGGACCAAAATTTGCGACCCAGCCACCCAAAATATGATTATATACCCGAAATGTCAAAAATGGTTGAATCTATATTAGAAACGGTTGCCAGACCGCAGACGCGGTCTTTAAGGAAGATGATTTTATAATCAAAATCACAATTAGAATCGGGATTTCTAAAGGCAAATCGATCTTTGCCCGGCTTAGTAGTTTGTCAGAATGTCAGAAAGGATGTGTCTAATTTATTCCTAATATTGGTATTGGGACTTAAATATACGCTGCCCATGGCATTATATAAGAGATGCCAGAACTAGTGCAGCTTTTCAAAAATGGAGTTTCTCTTGAAGTCTTTAGCAGCAATGGACCACTCATGGAAGGGAAAAAACAATTTGCAGGGTTAGGTTAATATTAGATAATTTGTTAAATTTTATATTACTATTAATATTATTTTTTACAATAATATAGAGACATTACTTTGCTGGTACAGTTGCAGTTCATTTCAATTTTTTACAAAAATTTGTAACACTCCACTACCTAGTGATGTAGGAGGAAAAGATAACGGAATAAAAGTGAAAAATCAAAACGAATTTCTTGAGGTGAATTTTAACTTTTACAAGTTATCTTTCCAAACTAGGTCACCTCTCACCCTTTTGAATTTTCGTTCGTTACAAATTTTAAAGAATGAAATTTGTTGAGCAGACTGACACATGAAATACTCGCAGACTCCCTGTTCTATGGGTACCACATATTAATCTATTTTACTGCACAAGGAAAAAACTAGGTTACTGTGGGGAAATCACTGTTTGGAAAGAAAATGACGCAAAGTGTCATATGGCAGGGACTAGGCCAAAAAAAAAAACATCCCCCCCCATAAAGAAAACAGTTCCCAGCGTACATGTTTTAATTATCGTGAATTGAAAAAAAAATACACAGGTTTTGGCCGGTTGTACATTTTGTCAAAAAAAAAATCTCAAAACGACCGACATATTATTTTCGAGAGAGAGGGAGAGACACGTTCGCAGGGGTGAGCCAACGCACGGCCCCGCCCAGGCCGGGATGTGAATTTTCAGGGATCGCACGTCACTTTAGATAAGTATAGATATCTAAAGGTGGATCTGGCGATGGCGATTCGAAATTTCGTTGGCATTTGGAGGGCAGGGGGGGGGGACGTTGACTCACCCCGTAAGCATGGCGCGACGCAAACGAAATTGTAAACGAAAAGGTGGTGCTGACAATTGATACTAAAGAAATTACCTAAGGAAGACGCAGACCGGCATTCCCCAATCTTTGTCTTCGCGGCGGGACCGTTGTTCGAAATGCAACGGCAATGGTTCCGGACGCCTCTATCTGTTGATTGAATGATCATGTCACGTTTTCGTTAGTAAATGAAATTTATTCACTTCGCCAGTGGCGAATTTTGACATAGCTCATAGAACAAAAACGTTAAAATTGCTGATGGTCGTTTAAAAAGGATTTTTAAACAACGAAGCGAAATATAAAAGTTTTATCCCAATTGTGTAAAATGTAAAAAATCAATTGTATTGAATTTAAATTAAATAAAATAATATTTTGAGGAAAGCTCTATAAATATCTTTAAAATATACTATTCCATTTTTATAAAACTTATGGATTCCTCCTGCGTCAGTTTTTGTTGAGTTGAACTAGCTAACGTTTCGCTAATCATCCTGTTGGCTTCTTCAGAGCTTGACCGAAACTGGCTCGCATTTTACTCTGTACCTGCTTTTATATTGTTTGAGGAGAGTTTTGGTGACAGAGACCTGAGTTGCGGTTAAGATTGTTAGGTTGCTTATAGATTTGATTGGGTCATTGTGTTTACAGAAAACATACGAACACCGACCGATACCTTAATGCATTGTCACATCATCATTATCGACTCTCTTGTTTATAGAGTCGTAAAACTATCTCAGCCCTAGTCGTTGAACCCAGAATTAAAACTCCCTAACAATTTTCACATTAAAGATATTAACAAAATACACTTCACCACAATCTTCCAATAGCAATTAAGCCGAAAGCAATCCCACACTTGCCACTGTTGTCCTTATATTCATAACATCACTGACCACATATTAAAAGTTCTAAAGAAATATAACGTCAAAAACATCTAACTAACCAACTAACCAAAACTCTTGCATGTAACCAATTCTTCTACCAACGAAAAATCCGAGAGTCTATAGAAATCTATAAGCAATCTAACAACCCTAACCGTGACTCAGGTCTTTACCTGTCACAAATATGGGAATCAGGTATCCGAGACGGTGTTTATGTCCCTCATTTAGCTCCGCCCCCCTCAAACAATATAAAAGCAGGTAGAGTAAAATGCGAGCAAGTTTCCGTCAAGCTTTGAAGAAGTCGACAGGATGACTGGCGAAACGTTAGCTTGTTCACAGGAGGAATCCAGAAGTTTTATAAAAAGTATTAATTACAGTAGCCTGCGAAAGTTTTTTTGAAAAAAAAAATAACGCTATTGTTCAATTTTTTAATCTTAAAAGAAAACAAAATGGATATATATATATATATATATATATATATATATATATATATATATATATATATATATATATATATATATATATATATATATATATATATATATATATATATATATATATATATATATATATATATATATTTTTAGATAATTTTCCATTTTCGAATCATCCAAAAATTTAATTTCCCGAAAAGCTATCAGACGTCCACTTACCGCTAAGGATTCGGCCCGTGGGGGTTGCCCTGCGGGTGCTGGTGTTGCATGAGCACCTGCATATGTTGCGGCGGCGGCTGAGGGGGCGGCGCCTGCTGCAGGTACTGCATGTTCGACAGGGCCATGTGGTGCTGCGGGGTTGGAATGCAAAAGGCCATCGGGATCTGGGGCGGGGCCTGCGGTGGTGGCGCGGCCTGCGAAACGATCGTATCCGATTTTTTAAATATCAATATACACCCAACTGGCCACCACAAAAACTTGTTTATTTCTCCAAAAAGTTGTGTGAATATTTTTGTTTAACTTTCCTTTTTCTGTAATAAATTTTGAATAATATTTATATAACAAACAAAAATAACGCTATGGCCCAAGAAATACAGACACGCATTTTAAAAAAAATATTCAAAAAATGCTTCAAACTTTAAACAAAAAATGGTTTTCTAAAAACTAACATTAAATGCGCATTAAATCTCACGAAACCGTCATTTGGACAAAACACTTTTTTTTTACAGAAAATCAAGAACCACGACAGAATTCTTGACCCAAGATTCATTAGGTTTTTTTCGAAAGAGTACGTATGCAAAAATATTCTGGGTTTGTTCGTAATTATCTAACAAGCAAAAGTGTACCGCTTTGCCAAAAGGGGAAAAGATGATGCCAGTCAATCGGAAAAAAGGCTCCATCTAATATTTTTTTCTGATTCATCTGTAATTTGGTTCGCTATATTTTTTTTGTTCATACATAATACATAATTATGTAACACTTAAATGAAATTTATATTGATTTATTAATATTGTGCGTTAAGTCGCCATCCCGTCGTTCTGAGAACTAAATGGAGTGGATATTTTTATTGCGATTCCCCAAATTGCCAAGTATCGTATTCGGGTATTCCTTATACATAAATTGGACATCACAAACGCGTAATAATTTATGTACAAAATACATATTATTATTAAATGGTAAGTAACACTCTACATTTGTAATTTAAGACATTTTAATTGAATTTAAGTAGTCAATTACGAAATGGTGAATTGACCAGTCCCAACAGTATTTGTATGTTTGTATCTTTCCATAGCATCTAAGTTCAAAGCGAAGATTTAAGTAATAAAGAGTGCAAATCTGAGTTTGTTAGTTTCGTTTTTTAAATGTATACAGTGAACTCCGGTTAAAAAAGTACCCTCTAGGGACAAGAAAATGAGTACTCCATAAGCGCAAGTACGCTATAAAAAAAAATTTATATAGGTACGTACATATTTTTGATTTTATATAAAAATAGAAAACTAATAAACACTAATATAGGTACTAAAAAACGAAAACTACCTAACCTAAAAACTTATCCGTCTATATAAACTTTACAACATACAATTAAAAATACATATTTTATTCTTTTGGAGTAAAAAAATTCGTTATTGTAGTTTGTTTATTTTTTTTTATCAGTTACATTATCAACAGATTGTAAGAAAATTGTAACAATTTTAGCGGCATAAAGCGCTTCAAAATAACGTATTTCATCCTGTTGAACATCATCGTCGCTTTCGTTCACGGAGCTTTGAGGATATTTGCCTGCAAAACTATCCGTTAATAACTACGTTGTTATTAAATTACCATCAACAGTTGGAAAGCTATCCAGCTCAGGAAGATACATTTCAATGTTAGTTAGATCTTGGTCGCTATTGCGCAACCAGTTATTTAGAGGAACCTTCCAGTCATCCTCGTCATTATTTTTGTACCTCTCGAACCACTCAACCAGAGGTAAGTCATCGTCTGAATCAAACGCATCTTCCGATTTTATTTTCAATTAACTGGATCAAATGATACAAAAAAATATCTGCGGTAATATGTCTTAAGGCATTTTATTATGTTCTGATCCAATGGTTGGACGACTGAGGTGCTATTATTTGCATGAGCTGCACAATTGTCAACCAGAAGCAATATTTTTCTATTCTGACGTTTTAAAATCCTTTAAATAATTGCTGAAGTCATCCACGCTCACTGGTTTGACTTATAAATGGTAGGTAGATTTTTCATATTTTTCATGCATCTCGGTCTCGGTCGTTCATATTTACCAATAATAAAAAGTTTGCACTTTTTGCTTTCTGTCATATTTGCACAAACCCAAGCGGTGTACCTTAACTTCGACTGCTTCCCACTCAAACACTTTTTTCCTCTAAATTTAAGGATCCGAGTCCTTATAAAATGACTCAGGCTCGTCACCATTGAAAATGTCCTACGAGCTGTAATTTGGTGCAATACTGGGCCAACCTGTAATCCCCTGGCTAATTCTTCGGCTTTCGATTTCAGAACTGGACCAGTTATTGCAATATTTTCGGATCCGCGAACTTCAAATTTGCAGTCACTTGCTTTCTTGATCTTTTCGCGATTCCTGCAAATTGTAGATATTGTTTTTGCCAATTTCTTTTGTCTAGCAATTTCCGACTTACCGATGCCCCACTTCTGATAATCTCTATCTTTTTTTTACAGTTAAAGACTTTCGCCGATCCGCCATTTTAACCATAAACTCAAAAAATCGTGCTATCCATAATACAATAAGGGGGAAACTATCGGCCGGACACGCACGTTTCAGAAAAAACCTCACAAATGATTACTGAAAAATCCCCGATTTTCTTGGGGAACCAACGCTCGATAATCCGGTTTCAGCCGCAGCCGCCGAAAAATAGCGGCCTGGGCGCGTACTGATGGCATTGGTGGTCATGTGACCCTAATAGATCCAGGACTGAAATAAGCTACATTGCAATAAAATGGTTTCCTAAAGATTTCCTTTAATATTAATTCTCTAAAAGTATTTGGAAACTTATTTTAGAGTCAGGTATTATTTATTGTATTAGTATCAATGTTTTAAAGATATTTTTACTATCTACAGTCATTACAAGCTCTTATTTAACATGCTTATTGTCGTCAAATCTTACAATCGATTTTAAACAAACTTATCTCCCAGTGATGAAACCTTTTTGGCATTTTCAAAGGTTTTTTGTGTCTCTGGACTTGCTTTTATCGTTGCCTCCATTTGCTCTGCTTCGACATCAGCTACATTGGGCTGTGTTTGGGTGAATCACTTTGGGGCATTCTCGAAAATAGTCGGCACAGCACCTTCCGCTAATTTTGCCCTCTCACGAAAATATTCTTTGTACTCTCCTCTAACTAGGCATTTGTCAATCCAAATAACATCTTTCTCTGCAAAATGTTTTATACGTACAGCTGGTTTCTTTAATTGCCTAATATCATTAGGTACCTTTCTTAGCCAAACTTCTTTTTGATTCGGGTCAGATGGTAAACTGAAAGTGGAAACGGGTCCCGTTTCTTCGGACTTGTAATTTGACCGACACCCAAAAACATAACATCGCGGCATGTTTGCACTGTTCTTTTTTCTTTCTGGTACTTGGTTTTTATCACAATTGCCCACGGGTTTTCTCAAACATTTTAGTTATTGATAACACACCGATATCCAAAGACACAACTTCGCGGGCAGTTTGCACTGTTGTTTGTCCGATTTATGTCACTTGGCTTTTACTACGAATCCACGCGGGGTTTTAAAACATTCCAATTATTACTGACACAAAAGAAAACAATCAGAAAATCGAGTTTTAAACAATTTAATACGCCGGTAACCTACATAAGCATATCTATTAGAGTCACGTGACTTTAGCGCGGCAGGGCCGGTCTATTCGTCGGCTGCGGTTTTAGCGTACACTCGTACCTTATAACCAGAACAATAGTGAAAATATGTGAAGAGTATTTTGGCCGGATCAGTAATATATGTAAGTAATATTCCATGTACGTTATAAACGGAGTTTACTGTACACACTATATCATACATTCTCCGATTATTTTATTGTACAACCAAAAAAAAAATATAAAACCACCCACCTGATACTGTTGGGCGGGCCCCTGGGGACCTTGCCCCACTGCTGCAGCTGCCGCAGCCGCCGCCGCCGCCGGATTATACGGTTGCGGCTGCGCGGGCGAGGGCGTTCCCGACTGCTGCGGAGGCGCCGGTAAATACTGAATTTGGGGGGGCGGCGCGCCTGCAGCCGCCGCCGCCGCCGCGGCGTCGTACATTCGCACGGCCGCGGCGTGCATCGCCTGGTATGCCGCCGAATGGTTCATTCCGTGGGCGGTCGCCGCCGCCGGATACGTTATAAACTGTTGAATGGGGGCGGGGGCGAGAAGCGGTTGACCCGTAGCCGCCGCCACCTGCATCTGCGATGCGACGTCCGTACGGATCGGTACTGAGAACGGGGGAGGGGCGTAAGCGGCGAGAAGTACTTCAAATGCGCAAAAAAAAAACGAGCTAGTAGTTCAAATTCTACTCGGGATAACAAAACCCTGACAAAATTTGTTTTGACAATACATTGTTACTTTATTGTTCTTAGAGCTTAATATAATTCTGTTGCAAATATTTAAGAATCAATATTTTAAATTTATCTTTTCACTTATACAAAATTTTGTTAAAAATTAAAATCCAAAAATTTTAAAAATAAAATTTATTTCGGAATATGTTGTGTGTGAACAAAAAGCAGTAGTTCCAATCTGCACGTTAACCAACGCTAAGACAGCAAGACGCGAGCATAAATAAAAAAAACACTTATAACCATTGGATTACAGAAGTAGTTCAAATGAACCATGGGCGCGAATAGAGATAATTTAATTTACTTTGTGCCGTTGGGCAATCAATAAAACATAGACAACGATGACAGCAAAATGCGAGCATAAAAAAACATTTATAACCACATTGCAGTGTTACATTATTGTCCATAAAGCTTAATATAATTCTGTCCCAAATATTTAAGAATGTATATTTTAAATTTAACTTTTCACTTATACGAAATTTTGTTCAAAATTAAAATCTAAAAATTAAAAAAATAAAATTTCTTTCCCATTCAGTTAACAATTGTGGGTAAAATGACTAATTTATTTAATTGATAAAATTGTAAGAACGTATATTTTAAATTTGTCTTTTCATTTATACGAAATTTTTTTCAAAATTAAAATCTAAAGATTTTAAAAATAAAATGTCTTTCCCATCAAGTTAATAATTGCGGATAAAATTACTTATTTATTTAATTGATAAAACTGTACCCACGACGCAAGCCAAAAATAAAATTTCCCATTTCGAAGGCGAACCACAAATAGTAATTAACCAACGCTAAAAGACAGCAAGACGCGAGCATAAGTAAAAGAAAAACATTTGTAACAATTGGATTATAGAAGTAGTTCAAATGAACCATGGACATACTTTGTGCCCAACACCAGACTTTGACACAGAACAAATGGGCGGTAGTTTAAACGGTACAAAGCAAACACAAATCAAAAAAACGTAGAAGCGCAAACAGACGTAGCTTATAAACAAGAGAAAAACACATTGCAATCACACTAGTTCAAATATTGCACATATTAAAAAAAAATGCACAGGTACTAACGATATCTCCATAGAAAAATATAAAAGATGAGAACTTTATTTTCCCGCATAAAAACAAGATATCGGAATGACTTCGATAATGTTTCGAGATATATAAAAAAAATCCGTAGAGGGGCGCATGGTTTTTCTATCGTACTCCTACGGACCATTATGGAACTTTTTTTACACTCATGCATTGAACAAAGCAAGAAAAACAAATTAATTTTTAGCTTCGTCACATGCGTAAATCCAAGTATTTTTTTTACGATAACTGCAAGAACTAATTTATAAGTAAATATTAACAAAAGTTATTTAAAATATTCCAAAGTATCCGAATTTGAAAGAAAATATAGGGGGCTCCGTTTGAAAAAAGAAAATTGCTTTTAATCTCCTGCAGATCTTGCAACGCTGCAACATACATTTTAAATTCTTATAATCGGAAACCAAGTTTGACCAAGCGCTCTTATTTCGTTCTCCGGAAATCGAACACTCAATATCACCCGCGTTACTTGCGAAAAGAAAGAAATATTTCTCCTTAATTGTTTACGATAGTTCATCAAATTTAAGCAGTCACGATATAAGCATATAATAAAATTAAATATTTAGAGAAAAAAAATTGAAAAACCTATCGAATTCGGTGTAGATACATGCTCATTATCGTTTTAAGCAGGGGCTTGAGGGTTTTGTTCTAATATATCGCGCAGGTTCTATAATACGTAAAAATGGTATATGTAAAAAATGGTAGCCGTGGTAAATGCAAAAATTGTGGCCTTCGAGGCGACCTAAAAGACGGCTCAAATCAAACGCAGCTTATGTCGCGGTTTCTCAGTTACTATATATTTCTGGGTCAACCGTGTTGTCAAGTTATTGCCCCAAATTTGGCGCGTCTTTTCGGGTTCAAGAAATTTTTCGATCGGACGCACCACCGTTTTCGAGAAAATAATTTTTTTTCGACAGCGAACAAAATTTTCAGAATTTTTAAAAAAATAGTTTCGATTGGTTACTTTCATTTAGGTAACGAACTCTAAATTACTGCCGAATTTCAATTCGATAACTCGAAATTTCGGACACCGCGTTTCATAGCGATTTTCCGAGCAAAAACCGCTAATGAAAATGGCCACCGATATCCGATCGCCGAAATATTTTGCGAGTCGCTGCGCTTCGCCTGGTATTAGCACGGAGGAAAATTTGAAGCCGGTAGTTTCAACCGTTCGAACATTATTATCCTTCAAATGCTTCCCGGAGGTCCGTTACAGAGAACAGAAAAATTTTGCTTTTTTTTTTTCGACCGTTACCGAGATCTCGAGTTTAGTGATAAGCATAGATATTTTCGCGAAACACGATTTCGTCGGTTTCTGGAAAATAACGAGACATAAAACGGGGCTGGACTTTATGCCACACAAAAAGTGACGGACCATAACCTAGCCCGACCACGCCCACTCACTCCGCTTAATCCGGTTTCCTGGCAACGGGGGAGGCTGATATTGCGGCTGGCTCATCATGTGGTACACCGGCATCATCACGGGCATCGGCCCGGGAGCCCCAGGCCCGCCGCTCACCGTCGCCGGTATGTAAGGGCTGTGGCTGGGCGTTTGGGGCGTATGGGGTCTGCTGGCTGACGGCGTACTCGGCGACCTCGCCGAATTTCCCTCCCACCTTGGCTGGAAAGGTTTAGCGGCTGGATTCAGCACGAACTCCTTCGCGTTGGGGTTCAACTTCGACTTCTGCAACGTGCTTGACAACTTGTCGACCTCGGACTGGGGCTGTTGAGGCGGGCTTTGCGACGGTTGAGGCGGCGACGGTTGCCGTTGCGGTTTCATCTGTTGCTGCTGCTGCTGCTGGGACGGCGGAGGCTGCTGCTGTTGCAATGCGCCTTGCGGCGGCGCTACCTGCTGCTCGACCATCACGGGCGGGGCCGGTGACGTCACCATCGGTTGTTCGTTGGGCGGTTGCATCGGCATGGGCGCCAACTTAAACTCGTGAGCGAACTGATGGAGCTCCTTCATCGCCTCTTCCGGACGGTGAAGCGGCGGCGGCGGCTGTTGGCGGGGCGGCGGTTCCTGCTTCATCTCCGGCGGTACCACCTGGTACTGTTGATGCTGAACGCTCTGCTGCTGCTGGTACTGGTGTCTCTGCTGTCTCTGTTGGGGCCCCGCCTTCGCGTCGCCGTTCATCTGAGGCGGTTTCATGCCCTGATGCTGCAATGGAGGCGGCGGCCCTTGACGTGGACCGTTACCGCCCTGATAGTGCTGGGGCGGCGGTTGGTGTGGGGGCGTGTGAGAGTGGGGTCTCGAGGCCGCGCCGTGGACGATGCTCTGCCGGTAAAGGGGGGCCGTGTGGGCTTTAAAATGTTAACGGGTGGCGACGGCAGTACCATATTGGGGGGTTGCTGCTGAAGGGACATGGCCTGCATCTGGGCCGGGACAGCCGGTGGCCCGCCGGTCGAGTTGTGAAGGTGAATCGGGGGCGGTCCGTGTTGCATTTGCGGCGAGGGCAGTGGCGTCGATTGCTGCTGATGAAGAGGGGGATTGTGGGGACCTACAAATTCGTGCGACAAGTCGTAAATAAAAAAAAAGTAATAAAACAGTAAATTTGTTCACTTGATTATCATTCAAACAAACTATGATTGTAATAATGAAATACGGCTTTAAGATTTGCAAATGATCACCAAGATATCATGTGTAAAGGATTTTTTTTCTGTTCTACCTTAAAGACATATTGAGCCTTATGTTGTTTTCTTCATTAATAATAGCAGGGAAACAACAAAAACCGTATTGGTGCGATGACAAGATCAAATACGAAATGGGAGAAAAACGCAAAAAAAAAAAATGAAAGTACCAAGAAAGATATATGAAAAAAGATTAATCAATAGGAGGAAGGAAAAGTACAGAAAGTTGGAGACTTCTTCGAAACATGAGAACAGAAGGAAGAAGAGACGTATCCTTATCAATATTACCTCAAGAGGGGAACCAATATTTTGAAATGATGCTGATTGAAGATAGGCTACGTTTTAAAGATGACCCAAAAGTAGACTTGAAAATACATCGGAAGAACTTATTAAATGCGGAAGTGAAAAACCCAAAGAAGCCTTAAGACATCAGAAGTGCCCGAAGAATGGCAAATGTCATACTTGTCAGAATGCCAAACGATATGATAAAATGCAGTATGGAAATAAAACACATTATTGATGAAATTAGAACTCAGCACTGATATTGTATGGCCACATACAGAGAATGCCATAATATTGAATACCAAAAAAAAAAATTAAACTGGAACCCTCGAGGAAGAAGGAAAAGGGCTGGAAAGAGGGAATCGATAAGTGAAATTTGGGGAAGAGGTATGAATGACGACTTGTGAATCGATAGATAGGAGCGGAGATTAGGAATATATATATTTAAAAAAACAGTCTCCAAGTTCCCGATTCGCATTACTCACTGGCCACGTGAACGTTGTTCTGATGACTTTGATGGGGGGACGGGTGCGTGGGATAAGTCATGGGTGGGCGGTTCTCCTTAGGCGACGGCGAATTCTGCGCGCTGCTGCCGCCGCTCGGCGGTGGAGTACTCCTGACTAACTTGCCGTTGTTCTGGTTCTTCCTTTTCGCGGGCGGTAAGTACTTGCCTTGAAAAAAAATCGATCCCGCGTCAGACTGACGCGCCCAATTCCATACTAGATGTTTACCGTTCGATTCTTGCGACTGGTTGGGTCTGATGACCGCGGCGAACGCCAACTCTTCGTCGCCGTTCTCGAGGTCGAGTCGCGCCTTATGCTGGGGTTGATTCTCTATTTCGTTGGCTATTTGATCAGCCCGCGCCTGCGCTTCGCGAAAATCAGCGGAGTCGCTCGTTTGTAGGGGGACGGTGTATCCCCGCAAGGAATGGTCGAACGTGGACGTGACCTGACGCGATAAAAAAAATATGTATATATACAGGGTGTTCTAAAATTCGACGGCAACATTTTAACTGCGTAATGCTAAGGCGTAAAACTTTTTCGTTTTGAAGGGCAGGACGTTAATCATGGAGTTTTGCTATACTTGTACTTATAAAGATTCAAGGAGAAAAATTGGTAACAAATATTCTAAAAAAAAAATTGCAGCTATTTTCCCACCCACCACCCACACAAAGCAAAGGTACGAGTCATAGTGTGAAGTGGTTAAAATATTGATGTCTAATTTTAGAACATTGTGTATATAGTTTCAGTTACACATTAGGGGCGCTAAATGGGCGGGTTTCACTAGTTCTCTTAGAGTATGTCACTATATTATGATATTGTAATTCAAACGCTGAGTTATGGTACAATGGACAACTTATTTGTTTTAAGGAAGCCATTCTTTGATTCTTTTTAACATCACCAGTCTCTGTATCTGCCTCTTTACCATCCCTTTTTGATGTTGTCTCGAGTAAACAAGTATTATGGTATGGTAAATGGTATTAAACAAGTTTTTTTTTGTGTTTTTTGATATAGTATGGTTATCGAATTTACATAAATTTTTGTCAGGAGGGTTGACAAATATATTGTTTAAACACAGAGCAAAGGTGCGAGTCATAGTGTGAAGTGGTTAAAATATTGATGTCTAATTTTAAAACATTGTGTATATAGTTTCAGTTACACATTAGGGGCGCTAAATGGGCGGGTTTCACTAGCCGGACTTGAACACAAATTTTATTGCTTGGACAGTTCTCTTAAAGTATGTCACTATATTATTATATTGTAAGTCAAACGCTGAGTTATGGTATAATGGACGGACAACTTATTTTTTTTAAGGAAGCCAATCTTTGATTTTTTTTTTAACAAGATTTTAAACGCTTTTATCACCAACATCACCAGTCTCTGTATCTGTCTCTTTACCATCCCTTTTTGAAGTTGTTTCGACTAAACAAGTACTAACCCTTTGCATCTCAAAACAACCCTATAGTTAGCTAGCTTTAGACCTAAAGAAAGCCATTCTTCCATTTTTTTTTGCAAGATTTTAAACATCACTTTTATCACCAACATCATCTCTGTATCTGTATCTTTACCATCCCTTTTTGATGTTGTCTTGAATAAACAGGTATTAACACTTTGTTATTAATATAGTTCTGTGTATCCACTGTTTTTAAATTATTATAAACACCCCTATCTTTATATTTTTTGTGTTTTTTGATATAGCATTGTTATTGAATTTACTTGAATTTGTGTCAGGAGAGTTGACACATACATTGTTTAATAAAGTTAATAATTAGCTAGCTTTGGCTCAAAAGACTTCTGTAGGTTCGTATTTGGTGAAACAGGTAAGGCAATGGATGACATTGGTGTGTGCTCTCATGAAATACACCATTATATAATTCTTTCATTATACTAAACTGATTCATTCATTATGAAAAATTAATTTCTTCTGTTTTAATTTTATTACCCCGTAATCTTGCTCGTTTTTCTTAAACATATCGTTAGCGTCCCACCCGTTCGCCTGGGTGTCCAGATCCAGGCCGCTGTCAGTACCGTTCAGTCCGCCGCTCGGGTCCCACGGCTCCAGTTCGCGCTCCTCCAACTTGTTGCCGTTTATCCTCGCCGAGATTGCCGTATCAGTCTAAACAAAACCGCGGAGTGAGTCATTTTTTTAAAATCGAACAGTACCTCCACCCCCCCACCCGAAACCTTAGCTACCTGAAAAGTGTCCCTCGTGGGATATTCGAGGTCTACGTTCTTGAAATTCATGGTGAGAATGTCGCAAGCCTTAAAGATCAGCTTGTCGACGCACGTTTCGGGTATGATGCGCGCGTCGCTCGACTCGGGATTGCCGATCTTCACCGCTAGTTCAAGGACGACGTCGAAACTTCCAGAAAAAGTCTTAAATATACCTGTAAAGTCGTTACTACTGTTCATTGCGGCTGTCTCGCGAATGGTTATTATAATTATATCCAACGGAGACCCCACAAATGGTCGATTTAATATCTAGAGACCTGTTGACTTGTCCTCATATATGGATTCTTAGAGTGGCAAAAAGTTAGATTAGGGAATAAGCGAAACCGACGTAGCCGAGTTGATGTTAAACGATATTAAAGAATAAAAGTGTAGTTAGAATGTGGTCTATGCGTTGGCTCTGGTGGTCTACGTCGGGTAAATTGTCATTAGTTTTCGGTCTAACCTTCCCACACAGCACCGGAGGCGGTTTTGATTCTCGCCGTGTTACCGACTTGACTTGTCGCCGCATGCATGAAGTGAGGGTTGTTGTATACACCCTCTGCCGCTAGGGATCTCGTCCTCTGAACCCTACTGAAAATCAAAAACATCTCGCGTTATGGCAGGAGTAAGAATACCACACAATTCAAATATACGTTTCTATTAACCTATTTTTCAATTATTTTAAAACGAGATTCATCTCATCGCTCTTTTAAGCGCAACTTGGCCACTGTCACGATTAGAGAAGTGACTATTATTGGCCCTTTGGATGCCTTCGTGATAAGGGCCTAGGACAATCTCATGGTCCCTCACGGATCCCTATACAGACAAACATCAAAAACAAAAGGAAGGGTGAGAAACCATTTCCAAAAAGCGAGAAATATTAAGAGCAAAAAATTCAAGCTGGTTTGGATGAACAGGACATTATTAATACGAAGGGGAAAAGGAAAATTAGCGTTACTATATAAACTATATAAAACTTGCTTGCAATGGAAAAGTGAGGTTGCGCTCAATAAATTAAAAATAAAGGACTGGTAGCGCTTTCTGTTTTCTGAGAAATAAATAAATGAATTATGTTGACAAGACAGTTGTCAACTGGGTGGATATCAGGGTATTATCTGACGGCCAATAGTGAAACTCGGCGGCAGTGATTTCAACGTTAGTTTGTTTAAAAGAATTCACCATGGCGCATAAATAAAAACGCCCGGGGTGCATGGCGATTCCATGAAATTCTGACGCGCGTTCATACGGCGCCGCTGCCGCTGCATTCGGTGCAGCCGTATCGATAGTCGGTAGTTTCAAGGTCGTTTACCCAAATTAAATTGGTTTCTGGAATGTTAACGTACCAAGAGATATTGACGTTTTATTTCACTGACCTACCCTTGTTTCGTTACCTGCGTAAACCAGTAACAAATAATATTTTGTGCGCAATAAAAAATTTTATGTTCTAGTTTAATTTACATCACACGATACGCTGTCCACTAATGTTTTAACGTTCAGGTGGAACATTAAACGAAGCAATTACCGGTCAAATTTCACCAGAGCATTAAACAATACATAATAATTAGCGCCTTTTAATAGTTTGACATTAAACGGCGGGAGAACGCAGTTTAGTCCCGAAAGCTTTTAAACAAAACGAGTTTTAAACAATGGAGCATAAACGTTGCCCTCGCTGCCTAGAAAGCCGTGCGACGGCAATTGCTAGGTAAATTTCCACATGAAAACAAAATCGTCCAGAAAAATAGAAACACCACGTACCTGACGGGACCCCTGTTTTTCCTTTTGTTATTCATCTCGCCTCCGTTGTTACCACCGTTACCGTAAAGGCCGGTATCTCTATTTCTCGTCGGCACCGGAATTTTGAATTATTTTCTCGTCGATCTAATCCCGGAAAATACTTCAAACGAGGATGGCTTCCCGTTGATTTTGAAAAAAAATATAATCCCGATATTGCACGAATAAAGCAAAATACAAAATGGCTTATGTGACGTAACGAAGTTTGCGACTATTTTTTTCTCTTAATTTATTTGATCACATTCGCGTGAATGATTGTGTTGCCACATGTGCGGAGGCGCCGAGCGTATTACTAGCTTTCGACAAAAATTGCCGTGTGGATTGTTCAACAATTGCTATTTTGCGATAACAAACAAAATTCTAACCAGTCTACCGCTGGTAAATTGTCTGTCAGACTGATTTTTGACGTGACAAAATTCACATCGAGCGTGCGTAGATCCCAAGCCGCGTTGCCGTTCATTAGGATAAGGTTTTATGTGAACTTAAAAATTACCCATTTATGTTATGTTCAGTTTTTGCTTTAACTAAAAGATCTATGTTTAAGCTTTGTCGTTTCCAAACGAATTGACACAAACAAATTAAGCGGGTAGCAATTGAATTGTGGGATCACCAAACAGCTAATAAATCGTATTACACGATGCATAAATTAGACAGAGAGACTTATAAAATCGATTTTAAACTCATTCTAACAATGTTCGACACCTCGCGGTTTTCTTCAGCTTCCAAATTATTAAATTAAGTGGAGATTGGCGCGTAATCTGTGCAGATAAAAGTGTAACCGCGGCAACGTCGCGTAAACCTCTTCGGTCGTTGGCCGTTGCTGGCGCGCCGATTCGTGTTCGTTTTGTGGCGGCAAAAATGAAATTTTAAATAATCAATACTGGCCGAGCTTGCGTGGACTATATTTGGATGAAGTTCCTCGTAAAAAGGATTCAATAACCTAGAGGCAGAGGTTTTTGGCCGTGCAACTACCTGTTGGCGGATATAATAAGTCTGTAGCGTTTTGTGCGATCGGGGTGAGCCAAATAATTTAAGAATCCGTGCCTTTGATATGTTTCGTTATCGCTGCGATCGTTCTAAATAAAGAATGTTTATTTGAACAGCCCAGTGTATTTAAAAGGCCCTTATGTTTCAGATGAACCACAAGAAAACCCGCTGCAGGTTCGAAGACTTCAATCGGGACTTCAACGACCTTTACGCCTCTCTCAAAAAAGAGAATTATAGCGACGGCGAAATACGGCGCGTGTTCCACCCCTTGGTGGCAACGACGAGGAAATCTCGCCGTCTGTACCTGTTATTGGTCGTAATTTTTTTGGCAGTCGCGTTTTACTCTCTCACCTTTTGGGAAGCCTTCACTTGGCACCTCTCGGCCGTATTCAGGATAGCCCTGATCAAATTGCTACCGTACTTCGACTGGAGGTACCTGAAAAATGAACGATGCCTCGTACCGAAATTTGCCGCGTCACACGACCCCAGTGACGTCACGTTCAACTGTTACGTTTGCGAAAACATTAAGCGCGTGGACGCGTACGATTCAATCGACGAAGACGTTCTAAGCCAGAGGTACCTCGATTTGGACGTGCCAATCATTCTGACGAAAGGCATTGAGCACTGGATCCGAAATCCGGACTTCCTTTTCGCAAAGTTGGCGGCGGAAGTCGACTTCGCGCTGTCGTATCCGTGCAACGTGGCGACGAACGTATGCGCGCGCAACGTGGATGTCGCGACATTGCTTAAAATGACGGAATCGTTTGACAGTTTCTTTGTGCATTTTCGCAACTGCGAAGGCGACGCGGTGAGGACGTTTCGGAAGTATTCGTACAGGCCGGACGTTTTTCCTGACATTTATTCTCCGACTACTTATAACTGGATGCTGTGGAGCAAGGATTACAACGCGACGGCATTCAAAAAAATCGAGTTGGCGGAGAAGGTGGCGCTGCTGGGCCAGATGCACGGCAAGACTCGCGTGAAGCTTTCCCCGAGGAACAACTGCGAGTTCGCGTGTCCAGTCCTGGATTTCGTGTTGAACGTGGGCGAGTACGTAATTTTCACCGCCCTCTGGGATCTGCACTACAGACCGTTCGAGACGGGCTATAACGTGGCCGCCCTAATGGAAACTAGAAGTTAGTTTGGTTGCCTAATTCGCGTGTGAAGACTTTGATAATAAAATTGTATGTTGCTGAAACGTTGCGTTTTATTTGTTGTTTTAATTTTATGTTTTGTTATTTTGTTAAATAAAGAAATAACTATGATTAGCGAAAAGTTTTGCAGCCACTTGAATTGAACGTTTTTTTTATCGACACCTTTTCAATGGCATTTTTCTATTTCTTTCGCGTATGTCCGTTCTCAGCCTTAAGAAAGTGAGCGGCTTGAGCGTAATATAATTAATACCCGGGAAAATGCAAACCAAACTTTAATATTATGTAGTTCAGTAATAATAACCGCTCGATTTACAATTTTAATCAACCTTCATGCAAATGCAGATTGAATTTTTAATTATTGTAAATCTTTCTTCGCATTCAATTGTGTACTGAGTTTACGTCAACCCGTTGCTTGTATGGTGTACCTTGATCACTACCGGAAGGTAAGCTGCGTTTGCGATACATAGTTTTTCAAGCGAAAATATTTAAAATACAAAAGTTTTTAAAAATATTCACCTTCATTTTCCTCTTATGTTTAAAACTTACCGTACCCTAATTACAGTCAAGAATATGTCCAGAAGTTCTTCTTTATTACCCGTATCGAAATGAAGTGCACGTTGTAGTTGCAGAGGGCACCACGTGCACACTAGGTTACTCTCTTTTTGGTACTGCTTGTATAAACACTTTCAATTAGAAAACTATACATCAATTGGTGAGATTTTTTGACATTTGCCAGCTTTGATTGTTGCGTATTCGTCATGTAAATCATAACGAAGTTATTTTTTAAACTACACAATTTTTTTCTTTACAATCTGAAAAATGGATTCTTTTCAAATATGCAAGTCTGTTTTCGGAGATTTTCTAAATTTGAAAAATAAACAGATTTAGATCTTCTCCAGTCTCATTTAAGAACCTTTTGCAAGTATGTTTTTACAACTTTTAATTTCCTATTTTGCTTACTCTGTACAGGGTATCTTATTCTGGGTACTTTTGCGCGGCATCTCCGTTATTTTTATATATAGAAAGTTACGGTTTTCGCCACATTGTACTATTTTTTCTGGAAAGTATTTAAGATGCAGACATTTTCGGGCAGCCCTCGTATCTCAACTCTCAGATAACCTATCGAAAGTATCAAACTGTCTCTTATATAACTTTTCCTGTACAACTCAATTCCGCCTTTTGAGTTAGTATGCAGGACCAGATCAAAAAGTTATCCTTACCTTTGTTTAATGAAACATCCTGTATATTTATAGCCTATACGATTTGTTTTTTTACCTGTTCCGAAGTATATACTTGTATGCTCTTTCTCAGAAACAAGCGAATTAATGACAATGAATAAAAATAATAAACAATTAAAAATTAAATATTGCTAACGAAGTTTGCGACAACAGTTTTGCGGCATAAACGAAATTTTCTTTGAAACGAGCAAATATCTGAAAAAGCGGCTGCCTTGGTTCACAAAATTATAATGATAATACCTTTGAAAATATAATTTCGAGGCTGCTTCAGAATTTTCATAACCCTATATAAAACATATATCACGCATATCACATTGTGAAAAGTATCAATCAAACGAAAAAGAAACTGCTTTAAAAATCGCTGACAATATATGACATTTCTTTTTGTTTGTTGTTATAAACAATTATAAATTATTTATTAATGGGAAACCCTGTACTTTGAGGTGTTTCTCGTGTTGTTTACCTAATTTTTAAATTTGTCCTCCCCACTAATTGGGTGCAGTTGCGGAAGCATAAACAATGATTACTAGCTTCATTTTTCATTCATTTTTTAGAAATAGGTTTGCTCGTTATGGAGGAGCCAGCGCATCCTCGTCTGTCATACCATTTCACTGCCGACGAAATCATAGAGCAGGGCCGGACGACCAGAGAATATGTCGATACTATCAAGCGGTGGCTCGCCCAGCAAAACGATCACCGGATACCGCACGTGCAAGATGAAATGGTGGTCTTATTCCTGCTGTCCTGCGAGAACGATATTGACCTGACCAAGAACACTATCGCGATGTACTTCAAGTGCAAGAAAGACGGCCCTGAAATCTTCGACGACAGAGACATGAGCAGGGCAGGCCTCAATAAGGGAATGAATACCGTGTAAGGGTTTTTGGTGTTAGAGGTCTGTGGTTGAGATTAATGAGCTGGCCCTGTATTTCAACCTCAGGCACATGTCGAGCATACCTACGAGAACAGACGAGAACTACGTGGTCCATTACTTCAAACTACACGACACCAGCTACAGTAATTTCGACTTGGTGCCGATTATGAAGTTGTCGTACATGCTGGTGGACATCGCTCAAGAGAAGAATCCCCCCAACGGTTTGGTGGTGGTCATAGATATGAAAGGGGTAAGCCGCAATTCGCGGGCGTGGTATTCCGTTCTATTAAGGAATAATTTTTCAGTTCGGTTTGATGCATCTCACCAGGTTAAAGATGGGGGCGATCAAAACCTACCTGCAGTTCCTCCAGGAAGGTTTCCCCCTTCAATTGAAGGCGATACACATCCTGAACGGTGTCTACTTCTTCGATAAAATTATGGCGATCGTGAAAGTCTTTATGAAGAGCGAACTGATTGACATGGTGAGACTACGGTGTCGATATATTGACAGAACGTTTTTTTGTGTGGTATTCTAGAAAAAACATTGCTGAAACCGTTCCTGGGAAAATTACAATTATATTTCTCTTTCAAATAATCTTTCAGTTTTGATTTTATTAAATTGTGTCATCAAGAAAATAAGGTTTAGGTTGGAACGTAATCTAAAAGGGTCTTTTTGATCATAGATCAAAGTGCATTCGCCCAATATTGGTCAGGAAGAGTTGTTCCGCTGCATACCGCAAAAATGCCTGCCACGGGAGTACGGCGGCGACCTGCAATCGGAAAAAGAACTTCACGAAAAAACGGTGCAGCAATTTTGCGACAAACAAGAATTTTGGAGAATCGAGGAATTGATCAGAAAAAGTTGATGGTTAAATTTTCGATTGTTTTTCGTTGTTCCCAAGTAAATTTTGTTGTTTGGTTTGGATGGTTTGCTTTACTTGGATCTACTTGAAATCTGAAACTTTTACGTTAATGACTTACCAATTGGCTGATGTATCATATCATTATATGAGAGTTAAGTAATTGCACAATATATAAATGAGGAATAAGCGTGAATTTCGAATAGATTTTATAGAGTAAAAAGAACGATTGGTTCCGATTTGAAAAAAAAAGGTTTTTGAATTTCATTTTCATTGAAATTATTTGCTAATTTTGTTCAAAATTAGCCAGTGATTTTATAATGTCAAAAAGTACTTACTTTAAAATGTTCTAGTATAATCGAAAAAAAACAATAAATTGTGTTGGGCGGAAAGGTATAAATTAATAACAAATTATAGTAATTATCACAAATTAATAAAAACAAAGTTTGTGGAAATTATTGATTAAAATTTGCGCTGCCGAGTCCTAGAAACGCGTGTTATTAATAATAACAAATTATCGTCGTCAAATAACATGGCAATTTTTTTTTTTTTCTGGCGCGAATGAATTAATTTGCGATAGCGATGAAAACTCGAGGAAAAAAACGCGAAGCAGACGCACGAGGGGTCAAATTTAATGGCGAAGCGCATCAATAAATAAACGATATACATAAATTTATATAAAAAAAAATGACCCGCGTGCGAGTCAAAGTCAAAACGAGTAAAAAAAAACAATTCGTCTGCGTTTTAAATGGCTTAACACGGAAACTTGAAGCACGTCAACAAAAAATTGAGGGGTGGGGGTAGAGCGTCGGAAAGGGGAATGGAGCAAAACGTAAACAAACCGTTGTAAATATCAAATATAGATATTTAAATTTGCACTATATTTACAAGGTTAAGAACAAAGAACCACTTCAAGTTCAAGTATGCATTTCACAAAAAATGTTGGGCTCGACTGCTAGGATCATTCGCCCATTGCCGACTTCCGTCGAGGATCTTCGCTTTTGGTCATTGACTAACACGTACAAAGAAGACATATAACCAATATTTGCTAGCAAAAAACAAATTTGACCGATACCAAAAAAAAACCGACAGCCCCCGCTTCCGCCCCGGACCATCCGGGCCCATCCGGCCTCCATACCGGCGTGAATGGGGAAAAACGACAGGGCCGACGACGATTATAACTTTAAAACATGTACTGAACACTAAAAACACTAAGTCCACACAGTGGAAACCGATATCAAACTTTTGAGGACGAATACAAGGGATTCTGTCGGGAGCGAAGGGAGGTTAAACCGCCGCGTGCAATGCTCCACCACAGAATCCCCAAAGAACCACTTTTTTTTGTTCTCTATGCTATACAAACAGTTGGGCCATTCGCCCATTACCGATGTCCGTCGAAGATTTTTTTCCTTTTGGCCACAGACCAATAGTTAACAAAAAAGCTATTACCAACATTTATTCTCAGCTTCCAATATAGGACTTCGACCGATAACAAAAAAACGGCCTCTCCCGCTTCCCCCGGGGACCATCCGGGCCCATCCGGCCTTCATACCGGCGTGAACACTAAGACACTAAAAACACTAAATCCACTAAGTCAAAACCGATTCTATAATTAGTGGGGACGATTACAAGGGATTCTGTCGGGAGCGAAAGGAGATTAAACCGCCATGTGCAATGCTCACCACAGAATCCAAGAGAACCAATACTGATGATTTTGAATTTAGTAGCCGCAGAATTCATTTCCCATTCCTATGGAATATCAGTCGGAGCCACCTCATATCCATAAATAAATAAAAAAATGAAAATAAAAATAAATAAAAGACAGTGGGGAAAAAGTCACAATTCAGTCTCTTCCAAGGGAAGTTTTATGGTATAATCGACACTTTACAAGAAAGTAATAAAAAATTGGTGAAAGAGACATTTGCTTGACCAACCCAAGAAACTTATCAGACCAATAGGTCGATAGTTTATAACAAATGTAGGTGCACATGCTATTTACTAGCATAAAACAAACACATTTATTTAAATAGCATTTCAGCAATTAATGTCGAAATCCATACATGTTTCCTGCAATTTGCAACCATATAGATATTAGATATATAGATATTTTCTTTCTAAACAGCGGTTTCCACACAGTTAACTCGTTTTGCTGGAACATTTTACGGGATGTACGCATCCACACTCATTAATGACGTCTCAGCGGTTATGATACATTTGATAAAGGCACGGTGTTGTCGAAACAATTGTCATGTCGTAATATATAATTTCGTGAAAATCTGAACTTTTAATTCTTATTTATTTTGGTTATGTTGATTGTTGAATGTCGCAAAGTCATTTAAAAGGCAAATTTTGAATCTTGCTCGCATATTGGCTTTTTGGGGTCTCTTTTACAGAATACTATAAATAGGCTAACGTTATTTTTTAATATTCTATTTATCCAAGAAATTACCGGAACGTTTTTTGTAGCACCCTGTGGATAAAAATATGAAATATTTTAAATAAATTTCGTAAATTCGGCAAGGTCCAACCTAAGTGATTGTCAAAAATAATTCCAATATCATTTAGCAGGATCAAGACAGTTATTTTAAGATCTTCAGCAATTTTAAGACAATTTAAATCTGAAAATGAAACAAAATGGAATAAAATGTCAAAATGAATCTTGGATCTTTGGAGACAGGGTAATTTTTCAAATTCAAAATTTCTAGGCACCGTTTATAGTTGGTTAACTTATCTAAAAGGTGGGTGCATAAGATCGTAGGATACGTGACGTAGCCAGTTTTCTCCCGAAGCTCTCAAATTTTTATGTTTTTTTATGAATAGGCCATGGAAAGTACAGATTTTGTTTTAAACTAATTGCATAATTTATTACAAAAAGTTAGTTACCTGAAAAAACTTGTGTGTGCTCGCAATTTAAAATGCGCATTGATAAAACTTCCTATTATATCCAATTTCACATAATCATCATATGTCTGGTCAATATGGCCCACAGCAGAAGGATGAGGAAGCAGAAATTAAAATATTAAATACGAAATGTCATTACTGTTTGATAGTATAATAGTGTAATAGTATATTATGCAACAAGTGCGGTAAACGGCATTTGACTCACGAGTTTATTTGATACGAGCGTGGAGCGAGTGTTTAATAAACGAATGAGTTAAAAAGTTTACCGAACGTGTTGCATACTATACTTTTTCTACGACCGTTAGTTTTTGGATACATTTCCGTAAAACAACACGAATACCTTCACTGACGTGACCGTCAGAATTGACAAACGTGAAAATTCAAAGCGTGGGAAATATATCCGAAAACATCCGATCGCTCCTAAATCCGTGCGGTAAAATCCCGGAAATGTCCGAAGTGACTCGGATTCGTGGGAAAGGAAACTGACGTGGTAAAGTGACGCTTCCCGCACGCTAGATCGGTGCGTAATTAGGTATTTTACAGACGGGAGTAGAAAAATAAAATTTATTAGGAAAACGGACACCTTTTTTCTATGGCCTGCTCAGAAAAATCAAATTAAAATTATAAATATGCTTTTGTATTTGTCTTTGTATTTACCTATATGTATTTGAAATACATATTATATAATTATAAATTTTTGAACCTTTAATAACAAGCCTAATACCATAATTAAAATAAATACAGGGTGTTCTATAAAAATCACACGTCTGGTTTGTGCGTGAATCATATGTAAAAAACTTCATCCACAATTTGGGTTTCTAACTAAAAACTTTAGGTTGGCTTGGTAATTTTTTCCGAATAGAAATGAAAGAAAAGAACGTCATATATTGTAATGCTCACGAGCACACCTGTTTTTAGGAAATATTTGAAAAACGTCTTCAATTACTTTTTCTTATTAGTCAAAAAGGTGCTATGTGGGGAAGAAATTTACCCTCGTTTCATAGTAACGTCCGAAGAATAGTCGCTAAATTAATGCTTAAATGATAAATGAACTCATCATTACCGCACTTGTCGGTTGACAGGTTAATATTATGGTTCAATATAACTCGATGCAGCTATCCACGTAGAAAATGCACCTCATTCATGTAGCTATGAGTCTTGATTGAACGCAACACCCCGGTACACCCATCCTCGTATTTTCGTTACGTCCCTCGTACGGACAGATTCGAAACCGACTGACCTCCTTCCACTTGAAGAATACCACCACGGACACGAGGCGAACACCACTTGACGCAAATGCCCCACCACCAAGTTCCACGCGGATCCCGACCAACTCGATACCGAATTTCGCTGATACCAGTTGGACGTTGACTTAACGCGAAGTCGACATTGTCCTTTCGCCCGCATAGTTGCGAATTTCGAAAAACGTACATCATACATCTCGCGCCTCGGTTCCCGTCTGGTTTTTCGACGTTGGTACCGGAAGAAATGTCCGAACTGACGTTCAAGTACAGCCACCCGTTTCTAGAGGGATTAAAATCGCCGCCAGAGGGCAAGGAAAAAGACGTGCGCAAGATAAAGACATGGTAAGCTGGTGTGAGTGCTGGTGCACGGTAGATTCCATGATTATTTACTCATGTGATAAATTATTTGCTCTGCAAGCTTTGGATGAATCATTACAGGTCACCTAATATGTGCTAAAGACTCCCTATTCCAAGTTACTGTAAATTAACCCAACGCAATAAGATTTGATATCTTATTAGTTTTGGGTATTTATGGTATTAGTTTTCTTTAAAGCTTTTTTCAATTTTTTAAAATATTTTTATTATTTATTTATTTTAAAATTTATTATTGTTTTAGTTTCTCAAGTTTACCATAGTTACCATAGTTGCATAGTTGGTAGTTACCTGTCACCACTTAATTGCCAATATCTTGGATTTTGAAGGCTATTCCAAACAGCAAATCCGGTTCCCAATCCGAAATTTAAATTGATGACGGTTTGGAAAAAAACTTCGTATGATCTTTGATTTCAGAAAATGTTAGCCAGAATGTTTCTAACTTTTGAAAAACGATGGTACCTTCCCCAATTTGAGTCGCCCTGTATTTTCGCCGTATTGAGAATCGAATCGCATTAACTATGTGATTTTACGTAACGGTGCTTTGGTGTAATTAATGAACAAATTTGTAAAATGTTTGTTTAACTCATACTGCTACTACTGGAAAATATGAAGGCTTTGGTATTTTCTTAGAATTGGGAATGATCTTGCGCGCATGGCTCTACATTTCACCGAATAACCGCACTTATTTACGATCTGTCAGCAGCCATGTCGGTTCTTGAAATTCTTGTTGCTCGCAAGTCAGAATTTTCAATTATTTGTGTCATTTGTTAAAAACGAGATCTTGACTCCCGCGCATGCGCATGTACGGTTTAATTATAACGTAATTTCCAAAAAAAAACTGCATTTCATTTGACACTAGCAGTATCAGAAGTTTCGACCCTCTGTTGCCCTAATCATTTTCAAAAACTTCTTCCTCTAAGTTGAAAATGCAAAATATTTGGATTTTTAAGGAGACTCCTCGCAGACGCGCAAAACTTGTTCCACGGCGATCAACGCATCAATTAAAACCAAACCTGCTTTGCCACGAAATTCCTATTAGCAGATATATGCAAAGGCGTAGCGAATGCAAGTCGTATCTTATCACCGCTTGCGCTTGAGTTGCACAAACTTATGTATCACTGATTAATAAATAGTCTGATAAAAAAGAAAATATCGACTCATACGGTGACTTTGAAATTTCAAGGTCTTGTTGATGAGTTTAATTTAGATATTTCCAAATTGTACCGACGAACAAGCGTTGTCAGCTTTGTCCGAAACCAGTACGAATCCAAAATTGTATTATATTCTATATCCATAGCTGCAAAAAATAATGAGGAAGAGAAAAATAATAATGCTGTAAAAGTCTGTAAAAGAAGAGTAGGAGCCTCTATATCTTTTTTCTGTAGGTATTTTTTTTATTGCGATGACATTTGAAAAAGTTTTTTTGCAGTTTTTGATAACAGTTACGTTTTTCTTAAAGAATTAAACTATTAAGCTGCTAAATTGAAACTATCAAATATAAAAGATATTAATTTAAATGTTTCTCCTGATTACATACTAAACGTTAATAGTATATTTTCTACTCCCGTCTGTAAAATACCTAATTACACACCGATTTAGCATGCGGGAAGCGTCACTTTACCACGTCAGTTTCGTTTCCCACGAATCCGAGCCACTTCGGGTATTTCCGGGATTTTGCGGCACGCTTTGATTTTTTTGCGTTTGTCAATTCTGACGGTCAGGTCAGTGACTGTATTTGTGTTGTTTACGAATACATTCACTGACATAACAGTCAGAATTGACAAACGTCAAAATTCAAAGCGTGGGAAATATCTCCGAAAACATCCGATTGCTCCCAAACCCGTGCGGTAATATCCCAGAAATGTCCGAAGGGGCTCGGAATCATGGGATAAGAAAACTGACGTGATTGGGTATTTTACAGACGGGAGTAGAAGAAATAATAAACTAACCTTTCAATTTGTTTTTCTTTACTTGCTATACTGATATATACCTGGAATTTTCCGTGGAATAATATTTAAATAGTATGAAGTGATTTCAAACAACATTTGTCTTTAAGATTTGTTGAGATTTTTTAGGTTCTGAAATGCCTCTAGTTTTTTTAACATAGGCGATAAAAGTATGCTATTTTTTTTGAGATCGAGACTATAGGTTTTTTTACTAGACGTTGGTTCTGTGATTCTTTTTGGGACAGACATATTATTTTTACTGCCAATGCAGATTTTTTTCTCATTTAATGTTGAAGCATAATTAAACATTGAAATAATATGTACACCCACAATAAAACATTTAAGGATTGAAAATAATCCCGAACGGGCAAGCGAACGCATGCGCATAGATCCGTAAACATAACCTCAACCTTTTTGTTAAAATCAATCTCATACCATGATTCTACGCATGTTAATTAAGACTAGCTTTGCTCTATGACGATTTTGGCAAAGAATACGTAATCGACATAGCTAAAGTTAAACTTCGTAGATAGCTCCGAGGACCGTACTAGTTCCCAGGCGAAGCATTACGTAAGCGAGTACGCGATCGACGTTTGAGAAAAGGGAAAGTGGTTAAAATTCGAGTTAAGTGGCTGGGTCACTTTCCTCTTCGTCAAATGACTTGTGCGCGCATTCCTCAACGACACGGTCCACATATTAAAAATTTTCATATAAATGGCCAAATAAGAAGGTCAAGTGCGACTGAAACACAGTCCCAGCGTTTTTCTTTACATGCTCTGTGATTTTTTTTTAATTTCAAATATGACCTTTTAAAGTTCACATAAAAATTTGATCAATCAAAAGCCACTTTGCTAACCAATTTATCCTATTTTACTACTAGACAATTATAATTTAGGCCTTCTAGAACATAGAACTAGATTTAATATGATTAATTCAATAAAGTAAAGTGCAATCTATGTTTGACACCGCGATTAACCTTACTTGATAGCTATCAATCTGAAATCCGGTCATACTTTCATTCAGATTGTCTGACGTCACAGTTCGCTGCCCTGATATTTGATTTGTGAATTTTATCAATAACTATACCAATTGAAACCTCGCGACAACGTCGTACATTAATAAATTCCTTTAGAGTTTGGCGGAGTCGCACAAATCCAAAGTCCAGCTAGTTATTAATATTCCGATGTACAACGCTATCAAGAGTGACCATGGAAATGTTGCAAGTTTTTGTAGTGGCAGTAGTGTCGCAAAATACATGTCAAAATAATTTATCAAAGCCACCTATGCCACGAAGAAGCATAACATATGGGAATCTTGAGTTTTTTTTTTGTTCCGATTCAAGCAATCAGATAATGAATGTTTTCGGAGATCGTATTCCGTGGGAAATTACGTAGCGACTATGACATTTCCGGTCAAATAAAATCCGCGCTTAACGTTGGTGTTCGATTGACAACAAATTTTATAAGCTTAAAAATTATTAACGAAACGTGACCGTCAAGATTGCCCAATTAAACCGTCGGAAACGTACGAAAGTGAAAAAAAATTCTAATTATTGCGCAAAAACCAGTCGCAGTTTATTTATTATTACATTATACAAGGTGGTTGCATTTAAAGCATATATTTTAACACCTTTCGAGAATTTGAAACAACGCTGCCTTAAGGAGACAACATTTTTTTAATATAAACTATTGTTTAACAAAATGTTAAACAAATTTTACAACATTTTCAGGATGTCCACGCAGTCCCACTTGCCAGAAATCTCGGACGACTACGTACACCTTTTTCTCCACGCTTGTTACTACTCCATGGAGAAGACTAAGAGCGCCCTCGAGTGCTATTTCTCCATCAAGGCTGCCCACCCGACGATTTTTGACTCCAGGGATCCCGAAGATCAAAAATTGAAGACCGTTCTTGAACTTGGGTAAGACAACGTTTCGCACCTTTTTTCTGTACCAAGAAAACATCCCAAAACTAAAATAAATGGAAGGCAAGAAGACCTGAGTAAATAAAACAAACTTTTGAGGAAACAATAGAGAAGTGGGTTAAAAGTTATTAACGAATGTAGCGCAATAAGGAAACACTGAAGAAACAGAGGAAATCGCAAATAAATGCAGGTAAAGAAATTTAAAAAGAGATTTAAAAATGGAGGCAACAAAGTAAATCTAAATAAACAAAAAACGAGGTACATTTAAAAAAAACACGAGTTGGAGTTGCCATAAGAGGTTAAGCACCTTTAACATATTAGAGTGCAACTCGTGCCGTATTAAATTCGATATTTTTCCGCCATTAAAATAAACAATTACTTTATCGAGGCCAAACCGAATTGTTCATTTTCTCTTGCGCGATCACATTCTCGCGGCCAATGAGGTAACACCAACGCCGTGTCCATGCAACAGGATATTCTGAATTGGTCGTTTTTCCATCACAAAGTATAATGAATCGCTCGAAATGGTTCTTCCTTGCCTCGACTGATCACGTAACGCGTTTTAACGACTTGCATTTCCTTATGCCGGGTTATTATTAACCGGCGATTTTTCGCCCCACAACTCAGTGGTAGGGACGTTCAATTCTGGCCGAAAACATTGAATCATATCTGTGTTAGATAAGGTCTTTCTACGCAAGAGTTAATAGTAGTTTAACAAAAAAAAACTCATAAATCAATACATTTCGATAATACAGAATTATCATCACCAGAATTTAATTTAGAAAATTATTTACATTAACATTAGGGTCAGAGTCGTTAAAATATGACGTCACACGAAAATGTGTGACGTCAATATCAGCAGGTGGGAATTGTTAAAGTAACCTAAACTCTTTGATCTATGGATGCTGTGGTAATTTTGTCGTTGTATTCAATTACTGTACGTTATAGGTTATATAAATTATAGGTTATTTGTTTTAACCATTTTCGAGCGTGACGTCATAGCCGCTTTTATCGATCAATTCGTGAATGCGTGCAAAATTATTATTATTATTAGTCATTTCTATACAATAATCAAAACATTTAATTTTTTGTATAATCATTTTTTATTTGGCCCATTTTGTCGATTTTTCGATTTTTGTCGAATTATTTTGAGTAATTTCTTCAAAATAAAAAAAATTGTAGAAAAATAACAAAAAACTTGGAAAGCAATTATTTTTTATTTGACCTATAAAAATGTTTCCTTGTTCTGTTGCTTGAGATGGAAACCTCGATAATGATCATTTCATAATATCGATACGTCGGTTTAAAAGTTTTTTCTGTTTTGAATAACTTAATTACTATTAAGTCTTGAGGAGAAAGATTTTTTTGTTTCGTTTATGTTATTTTTTGTCTCAACATCTGAGGATTACAGTCAGAACGCAACAAACGAACGAATAGCGAGAAAACTTTATATATGTTACATAAACGACATAGAAAACTTCTTTACTGCACAAGTACAGCAAACCTCTAACTTCACCAATTAATTCTTGTCTTTCAACAGAGCTCTTTTACTTTGACATTAAGGCCGAGAAAAAAAAACAGAAAAAATAGCTTCATTTAAAAGAATGGATAATGACATAAAGGCGACCTCTCCATGCTCTGATTGAAATTGAAGGTTTATTAACATTTGTTGGGTGTACAAACCAAAACGTAACCACCAAAAACCTGCGTTTTTCGTAAGAGAAATGTTGAAATTGTTTAAAATGTGAAAACCGCAGATTTTATCTTTTCTATTAACGACTCATTATTCATTCATCTTGCGTAGGAATCTGTTGCGCAGAAAATTGAGGGAACAATCTTGCGGGCACGTTTTTCTGAAATGCACTAGGCGATTAACGAATAGTCTTGGAAATGTAAAAAAAATAAGAAAAGAAAAACGTCAAGTTCACTAAATACTGCCGTTTAATTATTAAGACCTTCTTTTTGGTTTTCGTTAGATTTGAATTTTTGGATTTCATTCTCAACAGTCCCAATTAACGCAACGACAATTAGATAAACTTTGTTGTAGTCGAGGTATTTTTCTGGACGAACAACTTCGGCTGCTGCTGAAACGACACGATCACCCACTAGGTATTTAAGAAAAAAAAATTTCGCTTACGTTCCACGGATATCTGAGCGTTCTAGCTTTGGCGCTCTCGACTGAGCGGCATTCCGAAATTTGGACTAAGCATTCTCTCGAAGGGCAAACAACGGACGACTTGGAGTTACCAAAACATTTTTTCCCACCTGCAGCGTTGCCAGCTTCACCTGCAATATTGCTCGAAATTCACTGAACTCGCATCAATGGCTTCACAATTGTGTGAGCCAAAGTTGTTTTTCTCACCACTGCATGGTCTTGGTCTCTCAGTGTGGCCTCCCTTGTCGTTCCTTACGCAGGGCTCGCTCTTTGCCGCTCCCAGTCCATCTGTTCGCTCTAAATTATATTATTACATCAGGTAAACAAGAAAAATAACACAATTACCAGATGCCTTCGTCACCATACACTCCTTGGGTTGTTTCTTGCATTGATCGTTCCACGGATACTTGTCGTATTTGGACTTCCTGTCTGACTTGACGTCTACCGGCCTGCCACACACATTTCTCTTACTCCCACCCTTTGCCAGTTCTTCTTTTAACCTTTGGCACGCGTTGGGCGCTATGCTCGCGTCATTTTTACACCCCACTTCTTGAGAACTCGTTTCCTTCTTTTTTACGCAACTGTAGTCGTTTGACTTACCTTCCTTTGGTGGTCCACCTTTTGAACAAGACTTTTCGCCTCCAGCCTTTCCGCTACCAACATCTTCGCTCTTCTTCTTCGGCGTACAGTCGTTCGTTTTGGATTGTCGGGACTCCCTCAACTTAGCGCATATCTCTTCGAACTTGTCCTTGCTGTCTTTATCGGAACAAGCTCCGCTCTTGGCTTTGGTGCCGGCTCTATCTTGCTTCAGTTGTTTGCAGACGTCTTTTCTGTTTAAAGTTTGCGACTTCGTATCGTCCTGCTTTTGTTGTTGACAATCTGGCGGCTTCTGACCCTCCATTTTGCCTTTCTGCGCTTTCAAGTTTTTGCAAAACTCTTGCAGCTTCGCTGCTTCGCTAGCAATCTCAGCCGAAATATTGTCCGTATCGCAATTGGTGTTTTGGGCCATGTTTTTAGATGATCCACAGACTTCGGCCATGTCGGAACTTGTACTAGCTTTGCTCGCGTCTCTGGCTTTTTGCTTGCAGTCATTTGACTCACCTTTCGCAGCTTCAGCTCGTTTTGCAGCTTTGCTCGCATCTCTGGCTTTTTGCTTGCAATCGTTGGAATCATCTTTCGCGGCTTCAACATGTTTTGCAGCTTTGCTCGCGTCTCTAGCTTTTTGCTTGCAATCGTTCAAATCATCTTTCGCAGCTTCGGCATGTTGTGTGATTTTGCTTGCATCTCTAGCCTTTTGTTTGCAATCACTTGACGTATCTTTCGCAGCTTTGTCTACTTTGTGATCTGTACTGCCTGGTTTTCTGCACTCGTTATCCATGAGCTTTTGCTTTACGGGCTCTTTAATTGCTGAGGCGTCTGTCGACTTCGCGCAACCGCTTGCGGTCTGCTTCCTTTTTACGCAGTTATAAGCATCGGCGTCCTGTTCTGGAATACCTCTAGGGTCTTGGGAAGCAGACGACGTACCTCTTCTCTCAGGTTTACATCTAGCGGTGTAGTCTTCAAACTCGCACGGAATGCACGAGTCTGCGTTGGCATTGCTACCACTACCTTGCTCTCCTTTTACGCAATCCTTTGGGATGGTTGGTTTCATTTCTTTGGTTTTCGCCCCTCTTATGGATGAGTTTGGTTTACCTCTTCCGGGGTTGCTCCCTCCTGCATAAGCAAAGTAACTGAGATTAACTATCTTCTTGCAAAGGTTTACTTACCGCTTGTGTTGGATGGGTTCTTCGTGGAATTCTTCGCCTTATTCTTCTTCTTTCCCTTACCTTTCCCGAAGATGGAAAACGAAGCGCAGTCCATGCTTGACCCACCTCCCTTTCCTCCGGTGTTTCGGCCGCTTCCATCAGAACCGACAGCGCCAGATCCTACGGAACAAGAATAGCATTGTTTGTTTTCTGCCTTAGACTAGATGGAACTTACCAGACGTCATGCCGAACGAGCCCAGGTTGGGTTGAGATCTGGCCAGCGTTACGACGATGGGGGCCGCCTTTTTGCCGCCCTTTTGTTTCCTGATGATCATCATGCAAACGTCCGACACTTTCCCACTGCAGTTGCTGAGAAAACTTCTCGGCTTATCTGTTTCTGTTGCTTCTTTCGTAGCAGAGGAAGGCGATGTGTCTGTTTGAAGTTTCCTTTTCCCATCAAAAATTTGCGAATCTCCCATCTTCTTGCCTGTATCATAGCATTTAAATTGCTATCTATACTAGTAAGAGGTGTGGTTACCATCGATGGCGATAGGCTGCCAACTGCTTTTCGAGCTCTTATGGAGTGGATTGTTCGGCATTCCAGCTATATTTTCGTTTGGTTTTGGTCGGAAAAGTCTGGAGTCATCGGCCTCCATTACAACCGATTCCGCTGGATTTGCTGTAAAAGAAAACACACAATGTGAAGGAACCTCAAGCCCCATAATCGAGCTCACCTGTGGTTTCCATTTCCTCTCGACAATCGTCGTTGATCTTAGCTCTTTGTTGAAGGTTGGAAGTTTCATTATCTTCTTTGAATTCCAAACCAGAATCCTTGCGACACTGATTCTTTGCCTCTTTGAGTGCAAGTTGATTTGATTCTTGCTCTCCCCTGGGTTCTTTACGTAGTTCCTGCTGCTTAAACTCGTTGACTAGGTCTTCCTGCTTCTTGTACCCGTCATGGCTCTTGTTGATGTCGGCAATCACATGCCTCGCTGGATTAATTATCCGGCTTCCACCGATCTTGTTTTCTACTTTGAATTGGTTTCGCTTAAGTGGATCGTATTTGTGGGGCGAGATAACTGGAGCAGTTTTCGAAGGGTCTCTGTATTCATTCGGCCTGATGGGCTCTCGAATGTCCGGCTTCCTATTTGTATCCCTTATAGCGCGATTTCCGAGCTGTTGGATGGAGTACGCGTCGTGAAGACTCAGTTTACTCAGACAAGATTCCAGATTCCTCTCCATGCGGTCGAGCGCTGAAAATAACGAATAGAAATAGAAGGGACACCCACTCCATGACGATGTTCACCTTTCTTGACTTCGTCGTATTTCAGAAACTCCTTCTCGATAACAGGTTGTATCATCTGTCGAATGGCCCTCGCTATCATTTCTTTAGACTTCTCTCCGATTTCGACCTTGGGAACGGTGTTGAGGGCGCTGCATATTTTCTGGTTCAAGCTGTCCTTGGGATGGATAAAGTAAACTTCTCTGTCGTCGTTCGGTTTCTTAGTTTTGGGCGTCGTCGGTTTATCTTTGCTGTTACTGGCCACCGTGGAAGCTTCCGCGTTAAGCTCCCCAGCTTTCTCGCTGACTTCTGAACACGATTTCGTGGATTTAACTTTCTCCACGTCCTCGGGGCGAGCTTTGCTCGCAATCGGAGAAGATGTGGTGGATTTCGGTTTCTTTTTGGCCGGCACTTCATTTTTGTCAAACTCGTAAACGTCACTATGGGTTTTCGACTCGAACTTGTACCTGTGCACCGGCTGGAACTTTGGCCTGCTCGACTGCAGCTTGACCAGATCGAATAGGGAGATCGGACACTCGTTTGGTTTACAAGGTAACCCGTTGCTCCTGACCGTCACGTACGGTGTCGTGCTCGCAGCAGACTGGGCCTGATCTTCGACGCCGTCGTCGAGGTTCTTCTGGTGGAGGTTACAGCACGAACTGAATAACCTGTTTCCGTGCCCGAATTTCCCCATTTTGGGAGAGTTCTTTTCGAAAAAGCTCGCCAGGCGCCGTCGGTTTTTCGACACGCACTGCTTGCATTCGTGATTCGCGAGGAAATGGTCGAGCTTGTTCGCGCACTGCGCGTCCAAGAACTTTTTCTGTTCTATTCTAGCCTGCACGCTCTCGTTCAGTTTCAAAATGTTGCCGATTCGACGCGACGAAGAGACGGATTGTTTCACGACCCGATCATTTATCGGCTTTATACAGGGTCTTTCATGGATCTTGTCCCTAAAGCCCTCCTCGGTCCTCTTGTCCACCTGCCTTCTATAATAGGTGGCTCTGGCCGGCCTCTTTTGACTAAAATTCCTTCTAATCTTGGATGCGATTACCGTGAACGAGGTGGTGTTTTTCCGAGCTTTGCTGGATCTTGGTGCTAGGTTTATTTGGTCTGAATGTTTGAATGTTGACGTGAGCTCTGCTTGGATTGAACTACTGCGAGGGTCCACGAAGTTGCTGTTTGGTAGTACGGGTAAGGCGGCGCGATCAGCTTGATGGTGGTTGTGGTTTTCTAGGGCGATCGCGGAAAATGCTTTTTTTGATGGGGACGCCGCTGCCTGTTTTGGAGGGAGTTTGCGATTTACGAAAATACAATTTTTTTACAGTAACTATGCAGAGTTTTTAAGTACGGTGCCGAACTTTAGGCGGGTGTGACTTTAGCAAAATTAAAAAAAAATGTTGAATTGGACTGGGGTGGCTTTTACTTGATGCAAATCCATTTAACACAATTAAATTAGAACAAAAAATGTACCAAAGACAGACATGTACTACAGAGTTATAAATACCAATTCATCACTTTTTAATGACAGGGAAAAATACCAACTAATATTCATGAATCATCAACCTCCAAAGCTATATTCTTTAATTAAATTATACAGACAGGATATGCGACTAAAGCCTATATATATATATATATATATATATATATATATATATATATATATATATATATATATATATATATATATATATATATATATATATATATATATATATATATATATATATATATATATATATATATATATATATATACATATATATATATATATATATATATATATATATATATATATATATATATATATATAGTGTTCGAAGTGTTTTCGGAGCGCGAGCATTGAAGATGCCAAGTGAGATTTTGGCGAAACGTCTGCAGGATTCCAGTCGGATGCAGGATTCCATATATATATATATATATATATATATATATATATATATATATATATATATATATTGATTATTGATTCACGGATGAAAAAATGTGATCACAGTATATTCCGGGATATCATCCGTTCGCTTGTTGAACTCCGACTGGAATCCTGCAGACGTTTCGCCAAAATCTCACTTGGCATCTTCAATGCTCGCGCTCCGAAACACTTCGAACACCGAGATCTTCAATGCTCGCGCTCGCGGTGTTCGAAGTGTTTTCGGAGCGCGAGCATTGAAGATGCCAAGTGAGATTTTGGCGAAACGTCTGCAGGATTCCAGTCGGAGTTCAACAAGCGAACGGATGATATCCCGGAATATAGTGTCATCATATATATATATATATATATATATATATATATATATATATATATATATATATATATATATATATATATATATATATATATATATATATATATATATATATATATATATATATATATATATATATATATATATATATATATATATATATATATATATATATATATATATATATATATATATATATATATATATATAGTTTCATTAAAGTATATAGCTTTGGAGGTTGAGTATTCATGAATATTAGTTTTTTAGTTTTAATTAATTTAATACATAGATGTTATATTTTGTATTTGATAAAGGCACGGTGTTGCCGAAACAGCTGTCATAAATCATTAAAAACTGTGAAAATCTAAACAACAATTTAATTGAATGAAATTGTTGGTTTACTGCCCTATCAATGAAGGGACCTTCGCAATGCAGCGATGAGAGGCAAGAAGAAAATAAATGATGCTATACTAATTTCAAAAACCTCCGCGAGATCGAAATTTCAAACAGAATCAAAACTGGTGCACCTTACCGGCAGTTTGAGGCATTTGATGTTTCTTAGCAATGAGTTCATCACGGGGAATTTGGAGAGGCGGGATTAAAAAAACCGAAAGAAAAAGGACACTGACGTAGAGGCTGACGACAATTTTGACGCGGACAATTTCGATTGTTGAGTCGTCTCAAAATTATCCGTCAAAATTCCAAGTATAGAGCAATGTATTTTTTGGCCAAGCATCTGCGGCCATGTTCCGTAAGTCGCTCACGGAACAAATTTACGTTTCACAACACAGCGGCGGGTTTCAGAGGTCGTTACGAACCACCCAGTTGGGGATGAACTTATGCAAAGACGACGCCGCTGGTAAGAGCGCGGTAAAACAAGCGTCGTCGTTCTTCCTGATCCATCCCGAAAAGTTGAAACAGCTGATCAAGGCGAAGGACGCCATCACATATTTCGAGTCTGACGATTACCGCAAGAATACGTCGGTAGTTTCCGATAACAAGGCCAAGATTTTGCCCGATGTTTTAAATGGTATGCAGGGGGTGCTCCCTTTTCGATACGACACAAGCGGAGACGGGATATACGAGGTCAGCCCGACCATAAATTAATATTTTATGGCGTACGGGGCAGGATCGCGATCAGTATTTGGCAAAAGTTGTAAACCATTCTATAAAAATATCACTTAAAAATTAAATGTTGTAAAGAAAAGTTTAAAAAGCGCCAGATCAACAAAACTTGATAAAATCTTGTTTTATATGCCATAAACCTTGTTACATACTAAAATGGCTCACAACATTTTATTATAATTATGAAGATTCACAGTAATATCCAACCCATAACCAAATAGCTTTGTTCCTCCATAACTTAACAAACTGCTGGAATTCGAAGTTTTAATGTTTAAATGTGGGCCGTTTTTCTTAGGATACTTCCTTATCTCAGAAACTATAGGGGATGAAGCCAAAAGTTAATTACAAAAGTTAATTGAGGTATTACAAACCTTCAATTTATTTTAATGTCGTAGCGATTTTTGAATTTTGAATTCTATATAAAATTCTAGGTACCTTCTTTTATCTGACGCTTAAGTTCCTCGACAGTTGACGGTTTGTGTTGGCACACTAAATCTTTAGGTCTACCCCATAAAAAAAAATCTAGGGGAGTTAAGTCTTGGCGAAACTAACATTTTCCTCAATCCATTCTCTATAGTCAGCATTTAAATGGGTGCTAATTTCTTGATTTCAGTGATAAGGAGCGATATACTGCTGCCAAATCAAATCTCTTCGTTCCCTTTTAGGGCACTTCATTTCCAACAAAGGGATGGATAATATTTAAAAGCTCTTAGTAGCGTTGGGAATTTAAATTCTGATATAAAATTACTGGACCTTTTATTCTGAACCTCCAAATGGCGCACCATACTTTAACAGAAGTTTTTTATTATTCTTGTTGCTCCAGTAACGAATATTTTTCAGATTAAAAATTGTAGTTGAGGTTGTAAATATGGACTCATCTGTCCAGATACTATTAGCAGATACATTTTCCGAAAAGCGTCTCTCCATAAGATTGTTGCAAAAAATTTAATCTGATGTTGTAATACTGTTGCCCTAATTTAGGCACTGGACAGAATTTATTAGGACTTCCAGTTGTTTATTTGAAGGCACCTTCGAAGTGTTTTTCTTTTGACATCTAGAGCTAAAGAATCTTTAGGGGCCCCTGCAAAATGCAACAAAATATTCCATATAGTGTTGATAAACATGATGCCAAAGCAAGCGAGTAAATTAAATTTATAAACGATAAATAAAAAAAAAATTATATGGCTACAGCACGTCATTTGTGATAGACAAATGTTTCAAAAAGTATTATTAGCCATATACAATCTTTAATAAAATTACCCTATACTTATTATATTATATGCAGGGTAGTCCGTAATGCATGGACCAAAGATTAAACTCCTGAAAGTAACTATTTTGAGTTAGAAAGTTATGGAATGAAACGAAAAGACTACTGTAACCAGCGCCCTCTACACATTATGTAAAAAATAGGATGTCGAATAAAAGTTTCCATGTCGATATTTCAAAAACTGCTTGAGGTAAAGAGAAAAAATGAGTGCCATTTTCACTAAGGCTTGCTTGGTTCAATGTCATTATTTTCACTAGCTGAACGCAGGATTACTTTTTACTGCATTAATTAGCATATTTTTTGAGTAGTTTTCGAATATGCCAGGGCTTCCATTAAATAAAGATCATAGTATAGTGTCCATTTTACAACTCAAAAGTAATGGAGAGTAGAGAAGAAGTCGGGTTTTCTTTTGCCATTACAGAACAAAGACGTTTAACCGACAGGAGTGACCTGGATCATTTTGTTTTTTTTTTTGTAGATTTAAGTTTGTCGGACGATGTCAATGGAACATTGAAGTCTTTTTAGCATCTATGTCCATATAAAGAAACGTAAATGTGTCAAAAAGCAGCTTCTTTTATAATTTGGTGTCGTATGAAAACTCCCAACAAATAACACATGCAATTTGTTTTTATTTCTTGGGTTTTATTATAGTTTAAAACTGTAGAAAATAACCTAAGTAGATATTAAACAATCAATAAGGATATTTTTAATGTAAGTAAATAAAAGTAATTAACGAAAACAAGGGATATTTCTTTCTTGGCATGAAATTGACGTACACTGTGATCTTGTCATATCTAAAGCGCGGTGTTGCCAAACTGTTGCATGTAACCTTGTTTATCATAGATTCGGTTCGCTTCTCGTGGTGTGGTTTATTGTATTTGTCCTTACTTAATGGTTGATTTACAAGGACACAAGAAATACCAACACGTGATAAACTGCGCCCAGCCGGCTCGGAGAAAATCGCGGGTGTTCGAAAGCAACTCGAAGAAGAATAGAAGAACGAAGCAACCTCCCAAGACCGTTTTCGATAAAATAGTGAAAGGGAAGTACGGAGTGGGTTTGGCGGATTCGAAAATGGAGTCTTCGAAGACGGTTTTGTCCGGTGGTGGTTCGAAGGCGCAACGTTGCAAAACGACCATAGTGCCGATTTTTCTGGAAAAAATCAAACAAAAGCGGATATCCAACGACGAAACGACTGAAAGTAAGAGCGTTTCGCGGAACATTTTATTGCCAAAACTTCTCAAAACCAATTCTTCCACAGACCGTTTATAAAAATAAACACAAAATTAAATGAAAACAAAAAAAAATATTAAAAACTGTAGATGCCGTGCAATCATTTGGGTACCATTTGGGCACCAGCGACCTCACAGGGTCCATTAAAAGTTCTTAACGAATGAATAAAAGTTTTGGGGTAATTACGTTTGCGGCGTTGCGAGTTTTTCATCAAATTCATTTTGTTTCATTCATTTTGGTATGTAAATATCCAGAAAATGTATTGAAAAAAAAATCTTAAAAAGTGAACTGTATACTATATTTTAAAATATCCTCAGGATCAAACTCTTTTCTCTATCTCCATGCTAGATTTCTATTTAATAAGTGGGTAGTTTTATATTAAACACCTATAAGAAACTCAGTTTCATTATTACCTCGGAAGGGTTACATTAGCTTGTCGGAGGAAGTTTCTAGTATGTGGTCTAGCTGAAATATTGCATTTTGCAGTTGCCGAAGGAAAGGCAACATTAATGGTTGTATCATAACACAAAAAACCAAAGGGGATCTACTTCTAAACGCTATGGCACTCAAAGCTGTAACGTTCCTAGAAGCGCTGTTTCACTTCACTCTCTATGAAAAATTGGGTTGACACCTTTTTCCACGTTTTAGGCTGACTCTTCTTTTGTCATGCTGAGCCCACAACGTAACGTCAACATGCTCAACATCGCTACAGCAACATTTCAATTTCTCTAAAGGCAATTCTTATCCTATCTCCTTTAAGTCCACTTAACTGTCGATACACGTCTTCTTATATAAAACTCCAAGGGCACGAAAGCTGACTAACTTTAATGTCTGTTTCAAGCATATAGGTCTAAAGGGACTACAGAGTGATCCAGCGAATACTTTCGTTGTTCGAAACTGATTTTATTTCAGATATCTTTCTTTTTGCCTAGTGCAGGGTTAATAATATGCTGGACTGGTTTTACTACTGTAACAGCCTGAAGGTATTTTATATTTCGCCAAAATGGTGTTCAAAAACATCCAAATTCATGTAATCATTCCAAGTCTCATCCAGATTTTCTTCTGTGCTCTTGTTTGATGAAAAGGATTAATTTTTCTACTTTGGTGTCTTCAACAACGGTCTGACCGGAAATTTCTTGGGACGCTCCACATCTGCTTATCGCACGCTAAGTATACTTATAATAATTCAAAGTGTGGTCGTTCTCCTTCTTATTTATTTTCTAGAACAACCTATAAGCAAATGTTACGAAAGTTTCAAATCTTTATAAACATAGGGAAGCGTAGATATGCTGCGCGTTATGATTTCTGCCAGAAAATGACATGAACGCTATAGAACTTTTATATTTGAAGTTAAGGTTCTTAAATTTTAATATTCCCAAATAAATGTTAATTTTTTGTTAATAATTTTAAACGGTACATAAAATTTTCTGTGCTGGATCGCCGTAGATAACGTATCCGATGACAGAACGAAGCTGAAAGATTCCCAAACCATCGGCCCACCATTGACTACGCCCGAATTAAAAAGCAGCCCGAAAAATGCCCTGAAAACGACCGTGACACTGTACCCGAGGAAAAACGCTCGCTTGCCCCCGAAAAGCCGCTCCCAATTGTTGATGGCTGAGCAGTCCAAGGCGAAAAAAACCTCAAACGCGCCGCCAAAAGTCAAGGCCAACGTCGCACCGAGACGGGCGGCTCAACCGGCAACGCTGTACCCGGACTTCGGCGCGAAGAAATTCGATTTGGAAAGTATGCTGCGCGAAGCCGATCGAAATCTGGAAAGGAAACATACGATAGAGGCGTTTTTAATAAAGAAGAAAACCAAAGACACCACGAAGCAGGGCGGATCGTCCTTGTTTCACAAAGTGAAAATCGGTATATACACTCAGTGATGCCAATAAATAGAGGCAAAAGTTTTTTGGATTCACTCGTACTTTTAACTTCTTTAAATAATTCTAAATCGATATTTCACATATAGCATGTTCTACCAAAGTCTTACTGTTTCTGAAATATTTGAAATTTATGTCCAAAGTGACATTTGTAAGTCTAAATATATCTATCGATATCGCCTTTGTTATATTGAACTGAGGTGGCTTTTACTTGATAAAGACACGGTGTTGTCGAAACAATTGTCATGTCAAAATATATAATTTCGTGAAAATCTGAACTTTTAGTTCTTATTTATTCCTTTGTTATATATTTGGAGTTGACTTTCTTATTTATCATTATCTGCTTAGTGGTGTGTTGATTTTTGAGAAACAAATAATTACAAGTAACAGTAAAAATTTGATCATATTTATTTATTAATTTTAATTTATTTTTTTTAATTTATTAATTATTTATCAAATGGAATCCCTCAATAGGATAAATTTGTCTCAGATTGCCTATTTGAAAAAGTTGTATATTTTTAAATATTAACCATAAAACGTTTTTCTATTGCTTATTAACGCAAAAGTTGTTTAAATATTTTTCATTTCTAAGAATTGTAATTCTATTCTAAATTTTCAAGTGTTAAACCGAGAACGGAAAAAATTTTATTAAAAAAAAAATCTCATTTTTATATAGACAAACAATTTTTTATCACCTTCTGTTTAATTATTTTTGAAAATATCATGACTAATTAAATATATAACAAAATTGTTCAGTCAGACAAATCGATAAACATATTTTTCTACTCCCTTCTGTAAATTACCTAATTATACACCCATCTAGCGTGCGAAATAAGTTACTTTTCTAAGTGAGATTCTTGCCCCACGGATCCGAACCACTTCGGACATTTTCGGGATATTACCGCACGGATTTAGGAGCAATCGGATGTTTTTGGAGATTTTACCGCACGGTTTGGATTTATTCATGTTGTTTTGAAAAAACGTACCCAACACTAATGGTCGTAGAAAAAGTATAGTGTGCAACCCGTTTGGTAATAGTATATTATGCAACAGGTGCGGTAAACGGCGTTCGACTCGCGAGTTTATTTGAGCGGAGCGAGTGTCTAATAAACGAGTGATTTAAAAAGTTTACCGAACGTGTTGCATACTAAACTTTTTCCACCACCGTTAGTTTTTGGGTACATTTTCGCAAAACACGAATACATTCACTGACATGACCGTCAGAATTGACAAACGTCAAAATTCAAAGCGTGGGAAATATCTCCGAAAACATCCGATTGCTGCCAAACCCGTGCGGTAAAATCCCGGAAATGTCCGAAGTGGCTCGGATTCGTGGGAAACGAAACTGACGTGGTAAAGCGACGCTTCCCGCACTCTGGATCGGTTTGTAATTGGGTATTTTACAGACGGAAGTAGAAAAACTTTTTACCGCACTTGCATTATATACTATTAGACGTGCAAACGTTACTTTTGACATAAAGTTAAAAATGTGTCTAGAAATTTCTCAAAAATTCAAAAATATTCAAATAATTCAAAAATAATAGAAATAATAAATAAATAATAAAAATAATTCAAAAATATTTAGAATAAGAAAGTTTTTACTTTTCCGCGACAATTCAAACACTCTCTATATATTAAAGCAATATAATATTTTAAGTGTGCAAACAACTTTTCTTTCCAATATTTTAAAATATTTTTTATAGGTTTTGAAATAAAATTTCAGCCCATAATAAGCGCATCACTCGGTACAAGCCCACAGCCATGATTTTTTATTTATCTATAAAATCAGTAAACAGGGTGTTTTATAATAAGACGCTGATCCTTAAGGGTGCGACTCCTTGGTTGATTTTAATAAAAAAAAAACTTTTATATCAATGTAGATCCGTAGTAGCTTTCTTTTTGTTTTTATTCATTTTCATTGAAACTGCTTTAGACATTGTGTTGACCGTTTGGTAGCGGCCAAACAATGTGCACGCTCTTTAATATTTATTAGTAAATAACGATTATTTAACTTTTAATTTTCTAATACAAAACTTCTCTAGATAATAGAAAAATCAAAATGTGCTGCTTAAATTATTATTGTAGCTAGATGTGCAAAATCTTAGCTAACTAATCCTGCAAGTATTGAGAAGAAGAAAACAATAATAAGAAAATTAAAAGATGGCATGAAAATACGGAATATCTGAAGCACAGACTGTAGCAATTTATATTGGCAATTTTTTCAAGTCACGGAGCTTTCTTATACTAATTGACAGACAATTGTAGAACTTCCGGCCCAAACTTGTAGCATATCTATAGTGACTGCTGCTTGCTATAGAAGGGAACAAAGAAGTTCTAAGATTTTTGTTGTTGACTCAAAACTGCTAAGAAAATTTCAAGAACATTTCAATGTAATGAGATTATAAAACACGCTGTATATATCAAAGTAATTTCCGTTGCTTCTATGTATTGTCCTAGGAACCGAAAAAAAAAGGTTGTTGGTAATAAATATTTTATATTCAATGATGTAATATTGATGTAAACGCATTTGAGGTAGAGACGTTATACTGTGTATTCGAATAAAATTCGTACACATCAAAAAAGGTGGACGAATTTTAAATTCAGGATAATTTTGGTTAAGTTGGAATTTGTCAGCTTCTTACAATTTCTGTAATAAATATAAGGTTCGAATCGAGTTTGAACTCCAGCTCCATTATAAAAATATTGAATCCTATTCTCTTTGCAGTGTTATACTTGTCGAGAATAGTCTGCTTAAATGTCATTTCACTTGTATCCATAATAATTCGTTATAATGGAAGAAATGAGTTTGGTTACTATTGAGTCAACAGACCACTTTTTAGCTCAATTCTAATCACTTTTGAAAACTTTTGCATCGAATATGGCTGTCTTCTTTCCCCTTTGGATATTACCGGACCTGTGGATAACGTTTCGTGTTTAGGAAGCCTGGCCAAGCTTCAAACGAAACCAGCCAAAAACGAACCCCATAGGGTTTACTTACTAAAGGAAACTGTCAAACCGAGACCCAAAAACGGCCAAAGTGGAACGTACCAGATTGTGTCCAACGCTCTCAAGAGTCGCGATTCAAAAGCCAAGGCGAGGTTTAGCGGTTCGAAGGTGCCCAAAACGCCAAAGAAGAAGCAGATATCTGGCGTCGTTACGACGAAATGCGATAACGTAGAAGATCCCCACATAAAATTCATAGTGGATAATCACAGGAAATCCCAAGCGATTTCGTTCGTACAACATTTGGGTAAAACTAAACCGACCAATGTGGGCGCATGTGTCATTACGCCGTTATTATTTCGTAGACCGACGTAGATTGTGATCATCGACTTTATAACCCAGTCATTTTCACATCGCCGCAACCGTTCGCATAGTTGGATCGGTAGCTCTAACTCTAGAATCGCCATCTATATTTATTTATTCGTTTTTTATGCAGATATCTCCTGCGATTGCCAAAAACGACACCAGAAGGATACAGGGTGCTCCTCTACTCGGTCAAAGACTCGGACGCGAGTAAAATGAACTTCAACGACGTAGTCAAAGGGTTCTGCATGTACAACGACGTAGTGCTCTCAGAGGACGGCCTCCAGGAGGGGTAAGATGCAGATCTTTACGTAGAGTATTGCACAGCCTTTTATTTTTCATGGAGTCACAGATTTTTGTTTTTTTTTTTGTTCGTGACGCTTGCAGATACATCGTCTTGTTCGATATGAAAGGCGTGTCCATCGGCCACCTAGCAAGGGTCAGCCTTCCCGCCCTGAAATGCTTTATGTATTACATCCAGGTGATTTGGACCTTGTTGGGTGGAAAATGTACTACTACTTGGTTATATGTTACAGGACGCTCATCCCTGCAGATTGAAGGCGATCCACGTATTGAATACGGCATCGTGGATACAGCACGTAATGCGTCTTATAGTGCCTTTGACTAGGTCCGAACTCTTGAGTCTGGTCAGATTTCACAAAGGTAATAATCGACCAATATTGCTACAATGACATTAAGTACACTGAAGATCTGAGTTTCAAGCGTTTTTTTACTTCGTTTAGTTCGATTTTCTCAGGGTCATTAATCATCTATGATATTTATTTCAATTTCCCAATGGCGTCGCTTGTGTTCTATGGGATCTGTGCGATAATTTGAAAATTTTTTGAGTTTGAAATATATTGACATAGATGTATTTCCATCCATCCATCCATTATCTAATACTAGCCCTAAATCATCCTCATAAAAATCGCCCAATGGAGGTAGTGATGAAATTTCGTTATTTGGCTGAATATTGGACAGTCTATACTGTAAAAATACATTCGAATCATCAAATATTTAGAATGCTGAAGAGCAAGACTAAGCGACTGAAAAATTTAATTAACATCATAAAATAGCAACAGTAAAAAAACACACACACAAACACATTTTCACCGGGTGCCAAACGTTTTTCGCATAATTTTAGAAGAATTTACGAAGATATTTGCCCAGAATTCAGCGGTGTAGAGAAAATTTTAAAAAGTAAATATAAATATTGGCACTTGACTTGCTTCTCCACAATATATTTACCCAAAGAAAAATTCGCATAGTTTGCGAAAAATGTGTGAAAGATGTAGTTTTACTTCTAATTATAATAACAACAATAATAAAAATATATGAAATATCATCCCAAGCAGTTCTAGAAACAGATAGATGGTGTCATTGACAAGGGGAAGAGAACTGGGATGATAATTGACATAGCGGTGCCACTATCACATAACGTCAACAAAATTGAAGCAGACCAAGTCACCAAATAGGAAAAGTTGGCAGTGGAGCTCAACGATATCTGGCAATTGACTAATGTAAGGAATATTCCATCGGCGATACCGAAGACTCTCAGGAAATCTTTAGGAAATTGATGATAAGATACGCGCAGAAATTCCTACCTACCTAAAAGCAACTGAATCGTTTTTTCACCAAGTTGGCTTAGCCTAGTCAATAATAATAATCTTCTGGATTCCTTCTGAAGTTTCGCCAATCAGCTTCTTCAGAGCTTAACTAAAATTGGGTCGCATTCTACTCTGTACCTGCTCTGTATATTGTTTGAGGCTGGAGGAGCTAAAGCAGGGGCATAAACATCGTCTCGGATGACTGGCGAAACGTCAGCAAGTGCGACTGATCAACAACCGACGTAGTCGGAATCCAGACAATTTACAAATATTGCAGTAGTATGTATTAAAATAGCCTGTGGAGGTTTCTGTGTTTAAAAAAAAATGATTGATTGGTTACCAGAAGAGATTAAAAATATTGAGACCGGAAACCCGAAAGTTTTTCGCAACTGAGAGAAGTTACCACCCGAGGGCAGATGTATGTAGACTGTATATCAAAAGACGAAATGGTGGGACGGGACGGAACACCGAGGGACCAAGTACCCCTAGGAAATAACATCGAAAGGGAGAAAATAAAAAAAACACAACTATATAATAGTCAACAGACCAAATATAGTCCTGCAGGATAAAAATCATAAAATGTGCCTCCTACTTATAGAAATAGAAATTCTTTATTGTTATATAATCCTACATTTGGCGACAACACACTTATTTCACACAATATAGTAACATAATATGTAACACAATGTTTCAAATAATCGGTCATTTTCTTTTGGATTTTTTTAGTATGCCAATACGCATCTCGTACTTGTTGAATGGTTGGTGGTGGTCCCACATCAACTTCTTCATTTTCTTTTTCTTCTTGGTGCTCTTCCTCACCATTTCTTGCTTGTTGCTTGCTTCCTTTGTCAAGTCTGCTGTTGTAGGCAAATTTCTGAATGCAGTTGGAACGAACCTATTATAACGTTTTTTTTTGGCTGACGTTGATTTACAAATGTCAAATTTGCTACAAGTTACCAGCTTTAAGTGTTTACATATTGTCCAGGATTGCCGCCGACCGAAACCTTCATTTAATACAAAAAGAGATAATAGACGACGCTCGCCTGCAAACTATCCCAATTAATTTTTTCAGGTAACGTGCCGGAAGATTTCCCCATCGAACTGTTGCCGATGGATTACGGGGGTGAAGCACCCACGGTAGAAGAACTGGACGCTACCACAAGGGAGTTATTCACCAAGTACCGCGATTGGTTGCTGGAATCGTCTCAGTTCAAAGCGGACGAATCGAAACGGTCGAAGAAAGCGTCATGGTGGGGGCTGTTCGGCAACAAAGGTCCACAAACGGCCGAGCTGGACGAGAAGACGATTTTGAAGAACCTGCAGATCGATTGAGGGGAAGTCGGCCGTCGGTTGTTGTTTCTTTTTGTATACTTGCGTTTCCTTTTTACTATGTAAAAGTGTAACATTTGTCGTTGGTCGTTCAGTGATATTGTTAAACGGATCGGGATTTGTAAATAGCGGTTGCATTGTCTCTCCCTCTTTTTTATTTGTATTGTTTCAAAATAGACATATTTTTTAAAAAAATGCGTTTTTATTTTTAATTTATAGGAACTGCAGAAGTGGTAGATGATTAAATAAGACGAATATGGCATGAATAAAATTTAAATATACGAAATAAATATAAAAAACTGTATAGTTTTATCTTTATTTTTCATATATACAGGGTGTTCCGCTCACTCGGAGGTAAATACCACCTTCCTTATTTTCAATGAAATACCTTGTATATTATTGCAACTTTGGATTTCCCGGAAAATTCTAGGTATATTTCATACCCACTTTTACACAAATCTTTAATTATATGTCAAAGGTGACATTTGCAGTTCCTAAAATAATTAACAATTTTTCCTTTTTATTATATAATCATTATTTATTATTTAATTTTAGATGAATTCCTCGTAGAAGGGGCCGATTGTCATATCTTCTTATAGTGCCAGGTTACTGCGTAGGCGTTCATCGTATCTCATCAAATTCTCTATTTACAGCTGCATTTTGCAATTCTCCGATGTTCCTTATTCCTGTTTCTTCCTTCCTATATATGTTCCCCACGTATTAAATGGCCCAAGTATGCAATTTTTCTTTTTTTCGATTGTATGGAAGAGTTGTCCATCTGCCAGTTCAGCTCTTCGAAGCACTTCTTCATTTGTTACGTGTTCAATCCAAGGTATTTTGAGCATTCGCCGCAGAGTTCGCATTTTGAAAGCTTCGATTTTCTTGATTATAGTCGCTTTTATCGTCCACGTCTCCATCCCTTACAGCAGGACTGAGTGAGGTGAAGGCTTAGGTTTATATTTGTAAATAAATTTTTGAGTTTTAGGAAGGTTACTTGGACCTGTTCAATTCTTTCTTGGTATGGGTTCCATCTTTCATTGACCATACATCCTACATATTTAAATTGCGTAACTCTCTCGATATTGTTTGCATTTATATAGATGTGAGTGTTTGGAATGTTGTCCCTGCTGAGCTCCATAAACTTGGTTTTCTTAATGTTAATGTTTAAACCCTTGGTTCAGTGATCTGATTTAGTAAGGTCTGGAGATCACCTGCATTATTTGTTATTATGGCTGTATATCGGATGTCGTTGATGGGATTTCCTTTTCATCTAATGCCAATTGGACTGTTCGAGGTTGTCTCAATAAATGCTCCTTCTAGATATTAGTTGAACAACATTGGAGATAAGATGCATCCTTGTCTGATACTTAATGATTTATTTCAAACTTTTGCGTTGTTCCCGAGTTATTTATTCGAATCTTTGCCTTTTGGTTCCAGTATGTCTTTCCCATCTAGCCCCAGATCGTTAAGGAGGTCGTGCTTGCCGTTGTCAAGTGGTTTTTCATAATTTAAGAAGCATAAAAATACATATTTTCTCTGATCATAGCAGTTCTGTACCAGCGTTTGCCGAGATTCAAATTGATTGGTTCCGCTCACTTCCTCGCATAAATGTTGTAAAAAAGCTTTGTTATCTATCTAAACTAGAGCTAGAATGTCACCGCGTTTTCGTTGACTCGCCAGTGCAACTAAGGACGGATTAAAGGTCCTTCTGTCATTCTGGCGATGTCAGTCATTGAAGCAGAAGCCAAACAATACCTTACTATGTCTAGGAAAGGGTTACGCATGGCCATACGTATTCTTACGGCTTAAACATCATTTCAAGTTGGGTTTGAGTTAAGTAGCACAAGAAAAGACAGTAGAACACATTCTGTGCGAATTCCCTAGCCCCTTGTTTGGACGTCATATCCATTCAATATAGAGACGACTCTAGGAGCTGTCATCGTCTACGTGGGGTCACTAGACTAGTGCTAGTGGGCTGTAGTGCTAAGTTTTGTAGTGTAAACTACCCTCCTTCACTTATACATGATACCAGACCAGTTTTTTAACCCCAAATCCATCAATATATATTTTTTTAAGTTTTGGAAAAATGAAATTGAATGGTACGTACAAAATTTTTCCTATTTTCAACCGCTGGCCATAAAAATTATTATCAATAATTTCTACCCCCCTACTCCATCTGACTGCTCTCATTCTCTTCAAAACTTTTGTCAGGAGATTTACACGGTTGCCAAGCCGAATCGGTATTTCATTAAATAATTAATAAACTTGTTGCGAAAACCTGAATGGACTGATAAGCGTTGACGCTCATTAATATGGCAATTCGCGAAACAGTCTTATCGCCATTTCAACTGCTTTTTCGTATTCAGATCGAAATGTGCATATTTTTCGGGAAAACCTTGAAGGATGTCGTGTACCGCCCCCTGCCCTCGAGGTGCGAGCGATTTCGGATCGTAGCGGCGAATTTTCTACACGGAAAAAAGCGGAAAACTCTGGTGTACTCGGTACCCAGAGCATTCGTCTCGTTCCCTCCCGAAGAAAAAGTGAGTTCGTCCCATTTTTTTTATCCGAACAGTCGTCACGCGTTGTAAAATGCATAAGAATTCAGCTTGTTGTCAATATTTGAGATTTTTTTGAACGGATTAAATAAATTAATTTAAAAAACCTAGTATTACTGTTTTCTTGCAATAGTAACTTTACATTTGCTATCGTTATGATGCCCAAATGTTAAATTATAAAAATAAATAAAAAAAATAATTAATTCTGTTATTTTTAACAACATGATTTATTATATTTATTAAGTTGATTAAAACGTATAAAAAATGAAATCAGCTTTTTTCAATTGCGATTTTTTGAGGGTTTAATTTAAAATAAAGTGTTATTCAATTCTTGTCACACCAGTTTTACATTTGCATTTATTGTGATATCAAAATAATAAGCAATAAAAAATAAATACAATCAGAGAAGAAGGGCTTAAATTGAAGTAAATTTTCTTTTAAAATTTTATTTACAAAGTACGTTCTTGAATTTGCAGTTCCTAAAAATAAATACGACAAAAGAAATACAGAGTTATTGTTTTATAGTAATTTTCTTTGGAAAACGTTGTTAAGTGTGAGCCATTTTGAACAAAAATATTCAATGTTCTTTCTTTAAATGATTATATATATATATATATATATATATATATATATATATATATATATATATATATATATATATATATATATATATATATATATATATATATATATATATATATATATATATATATATATATATGATGACACTATATTCGGGGATATCATCCGTTCGCTCGTTGAACTCCGACTGGAATCCTGCAAATCCTGCATCCGACTGGAATCCTGCAGACGTTTCGCCAAAATCTCACTTGGCATCTTCAATGCTCGCGCTCCGAAAACACTTCGAACACAGTGTTCGAAGTGTTTTCGGAGCGCGAGCATTGAAGATGCCAAGTGAGATTTTGGCGAAACGTCTGCAGGATTCCAGTCGGATGCAGGATTTGCAGGATTCCAGTCGGAGTTCAACGAGCGAACGGATGATATCCCGGAATATAGTGTCATCACATTTTTCCATCCGTGAATCAATACGTGAGAATATATATATATATATATATATATATATATATATATATATATATATATATATATATATATATATATATATATATATATATATATATATTCTTTTATACTTGGTTGTTTTAATAGCGAACTTTGTAAACTAACAACCAAAACAAAACAGATTTTCACATTAAAAGTAATATGAAAAACACGTACTTAGATTTTCCCAATTCGTTCAATTTTTGAATCATGATTTATGGATGCTACTTTTCTAAAAGTGCGATTTTATTTTTATAAGAAACAAACTTAAACGCCGGGCACACTTTTTCAGTAGTTCCCGACGGTTTATGAAAGCTGATCTAGATTGGGATAAATGGAGTGAAGTTAACACTGAGATGAGTGAGGCAGGACTAGCATGCAGACGAATACAAAAAAGACCCAAATACGGATCTTTGGAGAAGTTCCCTTTAAGTGCACATCGTGCTACTCTTTCGTGTTCACAAAAGCCTTAAAACCACCAACCCGCTCAAACCACTTTACCCAATGTTTGCCTGTACTATTTTTAGATCTTCTCCACTGACGAGCTCTTTAAGCCCTTCCTTATCATTTTTACGGGTTTACAAACGATTCCTCTTCTAATCCTTCAGTTTTCTTTACCGATACCCAATTGCCCACTTACGTAACCACCAACCAGAGGGACCTAGCGGCAACAGTGCATTCCTTCACGCTGTTGCCACTCCCTTCGACAATTCCCAGCGCTAGCGTGTACCTCTTCGCGTATCCGCCATTCTCTGTTGTTTCCTACTTCCTTAACTAAGAAAAAGATTATTTACCAACCAAAAAAATAGCAAAAACACTTGAAAACTCAGAAAAAGTCAGCGCAACTTAGTGTCAGGTGCGGGATCGGAGCGGGCGCGCGGCAACGTGGCCCGACGGCGCTTTTCCTCCGCCGTGACGTCACGCGTCTCTCTCTCCGGGCCCTTCAAACAAAATCAATCCCGCGGCATAGCCTCCGCCGCTAAAATTGATCACGATGGTGACCTATATATAGCGATGCCGCCGCCATTGTAGAGAAAATTGCCTCCGTCCGACGACTAGTTGTATCCAAGAATTGTCGCCGCCTCGCCATCCGCCCGGAAAGTCCGGGTCGCGGGTGAACAATCCGGGTTACGTTTTTGACGCGCCAGTTTGCCGAGTTTCGTGACGTGCGGTGCCAGGTCTAGATAGCCATGACGATGACGGTAAGAAAACGGCCAAGATTGCGATCGCGGCCTACTTTGTAACTCGAAGTATAATTCATCTAGAATATTCGGAACTTTGTGGAGCTTTTTTACGCGATTTTTACGTGCGGTTGGGTGGGTGGTGAGGAAGGTCGGTTTTTTGGGGGGCTCCCGTAGAGATATTCTACGGAGACCAAAATTTTGCCGAGGTTATCTTTAAGATGGTTTATTTGATGGAATCGATGTAGATTGTTTGAAAGTGTAGAGGTTGAGGGGGGTTAATTTTGAGGGGCCGCCAGTTCGGAAAGTGTGTGGGAGGCACGTAACAGGTATTGAGTTTGGCGCTGACACAATCGATTATGTTGGGCTAAAAGTGGCCTTAGCGGATGGGCGCCTGTTTGTCTAGTTTTGAGGTCCACCTCGATAATTTTTTGAGCGGCTGAGGGGTATTTTAAACCAATACCACAAGTAAAACAAATGAGCAGTTCAAACAAGCACGAGAGCGAACTACTTAACATGCACGGGTATAAGTTTAAACCAATGCGGGTGCTACAGGGGCTTCCTTAAGAATCGGTCTTGCATCCGTCATGACAATACTGACGTCACTCAGATCTGTTTATCTGAATCTATATCTAACTCAGCTGTCATATTCTAAAATCGTTAAAAGCCAGTTTGATTAAGATAAAATAATACGCAATTGCTTAATCTTAAGCAAAATGTTTATTAGTTGGTTGAATCGACTAGCGTATCCTGCAATCTGAGTTATTTTTTGATTAAAAATCGCAAATTTGCCCATATGTATGTTGGTATGTAACTTTATTTTATCAAGCTGTGTCTATAGGTCCATGCCCATTTCAGTATTCTAAAAACCTAAAATTAAATACTATCTTTTAGTACTACTAAGTTAAATAAATACATATTTTCAATAGTACACATGTTTATGTGCTTAGACTATGCATTTTCTCTGGTGCACAGATGAATAATGATATGAAGTCTCAACGTCACCATGTTTTATTCTCTGCACAATTCTTTCTTCAGTGTCGGTTTCGCAGTATGTACTCTGTTCGTTTTTATTTACTATTGTTTCATGTATTATTATGTCTTCTTCTTCAATCGTCTTTTGATAATACCGTTGCTACTTAACTCACAGAGAATCTGTAATGGCGTTAAGTTCAGACTCGGGCTATTGACACAATGTAAAATATTTTTTAAACCCATCTGTAAATACAGTTCTTCTCATATATGCGTTGCTTGTTGCTTTATGGTAAGCTAAGCGTATTTAAAAACTCAGGGAACCGGAAGTGGCAACTTAGGCGTGCACTCTGCATTGCAGGACATAATGGTTACACGATTTTTACTCTGGATATGATTTTGAAACGAAGATTCTTATTGCACTAAAAAATTTGCTGCCGTTTGAAGGAAACTTCCCGATTTATCTACACTATGGCCAACAACAGAAAGCAATAATTTTTATAACCTCTCAAACTTGTTAAGAGAGGAAAGGTTTTTTGGTATCTTTGTGAAATGTTTCAATATCCGGTATTTACAGAGGTAAACTTTTTCAAAATCCAATAAGGAAAAAACACGAGGCCAGTTGCTTAAGCAACTTTTTTGACAATTTTTTGGAGTTTGTGATATTAAGCTAGACGAAAATCATTATATCATTGCATAAGTTTTCAAACAGATTTCAATTTGAGAAACAGTGACTCTTTTTTCCTAAAATCTGTAACATCCTGATCTTTTCTGAACGTTTTATGTTTTTGATTTACGACATTATCTACGTTTTAATTGGAGAAACATTTTTTTATTTTTTAAGTATTTGATGAAAATGGCGCCTCAGGAAACTGTTATTCGCTAATCTCATTTTATCGCAGATAGCTTTGGAGTAATACAAGGTAATGATGCTCAATCGGACATGGCACATGCTTTAGCCTGGTGCCATTCCATAAGAATTTGTTACAATCGTTATTGTTTTCGTGCAGGATCGACTCAATAAATTCATTTTTGTACAGGGAGGCCACACCTTTAGTTTTAAAATTTGTTGTAATTTTTTATATTTTTAGTTTTTGATTGAACCTATGTTGTGATGTTTATTGGTTGCGTTTTCTCAGATTTTCTGACATGGCATCCTTACCGGCAAATAAATGTACAATTAAAAAAACAATGATCGAAACCAAAGAAGTGAGAAACCCCAGGTTGAAAATGGATTCAGTTTTAGTGCCCGTTTTTTTTTTGGTTGTGAGTGTACGTCTTTTTGATGCCTGATATACTGATAGCCTATTTTATTGTATTGGATTATTCAGGTTTATCAAAAGGTCGAGTTTATTTCATCAACTCTGAAACATCCTGTATACCACATGACTTGACATAAACATTATCTTAGTAATACTAACGATATTAATATTATTTATTTCAATAAATAATTCAATACAACAAAACGAAAACATTTGTAAATAAGAAGTAGCAAAAACTGCTTCTGTTCTACACAAGTATAAAATTTCTGATATAAAAATATGGCTAAAATATGGACCAAATTCATTTAAAAATCAGGTAACAGTTTTCAACAAAAATCCTCGCACACGTCGATTACAATTTTTTTTTGCGTATTTTTTGAAGTAGATAGAAATTATAAAGCATGGATCAAAAAGTAGATGTCGATACCACGTCCTTTTGTTTAAATAGCTCACCATGTTTTTAAATAAATTTTGGAATGCTGGTGCTCGATAATTGAATATTTAATTATGATGTTTCTCGGATAGCGGATTGGTAGGAGGGAATCAATAGATGGATTCAATGTAACATTCCCAGATATTATTACGCTGGATTTTTTCCTCTGGGGATATTTAAAATAAAAAAAATACAAAACCTGGATGATTTAAAATTTAGAATTAGATACTAAAAGATGTGGAGCAATGTTTTTGGAAGGGCTTTTAAACCAATTAGCATATTGCCGAGAAATTAATGGTGTGGGCCTTTTCAACGGCTAATAATATAATTGTGACTCACTTGTAATGGGGCTTCCTGAATTTCTTTCTTGAATTATCGTTGCGTCTAGATGTCCAATAAAAATAAAAATTTCAATTGTCCACATTTTTTTTTACTGACAGAAATGTAATTATAACAACTTTACCGGTACCATTTCCAAAAATTTCGCCATCAACTGCACTGAAGAAGCCGACACGATTATTGGCGAAACGTCGGCAAGTTCGACTCAACAACAACTGACGCGGGGGAAATCCAGAAGTTTTGTAAATAGTAGCTTCTTTGAAAAATTAACGTCACTGGTCCTAGCTAGTTACCTGATCATTTTTTTTTACTTGGTATCGGCATATACTTAATAATAATAATAAATTGCCTTTATTTAAAGACAGAGTAAATTATAAAAAAAGCAAAAGACAGAGGAAATTATTAAAAACGCAAAGGACAGAAAAATTATTATAAACGCAAAGGACAGAGGAAATCATTAACAACGCAATTTGGCCCATTCTATAAAACATATTTGAAACTTAACGAAAATCGCCGCCATGCCCCCCACCCCTCTTAAAATTTTACGCTATCACTAATTTCACAGTTTCACGCTATAACAATACTCTTGCATGCTCTATTCCGATCGGAGATAATTTTTAAAAAAGGCATCGTCATAAAGCGAGCCCCCTCCCGTCGCCGCTTGCTTATCGATCGTTCCCCCCTGGCGAGTGGGAAAATTTTTAATCCGTATCCCACGTGTTGCCCGATTTCTAGCCCCGAGCAATTGGTTTTTATCGCGAAAAAGCGCCCCGCCGGCGACAACCCCGTCAATCGGTCTAAGCGTTTTTGCCGGTAACCCTTAAGCCAGATTTTGCGTGGGGCGCGACCTCTCGCGTGGTGGAGCCCCTGGGTGCTCTATAATTAAGACAAAATAGCACATAAATTATCCCACAGCTAGTTATTAAATCGAACGTAAAAGTAAATTATTAAATCCTTTTTACAAAACTCCTGGATTCATCCTGCGTCGGTTTCTGTTGAATCGAACTTTCGAAAGTAAATTTTAAATAATAAATAAACGTCGGTAACAGCTATGACCTCTTCACTATCACTAGTCATCGCGAATATATTTATGAAAACCTTTACGGAAGACCGCTCTCCACACCTTCCATCTAAAACTCCAATTATGGGAACGCTACATCGATAATAATTTTTTTTATTTGGCCTCATGGTCAGGAATCCCTAGTAGATTTTGTTAGACATTTAAACTCTATACACCCTAACATACGTTTTACCATTGCATTAGAAAATAATAATCACCTCCCATTCTTAGACATTCTTATCAACAGAAAATCGGACCTCACATTGTGTTTACAGAAAACCTACGCACACAGGCCGATATGTTAATGCATTGCCACTTCACCATCCGGCCCAAAAATCATCGGCTATAAACTCTCTTGTTTACAGAGTCGTAAAACTATCTCAGTCACTATATCCATAATTAAAACACCTCATCTCTGCTGTTCTCTCTAATATTTTTCCACATTAAAGATATTAAACGTTCCATCACAAAATACACTTCACAGCAACCTTGCAATAGCAATGAGGCCGAAAGCAATCCCACACTTTCCGCTGTTGTCCTTCCTTACATTCAAAACATCACATCACTTGTCCAAAAATTTCTCAACATCCTCGATTGCGTTTTGAAAATTGTTATCCATTTATCGACGTCAGCAGCGGTATGCCAAAAGTAACAAGCAAGATAAAAAAAGGGATTGGTGTATGAAACTAGTTCTTAATTTTTAATTAAACATTATACAAAGAGTACATTATGCTGTCGTCTAGAAACTGGACTACTGAATCAGCCGAAAGAAATTTTATTTCACCAAAATGGTAATCTCGTGATAATCTCCCGTTTGATACGTTAGCATACGTTATAAAAATTCATCTTTGCTTCCAACATGAACGATTATTAGTATTTTCTCTTTTCCTGAAGCCACTTACCGTCCGGTCGTCAGTGCAAGTTTGGCTAACACTGGTTATATTTTGGTTTTTTTCACATTTTTGGTACAATGGACCCTTCATTAAGACAAAATATTTTCTTCTGTTCTTTTTCTTATATTACTCAAGTAAATTGTCAAAAATGACAAAAAAGTAAATTCATCAGTTTCGAATTTGCAATCAAAACTAATTTTATTGAACAAGGTTTACCTATCCATGTTATTATTCTACAATTTTCTGAAATAAATATAAAAATATATAAATATGCATTTCAACTGTGACTGTGAGGAAAGGTAATTTGGTTAGTGTCCCATATAAAAAAGTCAATTTTCTGTTGATAAGTAATAAATTATTAGTTATAGGAATATTATGTTTAAGCCATTAAATTCGCCCTAAAAAGATGCTTTGGTTTTTTTTTATAAAAACACAAAAGTTCCCATGGTAAGGCGAGCCTTTAAAAGTGTCCAATTTGGACCACGCTGTACATACAAAAAATATAATTCAGAATTTTGCAACAATGTCAAACATATGCAAGAACAACTCTGCATATAATTTTTATTTATTATTTACTAATTTGTGAGCTTTAATACCCTATCCATATCGCTTAACGCATAACCCAATTCTAATCACCCTATATCTAAAAATCCAAGATAGCTATGATATTTTTGTTTGTGACACCTATCATTTCATAAAACAGGGCCAGGGAGAGTGATGGCAATTGTGCAGCTCTTCTTGGAGGCAGTTAGTTTGGTTTAGATATTGAAAAATCATCATCATGGATAATATTATTTAGTGATGAAGCCTCATTCGCCCGTCATTTATGTCTCATTCGAAATGATCTTCCAATATTACTGGATCATGTTCCTCTTGATGTAAGACAACGAATGTGGATTCAGTACGATGGCGCACCTCCGGTGGATTCATTGGAAGAGGTTCAGCAGTTCCTTGGCCAGGAAGATCACCTGGCCTTAATCCCTTACATTATTTTTATGAGTAAGACTGAAAACTGCAGTTTATGCAGTTTATGCTGAGACTGTTAGCAGAGCTACCACTTCAATTCTGAGGAGAGCTAGACTATATATACAGCAACTGGGCGGACATTTTGAACAAGTAGTTCAACAAAATAAAATACATGTATAAATCAAAAAATAATAAATTAAATATAAAGAGGTTTCTTTTAAATGATCTTTAAAAGTTCAGCTCAGTTAGAATGGCATTCCGGATATATGTTCATTTAGCAAGTCATGTCGTGTACACATGCAGGGTGTCCCGAAATTAGACGTCAATATTTTAACCACGTATTCTGTGACCCAAAATAAGGATAAAAATTGAAACAAAACGTCTTAGTTTTTAATATACAGGGTTTTAAATTTGAAGAGGTGATGGAGATTTTTTGTAAATATTTTCGAAACAAGAAAATAATTTGAAACAAAATTTGGTACAGTTACTAAACTTGTTAGGCTCTATTAAAATAAAAAAAAATAATTTGTGCGACAAGGGTACTTTATTTACTTAGAAAATTACGAAAATTTGACAAGCAAAAAATTTGGATTTGGTGTTTCGAAAATATTCACAGAAAATCGCCATCACCTCTTCAAATTTAACACCTTGTATGTTAAAAATTAAGACGTTTTCGACCCTAGCATATATGAACTTTTATCCTTATTTTGGACCACACAATACGAGGTTAAAATATCGACGTCTAATTTCGGGACACCCTGTATTCTGCAATACTCAATTTGAATGAATCATTCGCAGTGATGTGGTTGCGGAAAACTGATTAAAGCCTGATATAACAGAAACGAGCTATCTGCGTTTTAATCTTGCCCTGACGATAACCGTCATTTTATCTTGGGCAAGTATCGATTTTGTGTCGGATAAGGGGGACCACGTAAGCGACGACGATGTAGAAAATGCGATCGACTCCGCCGATTAGCTGTAATCTGAGCATGCTGCAGCCCAAAGAATTTTATTATATGGGATGTATCAAAAATTGGGAAAATTTAAAAAGAACGTTATAATAAATCTAGATTCAGTTATTACGTTATTGGGATATTAGAAGATGGTCGAAAATTATTATATTAATATTAATGTTTTTAAAAAATTTCCCTCTAAAAAACTGTTACGCGATGCAATCGTGTGTTGTCTCTAGGCCATGGACTTGGAGATGCAACTCAGGGCTGCGGAAGCTCGTCGGGCCGAACTGGAACGCCAGCACCAGGAGGCGTTGTCGATGCTGGCGGGCTGCGGGCCCGAAACTCTGGAGGCCAGGCAATCGAGAGTCCGAGAACTTGAGAAGAAAATCGCTCTCGAAAATGTCAGGTAGTTTGAAACTCCTTCGATCCACATCACGCAAAGCTATGGTGGCCTCATGTCTTTCCCGGTATCTGTAGACCAATTTATCATTCCGTGGGTTCATTTGTCGTAGGTGAACAAGTCAAACGTTAATTTCTACTTTGACAACAACGCTTCAGAATAAAGTTTTTCAGCTTTAAATTAGTCTGTTGTAAGAATTCTTCTTTTTCGTTATTGGCGCTATTCTTATGTAATACTCTCCAGCTCGTGAGGTTACTGCTATTTTTTTCTTCCATTCTTCCATACTCTTGACGTTCATCATTAACATTTTTGACAGATGCGAAGAACTGCAACTAGAGCTAGCATCGACTAATAGAAGTAGAGCTATGACTGGCGGGAGCGCGTTGGGTATCTCTTCAAACTTGCACCAGTCCTGGAATCCGAATAAAGGTACAGAAATAGAGAAAATTATGGCAAAAATAGAACAAGATAACAGAATTTTAGCTGAGTTAGACCATAGTCGATCGACTACGTTAGGTAAGTTAGACTAGAGTGGTAGATTGGCTAGACGCTATGTATACGTAGTAGAGCTTGTGTGGTTATTGCCCTTTTTTTTTCACGGCGATCGAAACCAGGTCCTCGTTGAAACTGAAATCATTTGTGCTTTAACCGTTTGGTGTTAAGTGTCGACAACTTGCAAACGCAAGATAAAAAAATGACAAAATTTACAGGGACGGGCCTGGCAACGAGTATTAGTTCCCACGCTTTGGGAGAGTCTAGCCCGCCTATCTCTCCCATTACCATGTCCCATACAACACCCAGTATATATCCGACTTCTACCACTTTAGGGGGCCAGCATACGTACAACACAGGTACTGCAATTTTTTCCCTAAAGGTTCTATTAGTTTAGTGTCCTTCGTTGCTAAGTGTAGCTAACTTTAGAGCATTCTCTATTGTGATCAGCGCGTTGCTTAAAAAATATACTGGGAGTTCGCATAGAGCAGAGCTTTGTGTTCTGTAACGAGCTAGTTACTTAAAAAATATACTGGGCGTCCACGTAAAGCTTTCTGTTAAGTAACCAGACTGAGACGACGCCCTGTATATTTTAAACATGCCGATCGACACAAAATGAAACAAAGTTCAACTCTCAACGGCAAGAAATATTTTTATTTTAGGCACAACCCTTAGCGGCGCTTACATTTCCAACCCAGCTAGCGTTGGTGGATACAATCCGACTTCGTACAATAGTTTAGGTCACCACTACTCCATGGCCAACAAATCTATGATCGGAACCACGATGAACAGTCTGGGTCACCATCAGGTAGGCATGACAGCATCTGGACTCGGACAAACCTCCATTTTAGGTAAGAAAAGCAGTAATCAAAAAAATTTATAGTACCCAGAAAAATTTCAGGAACCTCACTTGGACAACCACTGTCAACTTCCATAGGAACCATAGGGACTTCTCTTCCGCCAACCGGGTTAGGTACCTCCATAGTACCACCTTCCAGTTTCGCTACGAATTCGATGTCCAATACAACGTTTACTAATCCTTTGGTATCGACCAACCCCCGTGTTCTAGGTCAGCCCTCTTCCTACAACAATCCTACCTTCAATAATCCGATAAGTAGCTCTATAAACCAGTACGGTTTGCCGTACAGCAACCCTCTGAACGCTGGCGTCAATCCCGTCACAACAACTTACAGCAATGCCGTCACATTCTCAAACCCGCTAAGCTCACACACCCAATTCAATAGCCTGACCGGTGGACCTATGTCGATCAAGCTAAAAACCATGGATGACGTAGATTTGGGTAAGTCCTCTTCAACACGCAAACTCACACCGCTCGTACTATACCACTTCTCATTAAAAGTCACTCTCTCTATTATTCGACATTGACCGTTTTTTCTTCCTCCATCGCACTCCTATCTCATCATCTGATCATCGCTTCCATCAATCCTCGTCTCCCGCGCGTTTGTATAACCGATCCTTTTTTGTTTTGTTCCCTCTACCAGCTACGGGCACCAGAAGGGTTGCTACTCCCGTTACCCCACACCCTCCTCCGTGGGGCGGAGCATCGGCGACCGTTGGTATTACAGATTTGAGACCGCGAATGCTTACAGATGGTCTCGAATCTGAGTGGAGCGCTGGTGGTGGTATCCACACTTCAGATAGAGGATACCTTAATGGGCAGCACGTCCAAGATGGACAAGTTGATATGCTGGACATACCAGGCAAGGGAAGGTGTTCCGTGTATATTGCCAGGTGAGTCGCCAAAGAAGAAAGAAGAGTTAATAAAAGACGTATCTCAAGGTAGATGTGATAAATAAATTACCTTCATTTCTTCATCAGATTTTCGTACGATCCCGAACCAGATGTGGAAGAAGAACTGAGTATCCAAGCAGGGGACTACCTTCTAGTCTGGGGCGAACCAATGGGACCTGGAGGCTACTTGGATGCCGAATTGCTGGACGGCAGACGCGGTTTAGTTCCTGCTCACTTTGTCCAACGTTTAATTGGTCAGTCGATGACACCGTATATGAATTCACTTTCAAACTTTCCTACCATTAGGTGACGATTTGCTGGAATTCCACCAGGCAGTACTGAGCACTTTGCGAGAAGAGGAGATCAACCAGGAGAACTTCGCCGCGGACGTGGCTCGTCTGAATGAACTCGCCGAGCTAGCGGAGGCTCAGGAAGATGACGTGGGAGGCGTTGAAGGTGAGGAAGGTAGGCGAGCGCTCATATCACGCATGCATTTTCATTATTCTTCATTTCATTTGCGACGTTGGTGTTGTGTGTTCAATGTTGCATTTTTTATTACTTCAATTTTTGGAATGCTATCCACTCCACAACCAATTACGTGTTTTCATTTTTTTTCCTCGACGTGTTATTTGCCAACCTACCTGTGATTTAGTTCAGTTCAGAAAATAACAACTTAAAAATGGTTTTGTTGAAAGAGTATTCAGCGATCAGATGCTTGCATTATCTCATACCTATCTGGTCAACGCGAACTTGCGCTCCTTTGTTCTTCTCACCCATAGTCGTCCGACCAATCGGTATTAAAGTCTTATCCTGAAAAATAGGTGTTCTTTTGATGTTTAGTTAGTATCTGATCTGTATTTTCTATCAATGGTGCATGTACTCGTAATCTTGACAATTATTTCTCCACTGGCGTCAAAATGCCACCCATCTTTGGTTCAGTCATAACAGCGTTGAGTGCATTGCTCTGAAATTTCGATTCACCGTCATGCATTGCCGATTAGAACGCTAGAAGATTCAGTTCTATACGCCCACTTCACCGGTTGATTTTTTTAATTAATGTGTTTTTGATCATATTTGCCATGTCACAGTACAGGTACACCAATGTGAGTAAAATTTAAAGCATGGCTTCTATTTCAAAGTTGTTGATTGCGTAATGATGTTGAAGCTATTTTCCGCCTGTTTACTAGTTGAAATATTGTACAAGGCGTTTGGTAGATAATCGAATCTGATCGGTTGCAATTAAACCTCCCCCCGCCGCCCCACGTACCAAACCGCCATGTACAGCCATCCCCTTTATCTACCAAGGAGACCTCGGATGTTGTTGATTGTCTGGATGTGTTTTTATGGCCTAGGTGTATTTTATGTTTGATGTTTATTCGATTTGCCAGTTTAGACCCTTATGGTCTTAGTTTTAGTCAGCTCTAGCACACGAGATGTCTTATAGGTTGTTACTGAGACGAGTTTGAGTTTCTCTCTTTTTTTTCCAAGTGATGGGAGAACATTCTGACACTAGGCAATCGCTAATGGGTTATTTATAATTGCTTTTTTGTCCAGTTACAATTACACGCTTTATGCTTGAATTAGGTTAGGAAATATTCACACCATTTGATTTGCAGGGTGTCTAAAAACAATCTTTAGAAAAGTCTACCCCATTTTGTTTAGGCCAAAAAAGAAAAAGAAATGCGTGTAAGTTGTTAAATTAAATCTAATGGTTCAGCAATAATGAAATAAAAATTGAAATGTTGAAATATTTACCGATTTCGTTGGAAAATTGGCCTAGATTATATGGTAGATTTTGGAAATAGTTTTAGATACTATGTAGCAAATTTATTAATCCAAAAACGGCCCAGTAGTTTAGGTATTTTGGTAACTGGGCCTTTCTTGGATGCGATAACCACCAAAATTTTTGGAATATGTACACCTTGTTAACATTTTGGCATGATCTAGAAGTTGTAGGTAATTTTGCATTTTTAATTAGACACCGATTTCAGTAAATTGGTTACAATACAATTTTTTTCTTTGACCAGTTTTGTCTTATATTAAAATCAGACATGATCAGTTTTGAAGCTAACTTAACCTTTATTATTTACTTATATTATAATAATTATTATTGATTATTGGATATTTCCACAAAACTTTCTAAATGTTAAAAAATTTTGGGAAAACGATTTTATTAATTTTTAAAAATTTAAAGAAATATCAAACTATCAAATTTTTGATATATTAGCCAAAAATCAATGTACTACACCGTTCGATGTTTCAGCAACTATATTCTACCGGATTTTGAACTAAATAGCAAGTTTTTCTTCACGTAATATTGCTTCAACAAAACTCAAAGTTTGCGCGCACCTTTGGTACCAAGAGAGCTGACTAAAAAAGGGTACTTGCTGGTTTTAACACCTTATTCGACGACCATAAGGTAACTCTAGCAAAAACCGGCCCAAACACAGACCATAGGGCGTCGAGCTATTGGCTTCGGTAGCACTTTTAGAACTGACCTTGTAGTTTTGCTTCCCTTAGCTGACCTACTTTTCTCCGTATTAGTGCCGGCTCCCAGGCAGTTGACTCTGGAGCGGCAGCTCAACAAAAGCGTGCTGATCAGCTGGACCGCTCCGGATAACGTAGGTCCCGGCAATCAAATCGAGAGCTACCATGTATACGTCGATGGTGTGCTCAAGGCTACCATCAAGGCCACCGAGAGGACCAGAGCTCTAGTCGAAGGCGTGGACAGTAACCGGGTAAGTACATTGAGGGTTGTTTTTGCTGCACCTTGGAACCAGGATCGTATTATTTGCCAGCCACATCGCATCAGTGTCAGATCGGTGACCGCCAACAGGAGAACTTCGAGAGATGCCGCTTGTACGATGATTATAGGCAGAGACACCCACTCGCTGGGACCCAGCGCCGTCAGAGCGTCCAATATTACATCCACATCAGCGGTGATCAGTTGGCTGCCTGCCAACTCTAATCACCAGCACGTAGTCTGCGTGAACAACGTCGAAGTTAGAACTGTAAAGCCTGGAGTATACAGACACACCATTACGGGTAAAATATAATCCAATTGGGCGGTCCAGGGTGTTGAATCTCTTGGTTGGTTAAGGTCTTGCCCCGAACACCCAGTACAGGGTAACGGTGAGAGCCAAACACCACAGATCTGTCCAAAACGTTGCCAACTTGGCGGAGGAATTGCCGATGCCTGCTGCGGCTCACACCGACTTCAGGACTTTGCCCAAAGGACTTCCAGACCCACCCAGCGACATCCAGGTAGAGCCAGGTGAGGAATCCTATCGTATTCACCTCCGGGGATCCCTAAATTGCGGTTATCGGTGCTCAGGACCTCAAGACGGAACCTTGTTGGTGACATGGCACCCGATAACCACTCCGCACCATCCGGGGTCTTCGATCACTGGGTACGCTGTGTTCGCCGATGGTAAGAAGGTTACTGACGTGGATAGTCCAACTGGAGATCACGCCCTCATAGACATCAGTAAACTACTGGGGCTTAATCCAAAGCACGTCACTGTCAGAACCAAGGCGAGAGACAGTCAGTCGGCTGACAGCGTGCCGACAGCCATACCCATGACGGTACTGAGGGGAGGAGTCGTCAGGCAACGGCAGCAACCCCATTCGGCGGTGATGCCGGCTCACATCAGGCAGCAGATGCCCAGGCAACAGCAGCAGCAGCAAGGGCAACAGGTGAGTGTTGCGATTGCAGTTTTTCCGGGTACGTAATCTCTGGAGATTGGTTAGGTGATTGAGCCGGATGAAAATTTGAGCGACAAAGAGATATTCCCGAACCAGGGTGCGATGAGGACGCAGCAGGGAATACCGTCCATAGGTAAAGTATTTTTCGTGATGTGTAGTATAAGGTAATTAGGGTGGTAGTTTTTGAAGCATGTCTTTTGGGTTGAGTTTCCGCCAGTTAGACGCGTAAAAATTTATGTTTTCTTAGTCTCTGCGACGATATAATCGCCAATCTTGCTTTTTGCATTTCACATTTAAATGATTTCATATTAAAATCGCGATTAGCCAGAGTATAATAAACGTTAGTGATTATTTTTTAATAACAACCCTAGTGATAAATGTGTAGCGATTCGATGTGACCGACCAGAAATACTAATCGTTTTCTTAGACCCTCAATTATCTTCCCTTCTAACAAATATCAGCCCCGCGCTCCTGCGTTACAGAGATAACAAAAGAAAATTACGGTGAAGGCAATATGTCCGAGGACGAGTTACTGGACAGGCGTAACAGACAGTACCAACAGGGGCGACAGCCCCAACGCGCTCCGCAAAGGGAATCCCACATGCAGGGTCAGCAAAATAACCCGCAGCAGCAGCAACAAAACCAGCAACAGTATTACCAGCAGCAACAGCAGCAGCAGCAAGGTAATAGACGCGACAGTTGCACCGCGCCTAGTTATGGTGACCCTGAGGTGTTCAGGAAAGTGAGAAATATTTCGATTACGACACGAGGATAGCAATGAAAAAAAAATGGCTTTATCAAAACCAGTCGATCGTCGTTTGTAGAATCACTTACTCAAAACGCGACATATTTTTAAAAAAATGTCTTACAAGGCAAACAAGTTATTTGACAAAAAATTATTTTTAGTTATTTAGAACAAAGTAATAACTCTTGAAAACAGTTCAACCATTACAAAGCAAATCCAAAAAGAATGACCCTTCTCCAAATCCACTTCAATAACGCCGCTTACTCAAAACGCGTCATATTTTTAAAAAATGTCTTACAAAAGGCAAATAATTTATTACAGAGAAACCCTTTACAAAACTCCATCTGACCAAAGAATATTTTTTGATTTATTTAGAACAAAATAATATATCTTGCATTACAAATAGGAATGGAACAACGCCTTACAGAACATTATTTGTTTGTTTCGTTGTTTTCGTTGTTTCGAAAACAACGAAATAATTTGTTCCAACAATATATTTTGTCTTACAGTTTTTAAAAATTTTCATTGCCACCCTTGTACATTTTGAATTAAAGTGGTCTGAAGATACACAAGTCATACTACACCTAAAAAACCACACTCGCACAGGTAGGTTAAATTTCTGCACGGTTTAGTACATAAAAATAGACAAGTTAGCCATAGGGATTGTTTTAGCTTAGCCGAATTAGTAGACATATATTTACCGCAATGGTTGTGTTATCGGATAAAGATAAAATAATTGTTGTGTTCGTAAATCCTTCTTCTTCGTAGAAGTAATATGAAAGATATAGAAATACTCGCCCCGATGTTTTTCCATAGACCCTCGTACACTAAACAATCGTTCGAGCTATTAGTTGGAATCTCACGTTTCGCAATCGGCCTTGTCGGTTATCGTCAAATACAGTCAAAACTTTGATGGTTTTCCATCATTTCTACGGGTTTTGCAGTCACACCCAATCAAAGATCGGGTCAGATGTTGCGCAACCAACAGGTGGCGAGAGTAGGCCCGAATAACCCCTCTCACAACCCGGGTGCCGCCCCTAATCCGCAAAAGAGAGCGCGCTATTTCGTAGCGCTGTTCGACTACGATCCGGCAACCATGTCCCCCAACCCTGACGCGTGCGACGAAGAACTACCGTTTTCCGAGGGGGACACCATCAAGGTTTGGGGTGACAAGGATGGCGACGGGTTCTATTGGGGCGAGTGCAGAGGTAAACAAAAAATCATAAATAAATTAAATAAGAACCTTAAAACAACGGCAACACCGCGCGTTACAGGAAAACGAGGTTATGTGCCGCACAATATGGTCATGGAGGTCGACGGGAATCAAAGCAGGGACCGGTGGGCGGATACGTACGCCAACATGCCGGTGAAGAGGATGATCGCTTTGTACGATTACGATCCGCAGGAGCTGAGCCCAAATGTGGACGCAGAGGTGAGTATAAAACACATAGCGTCCGTTTCAAATATTTAAAACTGTAGAGGAAATGCAACATCATATTTGTCAATGCAATTTCACCAACTGCTGTTGGCACCTTGTGCAACACAGTTAACGAAATGCAGCGCTACATAGCTCTCAAAAATATTTTTCAAAAAAGAAAAACTGCTTTCTGGCACTTTAGTTTTTTATTGTTTTTTATATTATTAATTAAAACATTTAGAATACAGTTGAGTCATTTGAGCTAATTCTAAATAAGTTTACACGTATTTGAAGTTTGAATCGTCGCGAAGCCCGCGAAATTTGACAAAATCTATTCATTGAATTGTTTAGATTGACTTTTTTATTACAACTGCTTAAAATAATCCGAAAATCACTTCAACCTGCTCCAAATAACGCAAACAAAGTGACTACCACAACATTCCATAGAACTGATAGATAGAAGAGTTTAGGTTAGTTTTGCTTAGCCCGCCGGCTGACATTTAATGCATAGTGACGTCACAAGACATGTTCGTGTGAAGTCTATTTGAAGTGCTCTGGGTGGACTTTAAATCGCTAATTTTAATGAAAATATAAAATAACTGTCAGAAAGGCTTCACTGGGTCATGATGATTTGCTTTAAATTAAAAATATGTGCAATATAATATATTATTATATACCTTAAAGCTTTAAGACCCAAAACTAAACATTGTGTTGGAACCATATCAAAAGTTCTAACGTCCACCATCGAATTTGATGTATAGGAAAGTTTCTGGTTCTCTACCCGACCATATTTATGCCCCAACTGCAGGTGGAACTGAGTTTCACAACAGGTCAGATAATCAACGTCTACGGCGAAATGGACGATGATGGCTTCTACATGGGCGACATAGATGGCGTCCGAGGTCTGGTGCCCTCCAACTTCCTCACTGAAGCGCCAGATCAGTACGGACCGCAAGGTGCTGGTGTCAGCGGAATGCCCGGAGGCCAAACCTCGAGCCAAGGGAACCGGGGCGGCAGAGGGGGTGCAAACAGGGGCGTGGGTCCTGGGGCTAGAGGACCTCCGCCTCCTCCTAGGGAGATACAGATGAGAGGCGGTCAAGTTACGGGAAGAAATAAAGGTAGGTACTTTATTTCAGGGACACGTGTGATGGGAGTTGGTGGGTTTAGGGAGCGCGGGGTGGGGGAAGTGTTCCATCCTACGTTGGTAATGTTAAGTATTTAATGGCGCAGCGATCGACAAACTAATATTTGAACAGACTTCTAATAGATATTTTATGATGATCATTCAGGAAATTCAAAAATAATCGACACAGTCTATTTGCTTGACCAATTCAATATGAACATGAAAAAATATATATAAATGTTATTTTAAGTATGTAAAGTTGTAATATGTTGAACCTATAAGTGCAAAAATAGTTTTGTCGGTCAATGTGATATATTTTTATTTATCTACTGAGACACCATGAATCAAATTAATGCTAATTCCGCTATCTAAGTAGAATACCATCACACACTTGCTACTTTAGTAATGTCGTCCGCTAATTCACCAGTTATACGGGCTGTTTTATTATCAATTCGGCATACATCCGCTGCGGGTACTATTTACGTATAAAATGTATTTACTTGTTTAAGAAATTGTTTGCAATCGCCTATCGGAATATGAAATAGTCACAAAAATGCGTTCAGCTGACGTATGCCACATTGTTAATGACTCTACCTGTGTATCTAAACAGTCGAGGGCGATTAGCACACCAAAATTTCCACGTTTAGAGATACTCACATATTGCTCCACATTCGTAACACGCGGAAACAAAGAAACGGAATGTCTATACACTATTTTTGCCTATATGTCTTCTTTTATTTTGCAAGCGTGTGATGTACGGCTATTTGTTTGCGACATTTTCCGACCCCTTCTTCGGAAAATGTTAGAAACAAGTCCGGCTTTAACTGTTACTGGAGGTGGTTCACTTTTTTTGATCGCGTCAGCCCCCCCACTATTGGCTAGTTAGCTGCATAAAAGCTTGTCAAAATGAGCCGTCTCCAGTCTTGTGATTTCGATGTATGAATATGCACCTAAAGATAATCGGTCTGCAGAACGCTAGCTCTATCTCTATCTCTATAAGCTAAAGATCAACTCAAAAGACATACAATCACGGATTATGTACAACAAACCTGTAATTTGTTAATGATGGTGGCAAAAAAATCACTCTTTTTTGAAAATTAGTTGCGGAAGATGTTAGGATACTGACACGTATCAAGGTTGAAAAACACTTTTTTTTTAAATCTCCATAACAACCAGTAACTAATTTAAATTTAAAAAAAAAACATAGACTCAACATGGTTGATCGTGAATTCGTCTTTTGAGCAGATCGTAATCGCCTTAAAAACTGTTTGCTAAAGCCACATTGCCTGACTGTATGTTGTTTGTCTGTCTGTTGGTCTAGATGCCTGCAACCTGTTGTATACTTCTCAGTTAGACTCGTTCAACACAACTCAATCGATGTCGACACCCGCAAATACATCTACAGAGCACCAACAGGTATTTACTATAGCTTTCTCTCTCTTTCTCTCTCTTTTCATTCTTCCACATCTCTTCTACATTTCTCTATATATATACTTTCGTTTTCATTATTAAATGGGAAATCTTTGATTGTTGGTTTTGGCCGCTTGTTTCTACGTATTTTTTTTTTGTAAACCGCATTTGTCTATACATTTATATGTGCATGATGGAGAGCACAAGCAATGCAGGAATCATCGAGAAAACCCCGCCCATTGTTTTATTTTATTCCCAGAGTTGGTTTTAAAAACGCACGTTGATGTTTTTGCTCGGTAATTCTCGTGACTCATGGCCATATTGGAGCTTAATTGAACACGAACACTGATATTATTGTACCCGCGGTAGCCATAGTCTTAAAAAAGTCGCATTGTCATAGGCTCCACGCTATTGCGATATAGAGCATTAGACCCCCTGTGATAAATTTCCACGCAATGCCCGTAAAAAATGCACCTTAGAGGTTAAAAGTAACCATAGAGTTCGTTTTGCAATGCATTTTACTTTGCAAAAATTATCGACTTAAATTAAATTGCGTTAAAAATTTATTATTTTGTCTGATACAAATAGTCAATGATCAGTTTATCCAGGGGCGGCACACATATAAATTACAACTTAAAAATCTGTTCCTATTAACAATTATATTAAATAATAAAAATTGTAAACAAAATCGCAACTGCAATTTTAGATAAATCAATAAAGAAAACTTTATCAGGAAGCATTTTTTTTCAATATCTCTTCAAGTAATTGTACAGGGTGGCCCGTTTAAGAGGGACCCATACCTTATCTCGAAACTTATTGGCGCTACAAACAAAAGTTAAATACAAAAGTTGTTTCCATTAAGAAGACCTTTATTTTTATTAATTTTCCTAATCGTGACCTGTTTTATATACAGGGTGGTAAAACAAAGTTGCATATTTTTAATTAGAACACCTTACATTATATTGCATTTTTGGATAGTTCTTTCAAAATTCAACGATAAATATGGGCCTGTGATGCACCGTTTCGAACTTATTAGCGATCATCTTCAGAATTCGGCTTATGTTTAAACCATCACAGTTGGGTTGCTTGTTAAATTTTTAAACTTTTTTCCATCTACATAGGATTTTTAGGAATATAATGCTTTTCTTTAGGCAATGATCAAATTTAAAACATTTTCTTAAAGTACGTGGTGTCGCCACTTTTCGCAAAATGATACTTTTCTCAATTTTCTTAAATGAGACACCCTGTATATTATTGAATTTTTAAATAGCCACTTTAGAAGCAACTTCAATGATATAACATAGGTCTCGTTCTGACTTAATTGGCAATTCTTTAACATTCATAATTTAAGAATCTTGTAAATAAGGTGCTTAAATGGAAAAAACTTAACATTGATAATATTATTAATTTTGACTTTTTTGACATAATCATCTCAGTAGCTTTGAAAACAATAGTATATCTTTGTTGTGGTAATATTACTGATTTTTTGACAGGCATCAGTGTATTATGATATCTTAAGCGTATTTTTTCGGACTTCAACTATTTTCTATTTATTTTATTAAGTTGCATTTTTGTTGAGTCTATGAAAATATGATATTCTTCTTTGAAAATACTCCAGAGACCTCCCGCCTTGCCGCTTCAACAACACACTTCAAACATGTTTAAAAATTAACAGTTATAAGCCATTTAAATTCACACCAGTACAAAACTTACAAGAAGCAGAGTTCAGCTTAATACTCGAATTCTGCAATTTTTTGGATAACATATTTCAAATATTTTGGACCGATGAATCAATATTTAAACGTCTGCGGTGTTAATTAATAGAACAAATACGCGTTACTGGAGTTCAGAAAATAAAAAATATGTATATGTATTTAGAAATGGCGCTACTTGTACTGTTAATAAGCAACCCAACAATGATGGTTTAAACATAACCTGAATTCTGAAGATGATCGCCAATAAATTCGAAACTTTGCATCACAGACCCATATATATCGTTGAATTTGTCTTTGAAAGAACTATCCAAAAATGCATTAAAATGTGGGGCGTTCTATATAAAAAAAATGTACCACCCTGTATATAAAAAAGTGGCGATTAGGAAAATAAAAAAAGGCTATTTTAATAGAACGCCCGTAGGATTCGAGATAAGATATAGGCCCCTCTTAAAAGGGACACCCTGTACATCTCTGTTTTTTTCGTATATCTTCAGTTTCAAATACCTAAAGCCATTGCTGTCAGTCACCGTGTTCAAGAATTTTGAGACTATCCGAACGAATTTTTGACCTTTGCTTTCAAGACCAGGACTTTCAATCGGCAGTCTTGCTAAGAAAATTGATATTTTGACGTTTGAAAATAAAAAATTGGAGGTTTTAAATAGCCATTGAGAGTAAGCTAAAAATATACACTAAGGGTTGACTTCAACTTTATTAATAGGACACCCAATTCCTAAATATACTCTTCATTTTTTTATTTTTGCTGCTACTCTGCTACTACTCAACAGCGACAAGAATACGTTTGTTTAATTTATATATAGAATTATAAAAGGGTTAGATTTGGATTTACCATTAAGACAGAATACTAAAAGTTCCACACTTTATTTCTTATTCGGCGCCCGCATAACAAAAACATAACTGACATTGCGTTCTGCTTTCGCGTGCCAGGGGAGAATGAGAGGCATGCTGAGGCAAGGTGGTAACCAATCGACCATCAACCAACCGAACCAATCCACCCAGCCAGGCAGTTACCAGCAACCTCAGTCCTCGACCTCATCGATCGGAGCAGGTATATTTAGCACTCTCACAGGTCAGTCGCAGCAACAGCAACAACAGCAACAGCAAAATTACCAGCAATCTCAGCAGAACCAGCAACAAGCTCAGAACCGTATTCAACACAAGGGCGTGCCGCAGGTGGTGCCCAATTTGGGCGGGATGTCTTCAGGCGGCCCCCTAGGTCAACCGCAGCAACAGCAACAGGGACCTGGGGGGCCGAATTTAATGCAAAAACTGAACGAAATAACCGCGCCGGGCGGCGATATCCTCTCCAAGGGTAAAGAACTGATTTTTATGAAGTTCGGATTGGGAGGCAAATAACAAAATTTGTTTAGTCAATCTATTGTTGATTTTTTGCTGTTTTTGAGACCGTTGGTCAGACACAACTAAATAAGGTACCGTGTTTAAGCGTTGACTATATGGTTAAAGGGTAGGCTCAGTTGTTGGTCGTTAAAGAGCGGTTAAGTGCTTTGTGGGCATTGTGTGTTGGGGCTGTGTAAGTGTTGGGGACTGTTCGTACCGATTGGTCAACCGGTCTGCCAATGTTGCCCCGATTTTTGGACGTAGCGGTTCGGAAAATTATGACAATAAATTTTTATAGGGTTTTTATTTGCAACTCAAGTAAAACCGTGCGTTAAAGTTTTTTTGCCCAGTCTGGCAGTAAATTCTGAGGGTGGTCACTTAACGGTAAATCAATTCAACAGGCTTTACAGATTTGATGTATTTCAATTCTTCCTTGACAATTTTACGAAAACCTGTTTTTTACACGAATTTATCGATGCTACGCTAATCAATTAATAATATTAATTGAACGTTCGAACAAAGAGTAAGCAACGATAGTCGTAGGTTATCCCTGTCATTGCTTTTTGCGTTTTTTACCCTTATTTTTTTTTTAGTCCAGGAAGTCGGGCAACATTTTCAGGCCGGCATTGAATTTGTTGGTCGCCGTTAAAAATATTTTCGAAAAATGTTATCGGGCAACCGCGGGTTTACATGTTTCCTAAAAATACGCTAGTAAAACAACTTTGCTATAACATTGCATTGCATTGGTTAACTGGCAACGATGGAAATACTTATTCTGGGTGCGACATTGAAAAGTCAAATAAGTTGGTAAATAGAAAACATGCCAAGACTAACTTAAAATGGGATAAAATCAGAAATCATGATTGATATCCTGCAATAAGCGGTTATGCATTTTTACATGCAAAGATATACCGGGATGTACAGGAGGTTTGCCCATCGTTTGCCAGCACAATGTCGCCGATATAACTTTTGCACTAAAAATATTTTGCCAGGTAGAAACGTGACGAAATGACATGGCGTGATGTTCTGTATTTTCGCTAAATCTCAATAATATCATTTTATAATCACTTAATGGAGCTATTGCGCCGTTATCGACTGAACTAGAATGTTTCCCTCAATTATTATTGTTAATCGTTAAAAAAAAACATTCGAAGCGCGAGAAGTGTTCAAACCTTAAGGCTTTTGTGGTAAGTGCTTCTTTTATTAATCATATCTATCGACTAATGTAATGTGTAAAGAATAAAAACTATTTCAGCAGTATTAACTTATCATGTATAAAAAAAATCATTATTTAAGTACAAAATATGACCAATATCTATTTGCGTACGAAGGAAAAAACATAGACTTATTTCCGAGTTGTTAAGTAAGACTCATTGTTACTTAGATTTTTTTAAAATTGAGAAAAATAACGTCTTCATATAGGACTAAGTTAAAATGTTATCGGGAGGGCCAGGTTGGAAACGAACGGTGGCATTTAAAACTCGTACGCTTACAAGGTGATTCATAAAGAAGAGGCAATCACTAATAGTGAAATACTACAGCCAGCCACTAGAAAACGATAAGTTCCCTATTGCTTTGTCAAAAACCTTTCTAAAAACTTTCTCAATTAATGAGAAAATCGACAGTTGAGTTGAGTCATAATATTTTGATGTCTAGTAGTCTCTCTAGTTTATATATTGCCGATTTTTTATGAATCACCCTGTATAATTACGTTTACAATTTTGATTTCGCATTTTTGCGTACACCCTCCCAAAAAAGATACGTTTTTATTCGTCGAACCAACGAATTTGTCAAATGAAAAATCGTAAAATTCCCGGACATATTTGTTGCACTTGCTCAGGACCGAATTGCTGCCGGTCGTTTCGCAATACGCCTTCCAATTATTGTTAAATCTTTTTCCACTGTATCCGTAGGTTTCAAAAACAGCATTTCGGCACAACTTAAATTATACAAAAACACATATTTTAAAAACATTAACCGACGTACTGAGTTGTTAGTAAATGATTGGTTTCAGCTATGTTCTGTTATTATTGACCGAGTGGACGTTGTCTATATACAGGGTTGTTCGCAGAAACTATTCATGTCGAGTTTTCGAATAAACTTATATTCTGGGATAATTAATTTTCAACGTCCATTTTAAAAATTATCTACTTAACATTTTGAAAAACAAAATTTTACGTTTCTACAGGGTTGCTCACTACTGCGTCATTTTTTTATTTCTCCGTAAGAGTTTATTTTAAAATTAAAAACAAAAGTTGGTTATTATACATGAAATTTTGTAGTAGTCCAGATAGCACCTGCCGTCGTATAGAGTACATTGGTTTATAGATCAATAACACAGGTGTCCAAACTTAAAATTTTTGACATATGTTAGTATTTTGAAAACTGATTTTATATAATTTTGGTAGCTGATTTCAAACATTCTATGCATTTATTTGTATCACGTAAGGTTTTTTACGAATATAAAAAAAAAAGATATTTATTAAATAATTTATTTTTTCATTTGGTAAAAAAGTGGAGTCCGGGAATATTGTTGCAATACACTAGCAGTCCGTCTTGAATAAAACATTAACATAACCCTTTTTTGAGATCTCGGTAAAAGTTTGATGTCACGCCAGGTGCCAGTAAATTTACATTCAATTTAATAAAAATCAATTGATTTAAAAATCGTGCCTAACATGGAACAAACAGATTCATGTTATAGGTATATATATTAATAAAATAACATTTTTAATATGTGACGTGACAAAAATATCGCGTTTTTTGGGAATAGGGCCCCCAAAAATATGCAAATTAGCAAACATCAAAATCAATGTAGACCTGTGTAATTAATGTACTATGCATTTAAATCCATTGTGTTACACTGTCCATTTTAAGTACATACGTTTTTAAGGAATGAATTAATAAGAACCACGAGTACCTAACTATTTGTTATTGACGTCCTATTTACGACCTACTTATTTTAAAAGAGATTTACCGTTTTAGAGTATAATTTTATTTAATCGCCGTCAAAATATATTACGGGTATGATGCACCTCTAACTGAGCAGGTCTGACTAAAATACGACCAACGAACACCAAAATTTTTTCAGTGGACGATGCATGAATGTCCATAAGTGGACGGGCCATTATTTTGTACTATCTGGGAGGTTATTTCAAGTTTCCCAATAGTTCCTTAAACATTTGATTAATGATTTTTTAAATTGGTTTTTCTATTGCAGGATGTCCAAAATTTATGAACCACTTACATAGTTTTCCAAGATGATTCGTTTATTCAAATATTTTGTATTTCTTGCTATATTTAAAATAAAAAATATGTAATTAGAAACAAAATGAAAAATAGGTGCAATATTTTGCATCAAATGATAAATAAAATACCGGGTGTCCTATGTAATATTGGAAAAATGTCTTAGGAATAATGTTATACCAATTAAAATTTACGCCTCCGAACCCCAGATCATCAAATCAGGTGAGTAGTCAGATCTAGAGCATCTTAACTATTTTGACTTAAACAAAAGCAAAAACATGTCAAAACTAAACAAATTTAAATTAAATACTCTGCAGTATCAGCCAAAATTGGATAAAAATCGCATTTTTCAAAATATATCTAAGCAACCATTTTAAAATAATATACCATTTAAAATGAGTTAGGCTCTGTGAGATACTTATGAGCTACCCTGTATAATGGCAACTATTTTGGCAAGCAGATTTTATATTTAAAAATTTGTCGATAAAATAAACTATTGTAGTGAGCTACCCTGTATATTTGGGCACTCTGCCACATAACACTCCCAGAATTACGCATCTCTCAACTTTTGCTATAAAAAATACTTTCGTTATATTATAGTTATTTCAGCATTAACAGTGAAAACTGCAAAACTTGAAATTGAATAATTATTAGTTAATTCAATTATTAATTATAAATTAATCTATTAGCACCAAGAATTCAATTTTGTGCATGATGTGATCCTTATAAAACTTTTAATGAACAGCTCGGGTGAATAACCTCGTATAAAAATGACATTTTATGGAGCTGAAATTTCACCATTTATTAACAAAACCGATGAGTTTGTTGTGCCTTCTCTATCCTTTCAAACGCACAGCCGCGTGGTTTCGCCCATTTCCGATGAATAATAAATATATTACGTTTCAAAGAACTAAATGAAATTATAGGTTTATTAGCCAGTCGCCTGTCGCAGCGGGTCCGCTAACGGACAACGGCAAAAACTATTTTTGTATCGCGTTTATCGGAAATCTGCGACCACCCCGGTACATCGGCACTTTTGTGTTTGTTCATTTTGTACAAAAAAATATATAAAATCTACCCTGTAAGATAATATTTAATGAACTATAAATATTGGTGTTATTATTCACGCAACTATTTCGCATTGATAAAGTACCCTACCGAATCGCAAACTTTGCTTTCGTCATCGATCGCAATGGCGAATATATGAATGCCAGTCTTACCGGTTATATTGAAGTCTAGTAAATTACAAACAAAATTCAACTGTCGGAGAGATTAAACTTCATCTTATCCAGCTAATTGCTGCCTTCATGATGTTGAATCCATTTGAGATGCTTTTCTACTAGTGGTTTTTTATATTATATGTCAATAGTAAAGTGGTAATTATTTTAATTACAAATTTCGAACCAAATCTTGCAAAAGAAAAGTTCCGGATTCGGCTTTAGACCCAAATTGACAATTTGGATGACAAATTGAAGATGCAAACGATAACAAATTAAAAATCTTCAATCCATATTTGAGAAACATGGACCACAAAAACGTTTAGTTAAATTTATTATAATTTAACTCCAATCTAAAATGTATAAAAAAAAAACACGAAACTTATAACTGGTAGTACTAAAACCCCGAAGATTTGAATAATTTGAACATAGAGTTTATCGAGTTTCTTCGGCAAAAGCAAAGTTTGGATAGTTACCCGTTTATCTTTTAAACTTTCCTAATTGTAAATAATTACCTATTTCTAATAAACGCGCTTTTTTCGATTAATGCGGGGGGAAGCTTAGCGCCCTTCGAGCGACAAAGTTTACATTGTATTATCCTAACAAGGACGTACCGGATTTTTGGGATTTGATGTCGGTCCACGCTTTAAAGAGTTTTTTCTTGACGCTCGAAATGGAAAGTTCCCCCCCCCCCTCCTGTATGGCTGTCCGCAATGTGCGTGCATAAACAGGAAATAAAGCAGAAGGGAGTACTTAGTGATTTTATGAATGGTTGTGAGTTCATGGTCGCACGACATATCAAAATATGGCCAGGTGAAAAATTATTATTAACGATTATTATCGAGGCAGCTTTTGTTAAAACTAAATAAAATATCAATGTATCATACACACACTGTACCGAATAAAAACAATGATAATAAATATCATTTACGAAGTTAGACCGCGTTTTAATGTTTTCCAGTACCGCCTCTGGAATATCAAATTTTTATAATTTATATTTTTTTATACAGGGCGTATAAAATGACACAATCACATAATTTAATGAATGTGATCTCAGGGTTCACAACAAAATGGAAAAATAATCGCCATAACGGTTGCAGATTTTCCATAAGTCCTGTATAACTGGATCTTTTGGTAACTACGTGGCCCTATTTTGTAATAGTTTTCCATAATAAGGCGAAGAATGTTCTCATTCTTAACCCAGACGGAAAGACGTTTGTAACATTAACGAAAACCAAGTCATTTCTTAGCATTTATTGCTATAAATTCCTTATTTTTAATACCGAAATAAATATGAACTAGTCGACCAGGAAAATCATTTCCTATTCCGCCGGTAGGTGTCCATCTGTTGCTCGTCATCCTCGAAAAACTCCTTCATCCTCCTCAGTTGCACCCTCGTGTGTTCGCTCAGCGTATCGAGGTCAGGCAGACTGCCGTAGAAATCGGATGGCATGCAGTCGGCAGGAATGTGCTTCTTGAAAAACTCGTCCTTGTTCATATTCGCAGGATGTGTTATTATCTGGAAAAGCCGATTATCCCATTACCCCCCGTTTATACTCCAAACCTAGAAAATCATTTTGGTTAGTTTTGGTTGGTTGGTTAGAAACTAAACTAACCAAATACCTGCTTATTTCTACACAGTTAAACAACAAGAATTTCTTTTTCCATAAGCAGCGAAGTGGATAGAGCAATGCACCTACTGCAAAGAGTGCCATGTTATAGGCGACCCAACGTCATATGGAGTGGACGAATTTGAATCGCCATGATAAATACTTTGACACAGCAAACGATGGTTTTCGTCAGTTTTGGTGGTCACTAAATAGACGCGTCACCTGGGTTGTGCATCCAAAAGATAGCTACCTAATTTTCATTGGTACAGACCGCCGGTTAGGCGGAAAAACACGTCTGCAGATCAGCAGTTCATAGAATTCCAATGCGGACCAAAATGGGTGAAAAATTTTTAGATATTAGTTCTTGGTGTGCGGGGAACCAGAAAATTTAGTCTATGTAATCGGTCAGAGCAATCAAAAAATTTATATTTATAAATAAAGTAATTAAATAATGGTAATTATGGCGATCACCAAGAGACACATAACCAACTCTATTTAATAAGCCTAGGAGGGGATATACTCCTTCCAACTTATACCATACATACATATATATTCTTAATCACTTTTATATTTTTAAAATCTCTGGTGCAACGTACCTTATTAACATAGGAAACAAAGGATAATTTCGAGTCGAATATTACTCCCAAGTCATAAAAAGTGTTAGAACGGGAGATAGTTATATCAAAAAGATGATACTCACATTTCACAGCTGTACTCATGGTGGTAAAAGAAACTACATTACACTTGGCTGCATTAAGTTGGTAGGTATTATTTAGGAACCAATTGTAGATTTGCTCCAAACTACCCTAGAGAGTAAGACAATCATCTGAACGCCAGATTAAAAAAATATATACATCTTTCGCATATACAAAGAAACTGACATCAAGGTCCTTGCAAATGCGATTAACGAAAATGTTGAATAATAATGGCCCCAACATTGAGCCTTGGGGAACGCCCGAAGAAGCAATGTCATCGGAAGGATGGCCATAGAGATATTAAGAAAACATATTAAGGAGCGATTCGAAGAATCCACGGACACGGAGCTTGTGGATTAGAATTTTGTGATGTAAAAAATCAAGATATACGACGTCCATTTGAAAACCTTCATCAATAGCCTCAGAAATATACTGAGATATAGTCTGTTTGGTTCTTAACAGCATGAAATATTTTTTCCTGTAGGAGCGATTCAAAAACATTGCAGAAAATGCAGAATATAATTACTCACCAACCGAACGTCTGAGCGACTTATTTGCAATCAAAAATTGGTCGATCTATGACGTCCGCCTAACGTCGTCGTAACTCAGGTTTATCATTTTATATATCATTGACTCACATAAAAGAAATGAAACGTCAGGACAGGTAAAGATGTGGTCGTAGGTCAGAAAAAATGATACTTGGTGATGATCGGAAAAATTGGCAAATTAATGAATAAGAGACAACTTTCACTTAAAGTTACTAACTCACCATATCGTACAAATCCTTATGCATGAACGGCTTGAGAACTGAGATAATACGATCGAATACGAAACTCGTATTGAGTATGTGAATTTGTTTCAGTTGTATGGGCAATGCTTCTTGAAGATACTGGAAAAATTTCTTGACTACGCTCAGTTTCAGTCTAGTTACGTGCATGATGCCAACCTAAAGAGTTTTGCGCAGTAGATCAAGTCTCTTTAAAAGTGTTTTTTTTTATTACCCCTTTCAAATTAATAACGAAAATAAAACCATTTGCGGGGTTGTCGCGGCAGATGAGGTCGACTAACATGAGGGTGACTTTAATTTGAGATTCTACGTAAAAATTCGAGTAACTCGTGTCTCTCAGGCCGCATATCACGACCGCCATATTGTCTCTCGTCCTGTTGGGCATCACAGCCGCTTTCCTGTAAAAGAAGTCGCTCCAAATTTTATCCACGAATAGCCAAATCTAAAGCTCTTACGTTACTTTGAGGGTAAAGGTCAGTTCGTCCCCGTCTACGTCACGATTGCTGAAGAACTCTGGCGCCACCGCGCGGTGTTTGAAGTAATACGTGATGGTGCTTTTGGTAAATTCGACGGAATCGTTGCAGGCGAGCAGGAATAGCACGATCTGCTCGTCGGACACGGCAGGAAACGCGGGCATATAAGTCAACCATTTTCTGATCTCGGCTATGTTGTACAGAGACGTGCGTCCAGTTTTCACGACGTCCTCGGCGTTGAAGTTGTGTTTGGGAATCACCGCCGACATGTCGCTACCTGAAACGCAGACAAAAATTTGAATGAAAAAAATGCAACGCTTTTTTTTAGCTACCCTACCTTACAATTATTGGTTGTTCAAAAAAAGAATTAAATGGCGCAAAATTTAAATTTAAATAATTACACAAAGTGTGCATATTGCATATGTATGGTATGGTGTTTGTATAAGACAAGAAGTTTCTTATAATTGGGATATTAGTATGGGAAACGAACCCTGCGGGTAAAACGGTCCTTTAAATTTCTTTAAATACTATTTGCGCAATCTCTACGAAGTTGCTAGCCGACAAGAGTGACCTACGAAATTTTAACAAGGTAAGCTATATTTGGTAGAATTTAATATACAAACGAAACAATATTTGAATGCCTGTACTTTTTACCTCTGTAATAAGGTGCCTAGATATTATTATAGTCTTTAATATTAGCTTCAAACTATATCATATTTCTTCGATGTCCTATGCTGACATAATCTACAGTTTTCTAGAATATAGCAAAAAGGCAAAATGGACCGGGCAACTTGGACCCCTTGGACCTAGCCTGCAGCTATACAATGGAAACAATCAAAATATTGATACAGCAACAGCGAAGAAAATGAGGAGATTTGATGCGATATACAATAAACAAGGGGCCACCTCAGCTGCAAGAGTTGTAGGGTTTAATCAGGTTTCTGTTAGCAGTTTCTTTTGGCTTTTAGTTGAAGCTATTGATAAGGAGATATACAGATAGAACATAACGAAGACATTGCCGAAAATAATCAGCACAAAAGGTAAAAAGCAAGTGGTGTACTGACATCAGCAGACGGGGGCCAATTTGTCACTGCTGCATTTTGCTGTAATGTTTTAATTGTATAGTATTATTTGGCGGAGTTCCATGAAAAAGAAGGCTAAGAAGTTTTTCGAGAAAAAGAGCCTCCTTCAAGTGAAGAAAAAGAGGCAGAGTATCTGTATTTTCACTATTTGTATTCAATGTTAACCCAGGCCATTTTGCCTTCTGTTCCACTACCCTCTATTGTAAATTTCCCTGACATAATTTAAATATGCATTATGTATCTGAGAAATGAAAGTTAGATTACATTTTGACCAAATTCAAATCATTTTAATAATCTTACGATTTAGGTATTAAAAACAGATCGTAAATGTGAAAAACCTTAGTGAAACACACGTAACCACAATAACTATGTAATCTAACAATGCAATAATATAAAGGAGGTTCCGTATAAAAAATACAACTTTGATATTTTTAACACTTTTGAATCCCTGTGTAGTATGAAACCATTTTTAAAAAGTAATCGTAATAGGACTTCACATATCCCAGAATTCAAACTTTTGGAAGGCCTTGTATTTTGGACACCATATTCTGTATTGTGTAGCGTGAATAACCCTGTAGAATTATCAGACTCTTCTAGCACAAACATAATGTGATAAGACGAGAATATGAACTTAACAGTAAATTAATTAAAGTAAATTTTCTGGAATTTAATACGAAATTGTCTAATACGTGTATAAAAATATCGTAGCTCAGGTTTTTGCTGTTTGACAACGCCTTTTTATTGGAACCCAACGTGTGACGTATTTAAGGTTCCACCGCAATTGTTTTAACAGGGTATTGAAATTTATAGTACAGATATAACTTTTTATTAATACCGCAATTACATAGTTAATTAATTCCTTGTACGGGCTCGAATCCAATGACTATTTGACGCAAGCGACAATTAGGTCCGTTGGAATTTATTGCCTCGAACAACACATTTTTTTTCCAGTACTTCCCAGTCGGAAACCATGCACGTCACATGTCACACAGAATGAATGGTTTTCTAGCAGCTAAATATAATATAAATCGAAATCGTTGAATTAGGTGAAGGTGATTAAAAAAAGAAAGGGTATGACACCTACACTTTAAAGAATAACAATAAACATTCTGTGTTTGCCAGTCCAGTCAATAAATGTATATTTTGTATATACCTGAATACGTACTTAATTACACGGTGTACGTGTAATACTACTTTACTCGTATTTTTTGTTGAACTGCCCATAAAGACATTATGGAAATAACCCGTATTAATTAATGAAATAATACGAAAACTTAGGAATTATGTCGCTCTTGCTAATTGCATGCAATCTCAGGGGCGACCTCTGTACAATTTACTGTAACACAAAATGCATATTTGGTTTAACCTATACTCCACGTATACATCAAATTGATTATGATGAACATTATTTATTTTTAAAAGTGATTTAAATTTGCTCTTAAAGAAACATAATATGAGTACGAGAACGTTTAGATTAGCACTGGCATTTAGTTAGGTAGGTAATTAAACGTCTAGGTTTAGGTAGGAACGCCGCTAGGTCTTGTCGCTATTAAAATTATCTTTGGTACACTCCAAATTTTACGAGAAAACATTTCCCAGTAATGACGTCATCATACAAAACGCTGTTAAGACACGTTGTTGCGAATTTTTCCACCCCAATTTACATTACGTCCAAATATAAACGTAAATTTTCACTTGGCAACATAACTGTTCAAGATAACTAAGACGCCAGGAATGTATTTGTGTTGTTTTGCGAAAATGTACCCAAAAACTAACGGTCGTAGAAAAAGTATAGTATGCAACACGTTCGGTAAACTTTTTAACTCACTCGTTTATTAAAAACTCGCTCCGCTCGTGTCAAATAAACTCGTGAGTCAAATGCCGTTTACCGCACTTGTTGCATAATATACATTATTGCAATATACAACAGCTGATCTACTAATAGGCTAGTTTAATAATAGCAAATGAGCCGCGGTTTGGGGTTTGGAGGTGTAGCCATTTAATGTAAAAAGAAGCATTTTATGTATGTGAAAAAGTTAGACAAGTTATGTTGGCAACACTGGCAATCACAGAGAAGCCCGATGGCGAAACAGCTCGCACCTACCTGGGACAGCAACTATATTTAACTCCGAGAGAGACGCGGCTCAGGAGTGCGTGGAATTTTCTCGTCGCCGCGCCCTTGGAAAATGCAATACTGAAATGCAAATTGCCGAAGCGGAAAACCGATGATAATTGTACTAACACTGTCTTTTCGAAATTTTATCGGCAAACACACAATTTTACTTTATTGTATTGTCGCCCCGTTGTTACCCGTAATTTATTGTTGCAGTTTAACGATATTAAATTGCCGCTATTATGCGATCTCGCACGAAAAAAAACGAACAATGACCGGCGCTATATATATACAGGGCGAGTTACGTCAGATGATCTATTATAATAGCTCTGGTAAAATATAACAATAATAATCTGTATTTTCGAAATATTTTGGAAAGTTCGGCTTTGCCCGATCAGGCTTAAACTAATTGAATTTCTAATGGGGGGCCCTGCTACTGTTTTCGATAAAAGAAATTGAATATTATTTTTAAAAGGCATTTTTTTTTACATTTTTTGGAGCATAACGTAAGAATTGTTAAATTTTTCATTAATTTAATAGTGAAGAAGACTTTTTGCACAGTCAAGTTAGGCAGGGTGAATCTAAAAAAAGTGCAACTTTTTGTAGCACCCTGTATGATATATCGGTACTAACACAAGCAGTTTCCCACCTGGTTCCCAAATTTGATTTGAAAATTAATATTATTTTCCGCAATGTCGAATAGCCCATTGGATGGCAACGTTGTGCAACCAATGCTGGTGTGGTATCGCCGGGAAAAGAATTTCAAGTTCATTAGAAAGTAAAAATTATTTCTTTAAACAAAGAAACTGTAGTTTATATATATTATTTACGTTATAAGTTAAGACTTCGAAGACATACTAAATGGCTCTGTTATTAGTTATACAGGGTGTCACCAGGATTAAAACGCAAAATTTTGTTTGTGCGAGGACTTTTGCGCTTACAGCGAAACCTTTTCCATTCGATCAATTGATCATATTTTTCCTATAATCGGGCAGTCAATGAAATTTTTTAAAAGAATAAATGGAAAAAATCTAGTAACTTTGTCTTTCGATCATGTTACTGATCAAAATCCAAGGCACGTCTAATTTTAAATTAGTAGCTAAGTATCTATAATTTTCCGTAATTGGATTAAATTTTACAAACCGATTTGCTATGACATTGCGCTTATACGTGTCAACATGCCTGCTGAAAACGTATAATTACAGTCTTACAATTTTGCAGTCGTGTGTACCTAATCAATTTTTTTTTCATTTTGCATACGACAGTAGTAGGTATCGTAAAAAATTTGTAGCTTTTAAAAATTAATCGGCTAGTCTAAAAATAATCGTTTGGAATCAGTTTTCGGTGATTGTGTCGAATTTTTTGTGTAAATAATCAACAGACCTCTCCAGCTGTAAGTTCTAGAACCATTGATAAGGAGATTTGCCTTTTTTAACAGGTAACTACCTAAATACAGAGTCGGAGTAAGCTTTTGGCGTGGTTTTTTAAATTCGTCAGGTGAAACGTTCAAGCAATATGCTTTCCACCTCCTTGAAAGTGAGTTTTATTCTTGGTGTGTAGAAACATGCTTATTATTACAGAGAACGAAACACCAAAAAGCACCTCCACTCACAGTTTTAGTTAGTCGTTAACGCACGAAATTTCCATTTCACATTGTTATTAATCAATAGTTAATCTTATCATTAATTTGGCACGTCTTCTTTGCTATGTTTTCTTTTGCTTTCACTATCTTTTTTTAAATAATTCTATGGTGGTACACCGCTGGAAAATTCTAGAGCCGGCACTGCTCGACAATATCGCACCAATGGAGAGCTGCCATGTGAAGTTGACAACCGCTGACAACTGACGTGTACCACTTTTTATTTTCAAAATCAATTTGAGGCCAAGCGCTAATATATTCGAGCCGGTATTTTCGAAAAAACGTAGTTACACTCCGACGATTGGCAAGTGAAAATTACCCAACCAGGAGAGAAATGCGGGCGTTAAAGTCAACCCTTTGTGTTGTTTTGGTCGCGAGTTTTTCGCTCGCGGCTGTCGCCAATAAAGGTACCGTAAATTTGGACGAACACAATTTCGAGAAAATCGTGCAAAAATTTGAGGTCGCGGTGGCAAAGTTTGATCCTTCCTATCCGTATGGTGAGAAGCACGAGGCTTTCATGAGCGTTGCCGACGAATTGAAGGCCAGGTCGGAGATTCTGTTCGCTCAGGTAGGCATAAAAGATTGGGGCGACAAGGAAAACGAGAATTTGGGCAAGAAATTCGGCGTGAAGTCGAAAAACGACTACCCCGCCTTGAGATTATTCGTGCAAGGAGAGGACCAGCCCTTTGAATATAACAACAATCAGCCCTGGACTGTTGATGACATTAAGAGGTTCATCAGGGACCATACAAACATTTACCTTGGTCTGCCAGGATGCTTAGAGAAATTTGATAAATTGGCACAGGCGTTTTCCGGAGCTTTTGACAAGGCGAGTGTAGTATTCGAAGCTGAAACTGAAGCTAAAGACCTAAAAACCGAGGTATAGTAGAATATTCTTGTCGGTGGATATTTTATGTTTAACATCTCATTTTGGTTACAGAAAGAGAAGCAGATTGCTAACCGCTACATCAAGTACATGAAAAAGGCCCTCGAAAAGGACGATTTTATTTCAGAGGAGAAGCAGAGACTGAACAAAATAATAGCCAAAGGGAAACTAACCAAAGAGAAGAAAGAGGAACTATCCAATAAAATTAATATTCTATCTGCATTTACATTACCAAAATCGGAACTCTGATATAGTGCTTTCATAAAGCAATTACTTTTTGTTTTGGGGGTTGTAAATTTTATTTTGTGTTGTGGTTATTTCCTATATATAAGAGATAATGATGTTTTTTATTTATTGAAGTATGACAACAGCTTTGACTGAATACAATCCGTTTTATACAATGTTATAATTTTGGACATTCCAGAATATTTGTGGCTGTACAAGTTTTTATTGTATTAAGAGTGAGTTTGGAGGTTAATAATTTTTTATCCCATGGTATTTATTCGAAATATACATGTTAAATGGTACAATACTTCATTATTTCCTCACCAAAAGTTGTTAATTTATTTTATAAAGAAAAATTAAAAAGGACTCTCAATGACCCGCTGAAAGTATAAGCCACAGTTATTTGCTTTCTATTGCTTAGACCAGGTATTGCATTGGGTAAAGGTGTAAGTTCAATGTAGATAGGAACCCCGTGAATGTTTTATTATGCGCGTAATCTATTGTAATATATCTAAACTTCTAAACCACCCTAACACGTGAACATCAGCTTCAGTAAAAAACAGTTGCCCCCTCTACCTTGCATTTTACAGCTGCGTCACTGAATTTGATTCTGAAAAGCACGCATGATTGTGCTGGAATGCCGATACAATTCACATAACGGAATTCTGAAACAGGAAAAACTATAGCATAGGGCAAATTCTTTTTGAAAAATCAACTTATATTCTGTATCATGAAAGCCCTCCCACTTAAGATTGCACGTCCCGCCAAAAACGCCAGCGTTCTCAAGCGGTATAATTCATAACCCATAACTGTTGGGCTCGGTTATCGAATGTGAATCTATCGACTTTTTATTTTTTTCCGTTTTAATAATTAGTATGAATAAATTAAGAGTTTTTTAATTTACTGCAGAGCTATATGCTAAGTCTAAAATAGTATTCTATTAGTTTATAAATTAAAACTGCCATCGGTTCTAATCGTCTAATTATCGACAATGTCGATCGTGACGTAAGGGTCTTGACAATCGCCATTTTGTGAGCGTCCACATTTCCGAGCGTGCCTCGCGTAGTTTGGAGTTCAATGGTGCCGCGTCTATAACGAACTAACCAAAATGAATCGGATTTCATTTTAAGATATTTCGCTGTGTGTTCTGTGCTCATAGAACATCATCTAAAGAAATCTAAAGTTAAAATGACCAGTCCTGAAACTGTAGAAACAGACGATTTAATAAAATGCCGAACTTGTTGGGCGGACACAAGTCCAGACGAGTACGTTCGGGTAACGGATAAATGGACAGACGGCGTGCGTTGCGTTAAAGATGTCCTGGATTTCTGCGTGCCTCTCGTGGTAAGAGTTCCGGCCTTTAAACTTTAAATTTTGCCTCCGTCACTTCCACGGCCTATGCTGTAGTCATTACTGCCAAAGAATAGCTTTCGTTTTTTTCCCGGTTGTTTAAAGCGCTTCTTAAAACGAGTAATCAGCGTTTGGCTTTTTGGTAATTCAAATGACAGACAGGTAAGCTGTAAAGCGATTTTTTTCGACTCCAGGTGATCGAAGAGGACAGTGTGATATGCCACAAATGTTTCAACAGCCTGGAAGGTTGCGCAACATTTATCGAAAGATGCCTCTATGTGGATAAGGTTCTCAAAGTCGAAAACCAGGAGGATGAAGAAGATGACGGCGATGATAAGGAAATCGGTATTTCCGTGGCTGATTCCGACAATTTCGACGAGAGCTCAATCGATTCGCAGCAGTTGCCAGACAATAAACGCAAGGGCGCCCAGAAAAGGGACCACAGTTACTGCAATGACGACGACAAAGAGAACAACGGTAGCAAAGCCAAGAAGCAAGCGTTGGGCAATGAGCAATCACCAAAAAAGCTGGGTAAGGAGTGCACATAAAAAATATAGAAAAAAAATTATGAACCAGGTTTCCTCTACCAGATTTATTGAATATCAAGCTTCCCAACCTTAAGTTTAAGACGGTGAAGGTGTGTCACTTTAAATGCGAGAAATGCACCAAGATCTTTACAAACCTTGTGGAGTACCAAACACACATGGAGAGCGTCAAAGACGCTCCCGAGTGCGACTATGAGCAGTGCGACATTTGTTTGCAAAAGTGAGCTACAACTGATCGTCTTGTTGATTGTTATTTTTGCGCAAACAATTTTTTGCAGGCTGCGTAGAGGCGACCTCAGGAATCACAAGGAAGAGCAGCATTCCAGCCACGTTTGTGAAGAGTGCGGCAAATCTTTCTCGTCGTTGATCGCACTCAAGTCCCACCAGCGTAACGTTCACCCCAAAGAATCTTACCCTTGTCCGCATTGCGAGAAAGTGCTCAAAACGATGAATTCGTTGCAGTGCCACATCCGACATGTTCACAAAGAGGAGGACGATAGAGGTTAACCACAAATCGTTGTCTTCTGTTATTGTTATTTTTTATGTTTTGTTTACAGAACAATATCAGAAGTTTATGTGCGACCGATGCCCCAAACGTTACGAGAAACGGAGCTCGCTAGAGCGCCATCTTAAATGGCACGACAACATCCGCGATTATGAGTGCGAACAGTGTTACAAAAGCTTCTTCACCAGCAACGAGCTGCTATGTCACGCCAGGTAATTTCGTTAAAAAAAAAAATTATAAGAATATCATACAAGATATCAACTAAATTTCTATTAGTCGCTTTATATTTTTTTTATAATTGTATATTTATTTATTCTGGGTAAGTAACCATAACCCTTTTTGTTGCATGAATAAATTCTCTGCTTATGAGGTTAACTACTTATCTCATTTACTATGCATGAAATTCTCTAATAACATTAATAAGTGTTTTTCTCTTAGTAGCACTAAACGTAAGCCCTCACCCTCGACTCATTCCTTTGAAGTTAATTACACAAGGTACTCGGGAAATCAAGATTATCTTAAGAGTTAAAAAAATGGATTAAAATAGTACCTTTGAAAAAATATATCTTATTTATTTATTTATTTTAGTTATTTATTAATACGTAATTTCTATTTGATTTTTTATTTATATTTTAAACTGGAACTAAAAATTGTATTAAAATCAAGAACCTCTGCAAATAAAATTACTTTTTTTTTTTAATTTGCTATTAATGGTTTGAAAATTGATGTGAGAGAATTAGGTGAGCAATATTAATCCTTCAGATAACCTGTTTAATTTTTGATTGATATATTTTGAAGGAATCTTTACTGTTATCTCTTTATTTTTTTACTTTAAAATGGCATTTCTGAGAGTTTTAAAATTGCTAAAACTCGAATTGGATCGTTAATTTTCGGGGAAATAATTTACTTTAATTTACTATACATTAAATTAAAGCAGAAAAATAATCGGTTCGAAATGACTTGAATTTTTTCGCGACGCCCTCTATGTAACTGCAGGTTGATGCATTCCAACGAGGAGACGTTCTTCTGCGAGATTTGCGGCAAGGGTTTCGTCCGTTCGGACTACTTGCGTCGCCACATGGCGTATCACGCGAAGTATGTCGACTCGTCGTGTCCTGTGTGTAAAAAGCTGTTCCGTTCCGAGACGAAATTGGCGAACCATATGGAGGCGGGGCACGACGCGAACGGCGTGTCACTAGAAAAGCCGAAATCGCGTACTCAGACCGGCAAAAACAAGATCCCCGGCCACTACAAAGCCAAGTGCGTCTGCAAGATATGCAAGAAGGTGATCGCAAATCCTTTCGGCCTGCGCGTTCATTACAAGTCGCATTTGAAACTCAAATCGTTCAAGTGCGAGTTTTGCGGGGTGCTGCTGCAGTCGCCCATTTCGCTCAAGCGCCATCACGAGCTGCACAAGGACCCGAACTACAAGTACAGGTGAGTTTTTGCGGGTGCACGCGATATCCTAACATTTGGGGATATTTGTTGACGTTTGGCAACATTGCCGGAACTCTTAAAAAAAACGCTAATTACCATTTTTTAATTCAACCAAAAAAATAGCAAAATAGATCGATTTAAAAAGTATTCTATTTAACTTAAAATAAACAAGTTTTATAAACCTGAAGGAAAGGAAAAAAATTAAGAGACAAAATTTAGATTTTTTTTTCTTCGTTTAAAAAATTTGTGGATTTATTTAAAAATTAATTTAATTATTTTTATTTTAATACTAGCACCGGGACAACCCGTGGTATTTTTTAAAAAGATGTTTTAAAATAATAAGATGTTGTATATATTGGTAATTTTTAATAAATGTTAAATGTTACTTTTCAAGATCGTTCGTAGAAATTATTTGAAAATCCATAAAATGTCTGTGAAATCGGTAAAATCTGAAGTTCCCTACATCTTTGTGAATAGGTCTCGTCAGGACACATCTGGACCGAATTTTAAGTGTGCGGCTTAACATTTTCCACACTTTGTTCTATAGCGATTTTCCCAAAAAGTTACTGAATATCGTCAAAAAATATGGACATTAGATTGCCTCAATTTTTAAACATATTTTGCCGCTCGAGGAGTATTAAAATGAAGTAAAATTTAAATCTTCTTATAAAAATTTGCATTGTAGATGGAGGTCTGAAATGATTTTAACATCCATTTTGCTAAAAAAAAACTAAAAATTTATACAGAGTGTTCCACGACTAGCATTTTAAAACATTAAAATTATGACATACAGGATGAACAATTCGTAAGTGTAAAACTTTTGTAAGATTTTTGAAGTAACAATCGTTTTTTAAAGTATTTATGTGTTCTGGTCTCATCTTATTTACGGTAACTGGTGGTTACAGGAAATATTTTAGCAGCCATTTTTTTAGTATGTTTATGTTCTTTAATGGCCCTGATATCACCAAAGGCGAGGTAATATACGCAATAAAACCCCAGAGAGACGGAAAAGCAACCGGCCCAGACAATATTCATGCCAAACTTATAAAACTCATAGCCGAACAAGAGGGAAAGGGACTGCAACTGCTAACCTCAATATTTAACACAATCTACCGTACAGGGACTGTCCCAACAGACTGGTTGCGCTCAACATTTATTACCCTGCCCAAGAAAACCCATGCTTCGAACTGTGATGAAAACCGCATGATAAGCCTGATGTCACATGTTCTCAAAATATTCCTCCGAATAATTCACACCAGAATTTACAAGAAATGCGAATACCAACGAGATGAAACTCAATTTGGATTCCTCAGTGGCTTAGGTACTCGTGAAGCGCTATTCGCGCTGAACGTTCTAACTCAGCGATGCAGGGACATGAATGTCAATGTAGTCGCTTGCTTCATAGATTATAAAAAAGCTTTCGACTGCGTTAAACACCAAAAGCTAATAGAAGTACTCAAAAAAACTGGAATAGATAGAGAAGAAATCCGATTAATTACAAATCTCTACTGGAAGCAAAACGCAGTAGTGAAAATTGAAGAAACAACATCAGAGGCAATCATGCTTAGAAGAGGTGTAAGGCAAGGCTGTGTGTTATTGCCGCTGTTATTCAACTTATACTCTGGACAGAATCGACTGTAGGATTAAGGTCAACGTCAGATATGCCGACGACACCGTTGTCCTAGCCGAGAATGCGCAGGATCTGCAGAGGCTAATGGATCACATAGTGCGATACAGCGAAAACGCTGGCCTCCTCATAAACACTACAAAAACTAAGGTCATTGCATTTACCAAGACACCTGTTCAGGTTCGTCTGAATGTTGATGGTGCTGCGGTGGAACAAGTGTCTTCATGCAAATATTTAGGGAGCATCATAAATGATCAATGTGATCCAAGGAAAGAAGTCAGGCCAGAAAAACATTCTTGAATATGAGACGAATTTTCGTGAGATCAGATTTGAGCGTGGAGCTCATGGTACGCATGGTCAGATGCTATGTTTTCTCGGTTTTTCTGTACGGATGTGAGAGTTGGACCCTAAACCCATCACTAGAAGAGAAAATAGATGCATTTGAAATGTACATTTATCGTCGTATACTAAGAATATCATGGATAAAAAGAGTAACAAACGTAGAAGTTCTCAATCGTATGAGAAAGCAAAAAGAACTTATGCTTACCATCAAAGAAAGAAAAACTCGTTATATTGGGCACATAATGCGAGGTGAAAAGTATGAACGTCTGCGCCTAATCATAGAAGGCAAAGTCCAAGGCAAAAGGTCGGTCGGCAGGCGCCAAAACTCTTGGTTAAAGGACATTCGACGATGGTTTGGTTGCTCATCGCTCGACATCTTCCGTATGGCCGTATCTAGAACCACGTTAACTATTTGGATCGCCAACCTTCGAAAGGAGACGGCGCCATAAGAAGATGTTCTTTAATAAATTAATGTGTGCGTAATATGTAGTCCATATATTTAGATAATTGATGGTTCCTTTTTTAAAATGGTGGAAAAATAAATATTCTTTTATCTTAAAAACGAAAATGGATAGAACAATAAAATATTACATAAGTGCCTAAGTTTTTTCTTACATTTAGTTAAGAAGAATGAAATGGGTCGTCTAATTGAATCCCCTCCCCTCCACCTATAAAAAAAATAAAAAATATGTGGTAAGTTTGTTTCTATAATATTTCCGTAACATTTTGTTGTTCTATTTATTTTCGTTTTTAAGATAAAAAATTAAAACGATATTTTCCGCCATGTTTGTTGAATGTCCAGAACAGTTTTTCGGGTTTGTTTTGAAACGCCATACATACATTTTACGAGGTGAGTTAGAAAATTACGCTTTTATAATTAAGTAAGTAGATGATTGTAAGGCCAAAATTAAGTTGAACTGAGGTGACTTTTACTTGATGAAAATCCATTTATCAAAATAAATAAGAACTAAAAGTTCAGATTTTCTCTTTCAGTTGTTATTTATTTCAAAATTAAGTTTTTTTCTAAAAAATATGACTCTCTCTCAGTTGAAAATTGTCACAAATACGTTAAAACTTAATAAGACATGTATAAAAAGTTTAGAAGTTTAAAAATTCCGATTCAAGTACTTATAGCCCTACGACGAAATTAATAAATAATTCCAAACTCTTTCGTTACCTAAATATATAGAAATTGCTTTCGAAACTGCGTCATTATAAGTTTAACTCCGAGCAAAAAATAATTACAACAAATACGAGTACAATATTTTAAAAATCGCAAAATCGGTTAATAGCTACAACATACGTTGTTTTCAACGCCAACTTCATACTTTCTTTACATGTATTAGATCATGGCGTCGGCAAATATTGATTGCTCTTCCGATGTGGGATCTCTTCAAAACAAATTTCGTTGCAGCTGCAAAATATGTCACGCGCGTAAGTCGTCGGCTGCCGAGCTGGACTACCACACCAACACGGTGCATAAAACGAAACGGTACAAGTGTCACATTTGCTCGGAGGCGTTCGGCAGACGGTATCTCCTGGACAGCCACCAGGCGACCGAGCACGCCGACGAAATCATCAAGCGCGAACTGATCCTGGAGGAGTTAAGCAAGGAGACGATGTACCTCGACCCGGAAGACGAGGCCAACCTGACGTACAGGGGGCCGAAAAACAACAAGGGCGTGAAAGTAGGCGTGGACGACGAGGACATCAATGAAATCATTCGGGAAATCGGCGAGGAGGCCGGTCTGGTTTTGGACGACGACGACAGGGTCCAAGGTAAGGCGTGTCTACCATTTTATTTATCTACGGAAACTTTTTGGCCGACCGGAAGGTGGGAATGGGTTCGTAGGGGCTTAGATCATCAAATACTTAAACTTGATGGCTTTTACTGTTTCAATATACTTCATAAGGGTGTGCCAAAAAAATATTTTATGTTGAAGCTCGGTCCCGTAAACATATCCAGGAGGAGGAAGAGGATGAAGAAGAGGAGGAGGGCGAGCTGCATCAGGAGACGGAGTTCGTCGACTTGAAACAAGAAAATGAAGACACTGAAGAGACGGAGGTGAGGGTGATTCAGGAGCTGGAGGAAATACCAGACGGGGAGTATTTGGAGATGATCGGAGAAGATGGTCGCCTGATTAGACTGAAACGGGAGGACGGGGAGTACGTGGAAGTATCCGATTACATGGAGGGTCAGGAGGTAACAGAAGTCGACGACGGGGAGTACCAGGAGGGCGCGGAAGTCGTCGAACTGTCTGAAGATCAGCTGGTCGAGTACGAGGAGGGCGGTGCGAGCGGCGACGGGCAGCAATACGAGGAGATGATCGAGGAGGGGGAGTATTTGGTGTACGAGGACGGGGTGGAGGTGGCCGCGGAAGAGGTGCAAGAGTGAGAGCGGCGTAATTAGAGTACATATATATACATACACTATCAAGTAATCTTCTGGCATATATTGGAATTTTTTGTTTTTTCATTTTATTGTTCAATATCCTTTCAGTGGGGGGTTGCAGAAAGTGTTTGCAAGTAGTATTGTTATCTCCTGCTTTATAAATAAATTGTTTTAAATACTGTGTTTTTTGTTTTTTGGTCCCAGGTCACCTGTCCCCGTTTTCTCCCGGTTCCCACGTTTTTTTTTTGTGGCCACTTTGAATAAGTAAAACAAAAAAAATCGGTAGAAAACTTTAATGCTCTCTTAATCTAAAAAAATATCTGCGATATTTATAAAAAAACCACAACTGTCCAACAATTAGAAAAATACATCTTGGAATGTACAACATGCCTAGAAATACCTGTGTAATAATTAGAATACGCAGAAGATCGAACTACTATTATGTGGCTAAATTTCGAGTTGACAAACTTTGTTTTAATATCAATAAATCAGTTTTCATTTTTGAGTAAAAAAATCATTTACATCATATACATATAAACAAGTAAACTCTTAAAAATTAACTCTACAACAGAATCGGCTAATTCGAGTAAAAAAAAAGTTGACACCTGTAATGGAAACAAGCATTAGGGCCCATGTCTATAAGAACTTTAGCTCATTCCCTTCAAGTTTATTTTAACTTATTTAAATAACACTCTGTATAGAATAGTTTTAATATAGGTGTCATCTGTCAAGCGAAATCCAATTAAACCCACAACAATTATAAGCAAAACAAAACCCTAATGAGTGTTGCACATATGAACTAACCCTTTTCTAACAGCTAACACCAATGAGTTTTTGTATGGATGATGTATTACAACTGCAGTGAAACAAACCTTATGTTGTAACAATTGTAATCATTATTAATTACTAATTCAACAAATTATTTGAAAATAATTGTAACTAACCTTATGTAAAGACCTATTACACTAGCCAAGCAAGAATATCAAAATTTAATAAAACCAACTTAAAATCATACCTAACTAAAAAAAAATATATCCAAATACTACTCCTCTTTTTCATCCTCATTGGTAACTTCTAATTCTGTTAGTTTTTTAGTAATTTCTTCAGCCTCTTCATTGTTTCGATTCTCGGTCAGACTCTCATTCAATGAATCATTAATAAGCTTATCTACCTTACCGTTATATAAATCACAGTCAATTTTAAGTATTTTTTTGGCCTCTTCGAATTTATTCTTAAACAAATTTGCATCTGCGATAAAAACATCAGTGAGTTTCAAATCCCCTAAATCAGAAAAATAGTACTTACTCTCCATAGACCCGAACTTCACTGCAAGACACTCAGATTTGACTTGTTCATCTGCAAAATCACCCAACACGGTATAGATAAATGCTTTCTTGTTTGTTGAATTTGGTTTAAGTTCCATCCAAGGAGTTATAAAATGGTTTGCGCATACTTTTAGGGTCTTGTCGCGTCTCATTACAATGCGAAATGAGCTATTCTCATTGTGGCGCAAAATTTTCAATTCGCCCGTACCCCTTTCCTATAGCAAAACAATAACGAATAAACGTTTGACGCAAAATACAAAACATTACCTTCCACTCTGCAGGTTCGCTAAGAGAATCAAACCGGTATAACTTAGCTCGAATCTTAAGGAATTCTGTTTCATCATCTTCATTCAATGAGACTTGGACTTCAGGCAAACTTATAATGGGCGAATAGTGCACATCGTATTCTGTATCCGAAGATTCGGATTGTTTATGCTCTCTTTCCGGGGTTTGTGGAAGTACTTCCTTGACAACAAAGAGAAAATACCATTTAGGTTATGACCCAAAGCCGCATGATAATTATTAATTATGTAAATCATACCGATATCTCGCTCATGGTTATCTGTAAAGTGTTTGCGGGTCTGGCTATTCCTATTCTCGTTATTCTCTTTTTAGTCTAAAATTTTTTTTATTCGCTTGACGATTCGTTAAACAAACCAGTTCAACGTTAAAAATGTTGTCGGTTTATTTTCACCAATCACAGAAATCGGGCAATTTAAAATTATCCAACCAACCATAAAGGACGGACGATTACAATTGTATTTATTAGTCTGTGCGTGAGGATTCTTCTTCTTTAACCAAAACGGCGAAGCTCATAGTGCCCAAAATACGTAACCCAATTCGTTTCCTTAAGCACCAGGTAAGTGGTCAAGGGTATGGCATCTGCGGACAGTAACGCGTGGTTAGTACATTTTAAATGCCTTGAACATAAGGCATTTTAGTAATAAGTGTACCTTCCGAGTCTAAAATCTGTCCTTAACCAAGAACTTTCGTGTTTTTGTGTTTTCTACTTGTATTGCTCCATTATTTTGTAAATTAAATATTTATTTGTACAATGTGTTTCAGTTAAACAATGTTTGTAACTACCATGGTTTGATATTTTCTATCTAAAGTATATTGTATTATTTTACATTCTAAATATGTTGAATAATTTGGATATTATAGACAGATATTTCGTAAAAAAAAATCTATTATAAGTGAACAAGAAGAGCGCTAGCAATATACATTAAAATGAGTTGAAAAGAGAGCGTTGATATGCGCATTGAAGACGAAATCGACGAATGAAGTCACCAAATGGTACTTGAGATGTTTACGGTTATTAGAGCAAACTATCGTATTTACGGATCTTCGAAACCAAATGAAAAAAACTTTCTTCGTTAAGTCGAATCATCATAGCAATGGAGGTCAATAAAAGTGAAGAAGAGCTTTTTCTATTTTAATTTGACCATACGACCAGGATTCTGTGGTGGAGCATTGCACGCGGCGGTTTAACCTCCGTTCGCTCCCGACAGAATCCCTTGTATTCGTCCTCAAAAGTTTGATATCGGTTTCCACTGTGTGGACTTAGTGTTTTTAGTGTTCAGTGCATGTTTTAAAGTGATAATCGTCGTCGGCCCCGTCATTTTTCCCTGTTCACGCCGGTATGGAGGCCGGATGGGCCCGGATGGTCCGTGGTGGAAGCCGATTTTTTTGGTATCGGTCAGAATCGTTTTTTGCTAGCTGAGCAAATTATTGGTTATTCTTCTTCTTTGTATGTGGTGGTCATTGACCAGAAGCGAAAATCCTCGACGGAAGTCGGCAATGGGCGAATGATCCTAGCAGACGAGCCCAACATTTTTTTTGTGAAACGCATAATTGAATTGAATTGAACCATACGACCATAGATAAAATAAGATTATTGTGAATTTCACGCTGTTTTTGTTTACATTAAAAGAAAATTACTTTTAGGTAATTAGTATTTTTTTAGAAATCACATTCTTGTTCATTAATAGCAAACGTTCGGATTTTTTGTGGATTTGTTAACAAATAAGAAAATAATAAAACCGGTTGTTCTAACCTAACATCGGTGTGTATATTATAAAAGAATTTTGACGTAGTTTTACTTTAGTTTTCCTTATGTAATATTCGATTTAAACGCTGTTAGAAATCACCTGGAAATATAATTGTCATTATCTGGTTTCTGTAGGACTTATTTTGTAGGCAGTCAATTTCTGATTTCAGGTTAAGCTGCAATTATGTTTGGGACGCAGTTAGGACCCTTTCCGGTGAGTATCGCTTTTGTTACAGGTTAGAAATTTAATGTAATAATTTTTATACACCTGGGTGTCGTGGCTGTGCAGTTCGTAGAGTAGGCCTGGCAAAACAAAACTCCTGTCATGTCAATTTATTTTTCAGTTTGCGTCAAATACACAATTTCAGGAAGACGCGAGTTTTCAAACCTCCGCGATGGACTCAAACAACGGCTCGGGCGACAATTACGCGGGAGGTATTGACAAAACTAAATTAATTGTCAATTACATCCCGCAGTTTGCGACAGAAGAAGATTTGGCGCAAATTTTCGCGCCCATTGGTAACGTTGAAAATATTAAAATCATGCGCGATTATAAAACCGGCTACAGTTACGGCTTCGGTTTCGTCAAATATTTCAGAGAGGAAGACGCAGCCAAGGCCATAAATGCACTTAATGGTTTCAATTTTAGGTGGGTAGGGCCCTATTTGGTGCAAATTCTTTGAGTGTATAAAGTTGGATAAATAATTACGCGGTTTTTAGAAATAAGAGATTAAAAGTGTCATATTCGAGGCCTCCGGGCACCGACATGAAGGATTCGAATCTATATATTACCAACTTGCCGAAAGAAATTACGGAAGAGGAGGTTGAGAATCTGTTTAAGGATTACGGAGAGATCGTGCAAAGGACCGTCCTCAAAGATAAACATACGGGTCTTCCGCGGGGCGTTGCATTCGTACGGTCAGTTGTGCCACTCAAAATTAGTTAGAGTGTTTCATTCAATGGTTTAGGTTTTCAAGAGGCGAGGAGGCCCAAGCAGCTATAGCGAATCTCGACGGAAAAATGCTCGAGAATGCCATTCTTCCATTAAGTGTGAGGGTGGCCGAGGACCACGGCCGCCAGAAGGCGCAGTACCTGGAGGCGTGGCACCCGATGGCGTTCAACAATAGGGGTAAGCGGAGACGGTTTTAGTGGAGAGAGGATTTTTTTCGTTTTTGTATTTTGCCCTCACGGAATATGAATTATTAATTTATATTTATATATAGTCTAAGGCTAGGATTTTTTAAATTATTTATTATGACGAGGACAGTGTGAGCGACCTGTAAATATATATATGTATGCTGATTTGTACATAAAACTCTCGAGTTAATACGTTCGAAAATTGTACCAATAAAAAATTTTCGCTGAAGGTGATGTGGAAATCATCCTCTTCTGCGCATGCGTCAGGTCAGCATCAATATTATGTGTGTTTGAATTGGACAAAATTCGGGAGTAAAATTTTTGTTGTTTGTTGTTTTGAGATTTTACAATGTTTCTTTGGTGAGGTTCAGTTTCCTCTAATGATTTTGGAGACAGCTGTAGACAACTAGATTATTCAAATTTGCTAAAACGAAACAAAATGCGATAATATTTTTGTTCTGTGGATTCTCGCACGCTGTGTGTTAGTTGACATTCGGAACGTTGTACCTTGCTCCAAATTGTAAAAAAAGAAGTTTTAGAAATGCAATTGCATAAGCTTGTTGAACGAAATGAGGGAAACTGGACGTCTGCGGCGAATATATAACATGTCACCATCCTCGTTAAACGATCTAATTGTCTAATGATATGTATAATATTTATACTTAGTTGTTTTTTGTTGTTGTATAAGCGCTTTTAGTAACGCAATTTTATCCTAACAAAACAGAAATACGGATTACCACCGACCATTGATCTGTTTTTGTAAATGTCCGAAAACGCGGTAGTCTTCTTTTTGTTGTTATTTTAACCATTTAAATGGGGCGAAACATTTTTTTCGAAAGGTGTTGCTCCCACGTAACGTTGGCCCCCAAACGTTTCGGGTGTCCACCACTCCCCCTATTTATTATTTGTTGTATAAATTTTGACGTGCAATATGTAAGGGGTTTTCAAAAAAATGAAATTAAATCAGAGGTAGCCGTGATATTTAGTAATTTCATGTTGGGCTTTTAAAGAACATTTGCCGCAAATGCTTTGCTCCAATGTCAATACAAAGCCCTGTCTGCAAAAAATTCTTTCTCGTATATCGCCAACATTTCATCTAGCGGTTTTGAGCAGACTGGCGCCATCTAGTTCAACGTCCCATAATTCATTAACGAAAGGGGTTAGAATTTCTTCTCCTTTCATTCTGCAGAAATAATTCCATATAGCTGCGAGAATTATAGAGGCCTAGCCTATGTCGATAATACAAGTATTTATCAAGCAACTATGAAAAAAATTTAGAGAAAGTTCATTCAACGTGCGCATGCGCGAAATTTGAAATTCAGCAACCAATATGGCTGCTGACAGGCCGGCAGTAAATTTGGATTCCGCATTTTTACGGCAGTATTTTCACAAAAGACGCCTGGATCCCGTTAAATGTTTTGGGAAAACGAGTTAAATCTGTGGAAATTGCTGTTTAGAAAGAAAAGATCAATGCCTCCTGCGGGGCATTAATTTTTACCGCAGTATAGGGCCACTATATTATAAATATATGGCTTGGACTATGTAGCTACTAGACATATAGAAGCAAAATTAAAAGCTAATTGTCATTTAATATTTCTTGAGTGTCAGTCAAATTTGTGTTGTGGTTGGATTTGAAACCAGAAAAAAACTGTCCTTTAATATTGAACTTTTGGATGAAACCATAAGGGCACTGTCAAACGAACAATTTTTTTTATGAATACAAAAATTCCAACGCAAACATTCCTAATTTTACTTGCAAACTATAGTAATATTTTGTTCCGCCATAGGTCTCTTCCCCACCACCCTGTCGCTCCAAAAACTGCGACACGAATTGTCAGTGATGTTGAGGTTAAGTTTTTGTGTATAAGTATAATATACATACACAGTTCATTCTTTTTATTTCTAATAATTCCAATAAAAATGCAGAAACCATGGATGCAGCATTGATATTGTTCGCGGAAAGCTATATTAAATAGAACACAGATAAAGAAAAAGAGAAATATTCCTAAAAGAATGTACATGCCCCATCACAAAGTGTAAGTTTTTTGTAGTTTTTGGTAACGAAATTGATTAGGAGCTCGTAGGAGTTTTAGGACTCTATTTTTTTTTCGTATGAGTCTAAAAATGTTCATAAGTCCATGTCGTGTTATTGTCTATAACATTTAAATAACATACGCCGAATATACGTTTTTAACACTTTTATTTTTCTACAAGCATGTCTACCATAGAACATGGCCTGATGGCGCATCCCCTTTTTATAATAAAGCTGGGGTTCACCAACGTGGACAAATAACTTAAACATAGTCGGATACATATGCAGGCCTTTTAACGTCACGCTTTGGCCTAGCCGGTGTCGCAGTTTTATGCACTGTAATAATATCTTGCGTAACTTTAGTCTTTCGGTCGCGCACTTCACCTGAATCACTCTGAGGGGGAGCACATCCTTCCATACTTGGATTTCTGTTAGTTTCTTTGGACACACTTGGATTAGATTCGCGATATTGCCACGAGGAAGATGACGCGCTACTTAGATTAGTATCCAACAAATTTTTTGGCAACCCAGTTTGGGTGTGTGGTAAATAATAGGGTGCTAACATTAGGTGCCAACGATTTCGGCGGTATTGGCCAAAGTCGGTTTCTACTACATAAGAACGCGGTTCATCACAAATCTCGATAATTTTGCCATATTTGCGAATATCGACCACCCACACCGAGTCGACCACTTTGAATGTGTCCATATCTTTAGGATTGTCTCGTTTATTATAATTCATCTGTGATTTGTGTTTTAAAAACTTTTCTTTTTGCAAAAAATGCGATTGAGGACTTAACGGTTCACCTAATTTGCTCGGCAAGATGCGAAGTGTTGACCGCAATTTTCGGTTCATAAGAAGTTCACAGGGTGACAACCCAACTCCAAAAGACTTGTCCTGTAAGCTAATAATGCTAGAAATATGTCATTATTTCTATTCTTTTTAATCAAACGCTTTGAACGTTTGAACGACTCATCTCTCAAAAAGAACTCATCAGAATGAAATGAGCGGAGGGTGGTCACAAAAGGATCAAGCTTTAGACAGTTGCACACTTTCAGCATTGTAGTAAGCTCCATAATTTGCACAGTGGTAAGGTATGTCGAAGATGGAGCTATCACCGTTTCTGTAATATGCGTTAAATTGTCTATGTAAAAGAGCTGGACAATAAATAAAATCTTCTGGTTTGAAGAGTATCAATATTGAAGCTGTAATACTGTAGTTGATCTGATACTTTCTGATAATTGCTTCGATGGAGATCAATATGGAGACCATACCGCAAATGCATAGTCCAACCTGGAGTAAACCAAACAGATATAGAGGATTTTAAAGCAATGTGGAGGAAGTTGTCTACAACAAACCCAAGGACTTGCATAGACCTGTTTACCACTTCCGCAAAATGTGTCACAGAACTTAGTTTAGAATCTAAAAAAATCCCTAAGTCTTTAATGCTAGTGACGGTTTAGATTTTGACTTCATCAATGCTATATCGGTTGTGAACCATACTCAACGAACAACTAAAGCTAATACTACAGCATTTTCAGCATTTTTGACATTGAACGCAATGCCATTAAACTTAGATTACATGCAAACACTGTCCACCTACCTCTGAAGCAGCAGAGCATTCTCGCGCGATCTAACCCTCCTGAATATCTTCAAATCATCCGCAAACAAGAGACATTGTGATTCCCAGACTACACTGACAATATCATTTATAAACAGGTTAAAAAGGATGGGTCCAGTGTGAGAACCTTGGGAACTCTCGAAAAAATATCAATTTTACCCGACACGTAATTATTAATACGAACCAACTGAGTACGACCAGACAGAAGGCATTGAATCCGCTGCATCAGGCCCAGGCTCATTAGAGATGTACATGACCAACACGATCAAACGCCTTCAACAAATCAGTGTAGACACAATCCATTTGACCAAGCTCCTCAAAGGCGTTCAATAACAGTTTTTACCCATTAACCCTCGATTTTGCGCAGTTTTCATTTTAAACAGCGATTTCTATATACTAACTCGTTTTTCGTCGCAAAAATGCCTAACTGAAACCCACCGAATTGACGAACTGTCAGTGGCCATGTTGATTGTTGGTCTGACTGAGAACGGAATTTGAGAGGATCGCCCAAGTGCATATTAAACCTACCCATCTTGAGATTTCTTTTGATCATTTCAGCATCGCTTTAAAAGTTTTTGTATTATCAACAGTGCTTCTAGTAGCGATAATGGCGCGACTGACAGAACGGTCGTGCACATAAGTTACCGCAATTAAGGCACCCTTTGGTTTAGTTTTTTTTTTTTTGAAAGACCTTATAGAATTAAATAGTCGACCGCGCTTGTCACAGATTCCTCTCTCTCCAGGCTTCCCGCTTAGACCGAACCTCATGCCGCCGTTCAGAGATCCGACGGTGCCCGCCAGATCCGGTGTCCCCCAGACCCGTCCGAACCGGTTCCCGATTTTATCTACCGCGTTGCGAAACCTGGCGGCCGGCGATGCCCTCTTCCACAACCAGTTTTATTACTGAAGGAACTCCCCTCCCCCCTTATCCATATCGTCGAGAACGTTGTTTTTTTTTGTTTGTTTCGTTTTGTTTCTTAATAACACCCCCCACCCCCCTTCCATTTCACTATCCGGAAACCCACTCCCGTCCGAGAAGACAAAGTTTCGTTTCGTTTTGTGATAAACGGAAATAGTTTTTTTGTTTCACATTTTTGGGGGAAATGGTATCGCGCGGCGGCGGCGGCGGATGAATCGCGGGCGATGGATAAAGATCTATCTGTCATATTTGTATAATTTTATATTTTAAGAATTGTGAATAAAATATAATTTGTTGTTTAACGTGTGTAGTGTTTTACTGCAATTTTGTTCATCTGTTGACCTCATCCACACTATACTACAATACTTGGCAACCCTCGTTCATGTTCCATAAGAATGACATATTTAAGGAAGGCTTTGAAGCGCCATCTATTGGAAGATTCGAGAAACCAATAGGCTTTCCTGGGTTGTAAATTCCAATCCCAGTTGATTTACTGGGCGATACGAACTACAGTGTTAAGAAGTCCCGTTGAAGGGTGTGGAATCACATTTGTAAAGGTGGAACATTTTTTTGGCGCGGTTTCAGAAGCGCTATATCGAATCCCTAGACGCGACCGCCCAAACAAAATTCCATCGGATCATAGAACACACGGAATATGGAATATCCTGGGATAGGTTCATTCCCGCCCTGTATAATAAAATAACTAATTAAATATAATAAAAATAGAATTTACTTTAAGAACCTTTGTACATACACACTTCATTATCGACTTAAAATGGAAACTCCAAATGTTTAACGCGATCGTACACTATTTACACTGACACACCCGCACTTCTTCCTTGTCGTCGCTTCCCCGCGTTTCACCTCCTCCTGTCCCTCGACTTGCTCTCCGACCGGTCCTTCTCTTTTTGCTTCGACGATTTTTTGTACTTTTCCTCTTTGGACGAATACTTGTCCTCCTTGTACCTATCTTCGCGTTCGTGCTTCCTGTCCCTCTCGTGTCTGTCTTTCTTCTCCTCGTACTTATCCTTGTCTCGTCTATCCCGGTCCCTCTCTTCCTTGTATTTGGAGTCCTTTTCGTATTTGCCGTCTTTGTCGTACCGATCGTACTTGTCGTACCGGTCAATGTACCGGTCGTTTTTGCTATCCCGGTCGTTGCTGGGCGACCGGGATCTCTTCCTGTCTCTATTCTTTCTCGATTTGTGCGGCGGCGACGACGGGCTCCTCGAACGCGAGTAGCTCTTCCTCTTGTGGTTTTTCTTGTGATTCTTTGGCGACCTGCTTCTCGATCGGTGCTTTTTCGACTTTTTGTGGTGTCTTCGGTCGGGCGACGGGGTCAGCGATCTGGTCCGGGACCTTTTCTCGTTAATGGTTGGTGCCAGGTGACTACCCGAACGGCTATACAGCGAAAAACGAAAACCAATGTGAAATTTGCGCTGCACAGCAGAGCAGAAAACATTGTTCAAAGGCTCTACTAATAATAAAAAATCTTTAATATAACTTTGTTTTTAGGCCTGTGAGACCCGTGTCGGAATATGGTACGCCAGACTGGAATCCAATGCATTTTAAATATATCGGACACGGCTGGATAGTGTACAATGATAATTTATAAATGCTATCAATTATAGATTTAATAGTAGAACGACTTTTTTTTTGTTATAGGGAAAACCCTCATTTCTATTGCATGCAGTTTTTAGAAAATCGTAGAACAAATTTTTATTTATTTTTTCTTTATAAAGTTCAAAACAATTCTTTAAAACAGGCAAACGTTCGCTATATCTAGATATCATTGAAACTACTCTTTTAACCCTCCAATTATTAAATGTACCCGTACTTATCTTGACCTATTTGCCTTTGAAAGCTTTTAAACGACACTTACGACGGAATAACAATTAACATACTGCAATAAAAAGCTGTAATTAGTTCTTAATTAGATGTAGCTTGCAAAAAATAATTTAAACTAGTCCACTGACAACAAAATCTTTTTTTTTTTTTTTGGTGACATTTTGTGCTTTCTTTTTATTGGACACCTGCGTCTGTCTGTAGGAAAGACGCAGGTGTCCAATAAGAAAGATAAATAAATCGGTGGTGTCCCCCCCCCCCACCCACTCCTTACCTGATGAAACCGCCCCAAGCGTTGTGCGCCCCGCTCTTTTGGTTATTGGGGCTGGTGTCGTTGTTGTTGGGGGTGTTGTTGCCGCTGCTGCGGGTTTTTGCCGCCCTCAGGTCTTGATACTTCTTGCATAGCTCGTCCACCTGTTTCTCGAGATCCTCAATGTTGGGCTGTAACGAAACTCAGGTTACAAAGGAACAAGGGAAAAAAGATTAATTTTTATTTCGTCACTAAAGATAATGTTTAATCAAAACTCCCTGGTTCTGTTAATGTGTTTCCTTCTCGCAACGCGGCCATTATAACCTGCTCGATGCAAGCTGTTTCTAATCTTTTGATGGCTAACTTGTAACTTGTGGCAATATGTTTTCCCACTCTTCTCTTATCCTATTTTTGAGGTCTTTCTTACTCGTTAGTTGATATTTTGCTTGCCTCCACCATGCTTCACCGTAGGACAGTCATTTTCGATTTCCAGAGCTGCATTTTTTTTCCTCCAAATTCTATCCCGACCATCTGACCCAAATAGATTAATTCTTGTTTCGTCACTAAAGATAACGTTTTCCGAAAACTACCTGGTTTTGTTAATCTGTTCTCGGGCAAATTCCAAAGTTTTTGTTCGATTTTTTCCGAAATTAATGGTTTCTAATCGTTTGAGGGCTAACGTTTTTTGAGAACTCTTCCCTGATTTCCTGTGCAACTTTTGGAGCGCTTGTTTTAGAATTAATTTGAATTTTTTTCACAACAGAAGACTTCTCCTGCATTTAACTTCCTGGGATGACCAGCGCGTGGCCGCACTTTATAAGATCCGGTGGATTTGTATGATTTATTACATTCTGCACAGTTGAATGTGATTTTTTAATTATTTTAGTAATATCTCTAAAGGATTTTTTTCTCTTTGCATAAATCTACTATGATTTTTCAAGGCGCAATTGGAACTTCGCAATTTTTAGCGCTCATTTTGCTTTTACTTCAAAACCACTCACTTAAAAGTACCGTCAAAAATAAACAAGTATAACTCATTTGTTTAAGCGAAATTTGATACAAGCTGATTTGATAAAATATTGATAATTAACGGTTTTACCTGGAGTTCTATATATATACGGAGACTTATTTGACATAGTTTCTTGCTTCTAAAACTCTCTTAACAAAAACACGATTTGTAGTCATTACTACGACTCATTTTCGCTCACCTTCGGCCGATTGTAGAGCTTCAGTATCCGGACGCTGATGTCGCGGATCTCGCGCTCACTGACGCCGAAAATGAGGAACCACTGCGGGTTGCGCGGCAGAGGAAGCCGCAGCTTCCGCGCAGTCAGGTAGATGCACGCGCACGCCACTGTCTCCGGCTGGTACCGCACGAACACGTCGGTGCGCAGCGCGTCGTTCATGTAGTTCCACGAGTACTGCATCAGTTTTTGGTTGTCCTGGAATCCGAGCACCCGCAGATACATCACGATTATCTGTAACGAGACGGGACGACCGTGATAACTGGGAGCGCTTTCCGTGCACCTTAACCTCCCACAGATCAGTAATATGCAAATGACAGTAGATACAACTTAATAAAAATTGAGCGTTTATTAAAAATTTCAATGCAGCGGTGTAATTTTAGTTAATAGTGAGGGGAAATAAAATCTTCTGTGATTTAATTTTAATAATATGAAAAAAATAACCTCTCAATCATTTTATTTTAGAACAGGGTATTGGTGAAGCTCTTGAATATGAAATTAACGAAAAATAGAGGTAAGGTTGGCTTTGGAGAATGGTGTCTTTTAAAGAGCAACTTTAAATATCGAAGTGTTAGATCAAAATTCTGATCATCTGAGCAGTGTTTTCTATCATTGTTTTAGTCTTTGTAAGAAATTTAAGAACTTATGTTTTGTACTCATTAATATTTTTCTTGACTTTTTAAGCTTTTATTACTCTTTGGGCCATCAACTAAAATGACATATTTATTACATATTTCACATTTTTAAAATACATGTAATATTTATTAATACATATTTTTTTAGAAAAGTAAGGGACGCTCCTTTAAATAAGACCTTTTTGATTCCACTGAACATTAAAATAAAAACACAAAAAAGATATTAGCTCAGAATTATGATGCAATACCTCAAAATCCCACTTTCTTATTCACACTAAAAATTGAACCCCCTAGTGGGCGCTTCCTAACCAACAGCTATGGGAGTGTGAAATGGCATCAGATAATTTAATGGGTGGTTTTATTTAATTAAATTTGTCTATTTTTTTATAACATGAGGCCTGGACGAACGGTAATTTCAGATGTAAGATTCTTGAATATTTTTGGCAAGTCTTTACCCCTTATTTTGTTTTGAACCGCCGAAAAATGCAGTGGAGCTATAAGAATTGCGTACCGAACCATTGGAAAAAAAATCCGGAATACTGGCTGCAACCGCGATTATGAACATTTTAGCTCAGTATCCAATGATGCTATTGGTACCACGCTGTAATATATTGAGCGGCTATGGCTTGAACTCCAAGAATTGGTTTTGACAGAGGAGAGAAAAAATTCTTCACTGTCTTCAGCATTGACAGCATTTGGTAAATTAGGACTCCGATTTTTTCCCGAATTGTACCCAACTTTCCCCAAAGTAAAATATCAATTCGTCTCTAGAAATCGTTTGTTATAAGTATAGTCTAAGAAACGCCTTTTTTCAAATACTAGTAACTATCTAGATAGAAACAAAAGCATAACGTTCCTTTTATTTCCGTAAAAATGTTTTCAGGGAAATTTCTAAAATTCTTAATTTCAATTTCCCTTCTTTCGCTCAATACGGACACCTCTATTAGACGGACACTCCTCTTTAAACGAACATGTTTTTTGGAAAGAAATATTTGCCTACCCTTTTACCTGTAAAACAAACTCCTCTAACCGGACACTTCATTAAACGGGGGCGGATAACACTGCCCCGACGTAAAAAAAATTACCTCTCTTAAATGGACGTGAAGAGGACAACGCAATGCTAAAATATCCCGGAATTACCTTTTTCCTCATCCTATTGAAGAGTAACCTTTTTCATTTTTCACATCATATCGTATTATTCTTTACGCCGCGAATTGCGAAAAAGAAATTTTGTAAAACCTGAGGGACTTCAAATTCACAAAGTGTTTTCATTGTCGGCGCACTAAGTAAAGGCCAAAGCTCAAGAAATAACCGAAAAACGTAATGTTCGAAATTTTAAAGCTTCCAATGGATGGCTGAAAAAGTGACGCAAGAGACATGCGATAAGTTTTAAGTGTATCTGTAGAAGACGCAAATCAGTTTAAAGATAAGAGTTGCCCATACTACTCCTCAGATATCAGCCATACGATGTTTCCAATGCCGATGAGACTGACCTTTTCTTTCGAGTCTTACCTGACAAAACACTTGCTTTAAAATCCAAAAAATGTAGTGGTGGAAAGCTGTCCAAGCAGAGGCGTACAATATGGCAGGACAGAAAATTTGCTCGTGATTGGAAAGGCTGACTGACCTACTGCATTTAAAAATGTAGCAATGAAAAATTTACCAGCAATTTAAGAAATTTAACAAGAAAGCACGGATCACACGAGAGACCATGAATGGTTGTTACAATTTGATAAAAAAAAGGACCCCACAAAAGCGAAAAATTTTATTGTTCTTGGATAATGCAGCATCTCACCGCCGTGAGGTAAAATTACAAAACATAAAAATTATCTTCTTGCCTCCAAATTCGACATCAGTATGTCAACCTCTAGATCAGGGTATCCTACAGAATGTGAAATTCTATTATCGTGGACTCATACTGAAGCACATTTTAGCAAATATGGTTCAAGTAATGTCCGCGTCAGATTTAGCAAAGTCTGTAAATATTTTAGAAGCACTTTATTTTATTAAGTCAGCTTGGAATTAAATTTCTTCAGAAACCATACAAAATACGATACTTGAAATGGAACGATGTGTAACACAAGAAACTCTCTGAAACTGTGTTGGAATCCACAATATTGAATATTGAAGATGCAATTGCAAACATGAAAGAACCTGAACTGGAAGAAGACAGAGATCAAAAATGTGACAGTGGAGAATCTAGCACAACTAACAGCTATAATGAAGCCTTAAAAATAATTACCTATCTAAAAGTTTTTGCATTGCATTTCAACACCTTAAAAATTTAGATCATTTTCAGTCGAGTTTGTTAAAGCAAAAAACAATAAATATGCGTCAGACTAGTATCTTAGAGTTGGTAAATAAATAATTAGAAGTTCATACGCCTACATTTTTTTTCTATAATTTTTTGTAAGTTTTTAAGAAGAACTGTGAGTGTGCGGTTATGGGAGTTTTCACTGGTTATATGGTTTGAAATGAAAGTAGGAAAGAAGACATTATTATCATTATAAGAAACTATAAAAAAGGGCGTCCCGAACCACACCCACTTACCTTGTGCGGGTGTTTGATGTGAACGCAGAAGCCCAGCTCCTTCAGCACCCGCCGCTCCGCCTTTATCACCAGGTTCTTCAGGTGGATGTAATTCTGATCTAAAATAACCGGCTGGATTTGCCTGCCGGGAGAATGCGTGTACAATTCGTAAGAACGCAAGAAAGAAAAATGCGCGACGAGTTTCGATATATACTTTCCTCTGAAGCATAACCGATTTGGGGCAAAGCGAGTGGGGGAGGAACCTATTTTTGTTACCTGTCGAGACGTGGGTGGGGGAAGGGTTGGCGAACTATTCCGGCACAGCTTCCGAGCCGAGGGCGCGTGTATCCCAGCACCTAAAAAGGGAACCTCCGAGTTATTAAAGCGCTATCGGTAAGGAATTTGATTGGCGGCGGATGTCTTCCTTCCGTGCCCTCTTCTCGTTTGGCAAAATTCCGACATTTTTTGGACACCCGTGTTATTCGCGCGATTTGGTTCACGGTCAATTTACAGATTGGAAATGCACTCTACAAGTTAACACCTTTCTCTATCAAACTATCTACAATTAATTAATTCTGTTTCAAGGCGTCAAAACGTGAGCTTATTTTATCCTCAAGTGGTGACGAAGCTTAACCACTTAGTTATTCAAATTTAAAATAAACAAAATTTTAAAAAATCGAAAGAACATCCTCGCTGTTAGTTTATGCGTTATTGTGATAATTTTTGACAATAGTAGAGTGGCTCAAAATTATGTCCACTGGGATTAAAATCAATGAAAAAAAAAATCCATAATAATGATGTTCTCAAGATAAGGAAATAGTTGAAATAATTAAATAGGAAAAGGAAATAGTTGAGATAATTAAATAATTATATAATATTTTCCCTAAATTTTGTCATGGAACATATTGTCTATAAATAAGTCGGTAATGTGTTGAAGTTTTTATATTTCTAACCCCAAAAGGGGCGGCTAAATCATAGACTCACAACAAAAAAGCTGCTGTTTGACAGGTTTAAGGAATTTTAGCCATTATGGTGCAACTCAAGCTCGACCTGCTTAATAATTGACAATTATAATTTAAATAATGTATAATTTAATTGGTAAAATGTGAAAGACAAAGCTGCAACCATATTAGAATGTGCTTTAAAATAATTTTTCCAAAATTCTAGTCCAGCAACAAAGCAACAATTTAATTGGTAACATTTTTTAAAAAACTGAAAAGTAAGAAAAAGTAATTGTAGAGAAAAGAAAAAAAACATTTGCACTAGGGCAGATTAGTCCTCTTATGAAGATGGTGAAGATGCTTAACAGCTTAATACCAATGCAAAACTGGGAGTGCAATAATGTAATAAAATAGCAGAAATGGAAACAGATTGGTAAAACATGAATTTGGGTAAATTAAACTTGTCAAACAGTCGTTTAATTTGATACCTAGGCTTTTATTAAGTGAGACAAAGCTAAAAAAAAAAAGAAAAACCTGGATGTCTCTAAAGAAAAAGCTACTAAAAATATTTGCGCGCTATCAATAATTCGTAACTCCATTATATATGGACGGCCAACTTTATTTATTAAAACCTGCATACAAAAACTCATCAAAATTGACAACGCTTCAGATAATTACTCACCTATGCACAAGTATTTGACAGTGACCTCCTTATACTAATTTTAGTGGTTTAATGCACTTCCAATCTGTAAATTGGGCGGGTCCCTAATAAAAACATCTGAAAGTTCTCCATTAAAACCTTGAAAATAGAAAGGCCACAACAGCAAAAATGTCCGGATACAAACCTCGTAACCAACGCGTCACCAATGTCCATGTATACACATATCCATTAGGGCGTGTCCAAAAAATGTCGAATTTTTTGATAGTTTACCCCCTCAGCGAAACCGTCTTTATGTTGGACGGTCCTGCGGGAAAAATCCTTTTCGTCGGATTTTGTTTGGTCGTTCCATAATGATATGGTGTCACAGACACAACCAAACCTGAAGAAGCCCTTTATTTGGCGAGCCTCTGTAATAACAACAATATTTGAGAACTTCCTATATGAACAACGTATAATACTAAATTGCCAAGAGTATGGAATCATTTATAACTGCACAAACTAAATTTGACTTTAACAAAAAAAAAAACACCCATGAAATTTCGATAGGATAATTTTAATTTTTGGTCCATGCTGTAAAAAATTTAATTTTCTGATTTTGTCCTGATAATTTTGATTGCACTGTGTGGAATGGTGCCCGCAGAAGTACCATTACTAATAACGTGACACCTCTAGTAAGGCCCCGATTACCCAACTTAGTATTTTTAATTCGTAATCATCAATGTAACTATCATTCTAAACGTATTCGTAATTTTAAAACGTTACTTTTTTTTAAAATTCTTAGCCCCTCCTTTTTTTTGTCAATTACAATTACTGCACTGAGCAATTAGGTTAAGAGCTAACTGGAGAAATGTCTAACAGGCCAGCAGGCGTATTTACATTTTTTTTTCCGCTCTCAGGCTTCACACTAAAATTACGAATACGATTATGAATTAAGAATACTAGGTTGGATATTCTGAGGCGAAATCGGAAAAACAAATAGTTACCTTCCAAATTTTATTAAGACTTGTCAAACATCAGCTACAAATCGTTAACAATGAACACAAATTTGCTCTGTTTGTGCAGATTTGGTCATTTTAAAGTCCGTGTCTCTTCCTGTTAATATTATTAAGCTAATGATTATTATTAACAATATTTCGTTAATAACCTTAAAGTTTTATATATGCCGACACAATGAAGGAAAAGAGTACAAATCGGTTATGCTTCAGAGTAAACAAAAATGGGATAACTGTTATAAATAATAATAAAAAAAGTCCAACTTACTTGTTTGAGTTCACTTGTCTGATGTGAGTAAAGACATTTATTACATCTCTAATCCGCCTCGGAGCCTCTTCAATTTTTGAGGCGAGGCAGACACAGCCCATAGCGGTGTGCTCGATAGGATGGCGTACCAGGCTTTTAGAGTAATAAAATCTCTGGAGTAACACTTGCCCAGTAGCCATGGCAACCTGCAAAAATCGGCCAAATCCATTAGAAACAATACGAAAACCGGACCAGTTAAGGTTTTTCCCTTCCAAACATAAAAGTACGTAGCAAGAAATGTTACATCATCGTTCCAAGACAATCATTTTGAACCCCGTAATAATAACTCTCGCATAAAGAAGACTGCGACATGTGACACTGATGAAATCAGAGGACACGCACAATACAACTCTTGGGAAGGAGAAACCTTAAAAACACAAAACATAAACGTACCTGTGGCAATTTTAGCAAAATCCCTGCCGTTTGGATGAGTTCACATCCGTAAATACGTAAATCAGTCTCGGTTTCGATATTCAGACCATCGTTTTGTGAAGGCGTGTTTATCAGCTTTTCTTCTGGTAACAATTGGTTATTCAGAGTGATTAACACACGACCGTACGGTTTGACGTTGGTTTTGGTCGTAATTGTTGGGGTCTCGTCCTTTTTGGACGCCATGATCTAATTACGAAACTATTTAAGACACCGAAACGATTAGTTAACGTCAACCCCAACGTACAAACAAAATGGCGGCGAAGCGTCCTCGTCATATAAAAAATTTCTCAGTGTCGCCAATAGTGCATGGCCGAATGGAAAATCCACTGAGTCACCGCCTTGAAATTTCGCAGCTCTAACGAGCGACTAGTTATTGGATTTTCCCTACATCTCGATTATCGCAATTATTTTAAATGTTGTACCGGCCCCACAGCGGTGTAAATAAATCCTATTGGTTAAGAAAATCGAAGTCGTTTTTTAATGTGGCAACACTGGTGCATCTGTCGGGAAGCCTTCTTTTACTTCTTGTTGTACAAACGTCAAGATCATTCGGCCAGTTTGTTTTACCTGAACTTGTGTTAAAGGAATCCTTCTTCCTTTTATACCATGGACAAACGCCTTGAAGCGCTTTTAACTTAAATTATACATAGAAGCCCAGTTCCGATTCCTAATAATCCTACTATTTGAAACGCAAGTGCAATAATTATGAGAATAATGTGTTAATGGTATACGCATTGCATATTCATAAATCCAAACAACTACTATCAATATCAACGAATATTTTTTTCAATTCCAATTGAAAATATGTGCATTTACGGTATAGCTACGCATCGGACCTTCCACCTCAAACTATTCATATCGCACACCCACGCTATTTGAACCTTGATTTGGTTTGCAAATGCAGTTTTCTAGACATGCGACATTTAGCAAACAGTTTTATTCAAATTTGAATACATTTATGTAGAGCGCAGTTCGTTCCCAAAGTGGTCCAGGTGAACCCTTAGAGTTCCAGAAGTCCAGAGGATTAGTCGGGGCTCTACATTGACGCGACAAATAATACATTTATATGTAATATGGTAGAATGTAGCTGCTACATGTCTGTGAGAAAACGGATCTTTCACTATAAATTCAAGCCCGCATTATTAAGCAATCTAAACGTATATAATAGGATTTCAGATGCGTAGCAGTAAATCGGAGCTTTATGAATTAAACAAAGTTACTATAAAATCGTACGATTCCATTTTTTGACCTTGCTCACCTTCGCATGACATTAGTTGATTGGTGTATTTTGACGACGCGACAAGCCGCCGTCACGATTTGCATACAATAAACATTGTTGTTCACCAATCTGCATGCCTAGTGACTTTTTTTATATTTAATTAACCTTGTTTTCTGGGCTGCTATCAAAAAGTCCCGGATTTATTTAATAAGAATACTTACTCTTATGTAAAAAAATATATTTATAACCTTTATCCTTAAATTTATACTTTTGAGAGAATACGTTTGTTAGCATATTTCAACACTTCATTTGAGAGAAATGAAATAACAATGTCGTCAAACCATATTGTTAAACCAAATGAGCAATAACTTGAAAAGGTTACCAATGGGTAAATTACGAAAAATAAAATCCCTATAATTTATTACAAAATTTTAATACCATTATTTTCAAATACTATCTCTGACTGCACAGAGTTGCTTAATGATAAAAATTAAAGTATGTAACAAATTTTCTAATAACATTAACCTATTAGAAAACATAAAATCATTAAATATTGTAACGAAATCATTAAAAATATCTCAATTGTTTCAGTTTTTTGCTTCCAAAATTTAAGCGCCAGCTGTACGAAGTCGATATTTCACATTAATATTAATCTCACCCCAAATTTGATTATTTAGTTGAGATTCTTGTACATTTTCTTACCTTCTCACAACTGCGTATAATAAGACAAGTAACATAGTTAAGTTTAATAGAATTAACAGATTTGTTTGGTAGTAGTCTTTTATTATCTATACATTTTATAACTTAACCTTATCAGCATTGGCTTGGGAGAATTATTTAGACCGATTAAATACAGATTTGCAAATAAAAAGCTAATATTTCCACTGCTTAATGATGTTAATAAATTTGGAATTCCTGTATTTAATTTAAATCGTCAACATTTGTCCCTGTTTTCGCATAAATTTATCCCATTTACTTTAACGACAAAATATAATGAGATTATCATCAACAGACCGCAATGAATGGTTCGATGTTCCTTATCAATGTATGGTCTGTCTCAAAGTATACCGCGTTGACTTTTGTTGGCAATTATCGGTTGGCATTGTTGGACAGAACATCAGGGACGGACTATTCAAACTGTACGCAGTGTGTCTTCGGTGGTTCTTACTAAATGGGAAAATTTTTGAATATTAACGTCACAGAAAATAATGCCTCTTATTAAAAAGTCCTGTTTGGTAAGAAAATACATTTTCACAAAAATATTTGTATGTCGGAAATACAGGGTGGCGTCAAAAAGTGCCTGGTTTGAAATTAATAAAAGACGCTGGCGATATCTACAAAAGAGCAAATAGTGGAACGCCACCATTTAACCAAAACTTTTTTTCCGATTCTTTCATGAACTAAAGATGGAGAAGTATTTTTTTAGTAAACTTGACAATTAAAAATTTTTTCATTTGATAACAACTTCCGAATCATTTAGGTATAATAAAATCCAGTTAGTACTACTACAATATATGATAATTACCTACGTTTTTATTCAAAATATAATTCTGTCTTACTCTCAGACTCGTCTTTAAGATTAATTTTAATGAGTTTTATGTTATTGTGTATGCAAACGTAAGTCTTCAATTTTCAAAATGCATTTTGTAACTCTCAACAGGTATATTAATAACTACTCTTAATGACCACTCTTAATAATAAATAGCCTTTGCTTTTATAAGTACGCAAGTTTCTTCTAAAGCTTCTTTTGTAATGAGTCCTTTAATTATCAAGCCTTAATAAACATTAATCGCAATTTGTTTGTATCTAATGGCAAGTCATTTACATGCGATATAACAGATGAGTTAACTAAAATGGTTTATTCAACACTGCCACTGATATCAGCCGAGGCATCTATTTGACTCGCCCCTGTCTTGTCTTTCACCTAAGAACAAATTTTTGGTTGTTAAATTTTACTTTTAGGAGGAGCCAAATGGCAAGACGATATATTTTACGACAGACCATACCTGCGACAAAGTCTCAATATATAAAATAATTTAACCCAAAAATAGCTCGGGACGCAGCCTTTGTATGATAATATTTTAAAAAAGTGCCAAAATTTTATAAAAGCGCATGCAGATTCGCAATCTTCACATATTTTCGGTTATAATTCGCGTCCACTGGTGATTTTTCTTCACATTTCTGCATTTTCACTGGACGGTTTTGGTGTTCGTCGCGTTTGCTCATCAATTTAGGTCGGGAGAATGGCGTCCAGGTTTGCGGTCAGGACTGTGGTCACTGATGAGTCCGGGAATGAGGATTCCTCGATCAAGATCGGGAGGATTCTGGCAAATCCGTCGCCTGGCGAGGAAGTCGTCATAGCAGGTGAAGATCCTCAAAGAAATAAGTGCAAGGAGTTTTTCATTTGCTTGATGGTGTCCTTATTTTATCAGAAAAGCGTTTGGAGATTGGTACCGCCAAGCATCCGTTTGAAACCTTTCACGTAGCTTTTGATGGTTCTATATTTGTGTGGTAGTGTCTAACTCATTGAAACTAAAAATGTTGGAAATGGAAATCTATCAATTAATCTTCTTCATCGTTGTTGGTTTCCTTCTTCCATCTAGGATGACCATACAATTGTAGTACCCTTCTAGGACTACTACTGGTCGAGATTTAATTAGTTACAGGTTAGTTATTAGGTTATTCACAGGAATCACCATCGTTGTCTGGTTGCTTCTGATGTAGTTTCAGTACATTCCTGAGATCGATTGGAAAATTGTAATTTACAGTGGTGTGATACAAATTGGATAATCAGGGAAACCTTTCCATACCGTTCTTCTTCTGGCAGGACCATAATCGGATTTTCTAATTCCCATTTGGATCTACCAGAGGTAACTAACCGTTGCCCTTCATTAACTCAATTCCTCAACAGGACTCTCCGGTATATACCCGGACTCGAACGATGTGCACCACTTTCGAGACAACCTTTTTAATAAAATCGACATGATATCTGGCGACTGCAGAAGATGGGAACCTACGCACCCGGAGATCCCACAAAGGACCGGAAAGGTGTACAACATCGAGAAGTACGACGCCGGTTACTTCGGTATTAAAGCGATACGACTACTTGATACCACTTGTACAGGCTCTGTGTTACAGGTGTCCATCACAGACAAGCTACCTGTATGGACCCTATGTGTCGCTTGCTTTTGGAGAGGGTTGTCGAGGCCATCTTCGATGCGGGACTCAACCCTTCCGATTTGGAGGGTACCAATACCGGTGTGTTCATCGGTTCTTGCTTTAGCGAAAACGAAAAGACGTGGTTCTTCGAGAAACTCAGCCCACAGACTCCAGCTATTATGGGGTAATTAAACAACACAAGCGGTATAAAAGATATAACAGAGTTAAATTTAATATTTAGCACGGAGAGGTCGATGCTGTCCAACCGGATCAGCTACTTCTTGAAGCTAAAAGGTCCTTCGTATATTTGCGATACCGCTTGCAGCAGTTCACTATTCGCCTTTGAACACGCTTACAAAGCCATACGGACCGGGGAATGCGAGAATGCCATTGTCTGCGGCACCAATGTCTGCTTACATCCCTATTTGTCTCTCCAGTTTGCTAGGTACCGGGCGTCCTTAAATCAATCGCGCCTCGTAGATCGACTAGTTTGATTTAGGTTGGGAGTGTTAAGTCCCGAAGGTAACTGTCGACCTTTCGACGAAGCTGGAAATGGCTACGTGAGGTCCGAGGCTATAGTAGCGATACTCCTGCAGAAATCCAAAGTATGTAAGAGGATCTATGCGACGGTGTTGCACGCCAAAACTAACTCCGACGGGTACAAAGACTCGGGTATCACGTTCCCCTCTAGGGAGATGCAGAAGAACCTGATGCATGAACTTTACGAAGAATATGACGCGATCAAGCCTAGCGAACTTAGTTTCTTGGAGGCTCACGGAACTGGTAATTATACGATTGATAGGTTAAGTACGAAGAATGATGAACCGTTATGAACAACCCACCTGTTGCCAAGTTAATTGGCAACTTGCCTTACCCTACAAGTGTCTTAAAACAATGATTAGATTAGGATAGATTAACAGTTGGGAGAGCTAGCAGTCAGCCTGTCCGTCACTGCGACCCAGAGGATCTATTGTGACACTCTCCATAGCTATAGGGCTTTATCCAGGTTCGTCTCTCTAATCAGACTCCACAACTTCGATAATAGCTCTCTCGTATAGCTCTCTGCCTCTGGTTTGGTATCGCCCAGCAGATGGAAACGCACTCTCGCTAGGCCTTCGCAGTGGCACAGTACGTGTGCGGCTGTTTCCTCCTCTTCCTTCCTCTACATTCTGTGTTTTCTTCCACTTCCATCAGGCTTAGATGCCTCTTAAGCCTGCAGTAGCCCGTCAGTAGATCTATCATTATTCTTACGGCTTTTCTATTGTAGCTTAGTATGTCCGCTGTAAAATTGGTCGATGGGCCCCTTAGAAATTCCTTGGGCTGTCTTTGCCCCGGCATGTCCCTCCATCATCGTTGGGATTTTCGGTCGATCCAATCTTTGATGGCTGTTTTTGCAACGGGTTTGGCCACCCCACAAAAGGGTTCTGGTCCAATCAGGCGCATTGACGACCCTTCGCGGGCTGCGTCGTCTGCGCCTTCATTGCCTTTATACCCTCCGTGCCCCGGTACCCATGATAGAGTAACTTTGTTCTGGCTTCGTTCGTTTAATGCCTTACGGCAGTCCAGAACTAACTTGGTTGTTATTTTATTAGATTGCAGGGCCTTTATAGCCGCTTGACTATCGGTGTAAATTGCAATTGATTTGTTACGGATCTTCCTCGCTTTTATTTCTCTTGCACAGTGTTCTAGTGCAGTGATCTCTGCTTGGAACACTGTTGCTAGCTTACCCATTGGAATAGAGAATTTCCTTTTCGTCCTGGGTTCATATATTCCGGCTCCTACTCTTTCTTGAGTTTTTGAGCCATCAGCATACCAGGTTATTTCTGCCTTAATTGGTGGCCCGTTTTCCCAGTCTTCTCTGGCAAGGATTTGAGTCCTGTAGTGGTTAACGAAGCAATACTTAGGTGTTGTGCTGTCCGTAGGCAGCCCTAGGACATTGTCCGTCCTTACCTCCAAGTAAAGCTTATTATGTTATGTTTCGTGCTATGTCCACCAATTATTGGGGACCGGCCTTGCAGTAACCTATAAACTCCGGATCTTGCTTAACCTTGTATATAGACCTGTATTGGGGGGATGTTCAGTAGGACCTTCAGCGCTGCAATGGGTGTTGTGCTCATGGCCCACGTAGCGCACAGACTCACTAGTCTTTGCACGCTACTCAGCCGCCTTATCGCCTCCCCCTGCATGGTTCTTGTCCACCAGACAATCGCCCCATACGCTAACATTGGTCTCACTACTGCTAGATACAACCAAAGTGTCATTTTTGGGTATAAGCCCCATAAAACAATGATGCCTTAACAATTCCTCAGATCTCAATGGATCTTAAGTAGATAAAAATAAATACTACTGTGAAGAAATCGCTAAACTTGTAAAACTTGTAAACTTTTGATATCTAATTTTTTAAGGCACCAAAGTAGGCGATCCCGAAGAGCTACAGGCTATCGAGGAGGTCTTCCTCAACGATAGGAAAACACCCCTCCTAATCGGCTCTGTCAAGTCCAACATTGGTCATTCAGAAGCCACGTCGGGACTCTGCTCTATAACCAAGGTGATCATTGCGATGGAGACCGGTTTCATTCCCCCCAATATCAACTACGAGGTGCCACGCCAAGGCATTAAATCGCTCGAGGAGGGCAGGTTGAAGGTGATTACGCAAAAGACTCCTTTCCAAGATAGCAGGGGGTTGATCGGAGTGAATAGCTTCGGTTTCGGCGGTAGCAACTGCCACGTGTTGCTCAGACACAACGCCAAAATCAAGCAAGCCGCAGGCCGATCAAAAAACGACATCCCCAGACTTGTGTGCGTTAGTGGACGCACCGAGAACTCTGTAACTACGCTGTTGGAGGATGTTAAGGAAAACGGATTTGACGTGGAACATATCGGTCTCTTGCATAACATTTTCAGGTGACAGGATGCGCATCGATAGCTACTCTTCTTCTATCGTCGATTGGGTTGTAGGAAACGCGTCGGCAACCATTTTTACAGAGGGTACTCTTTGGTGAGCAGAACAGAAGAGATAACGAGGTCCATTAGATTCAACGCTGAACGTAAATGGCCACTGGTTTTGGCATTCGGCGAGATGAATCTCTCCAAGCAGCAACACGCCAGCTTCCTTAAGCTGCCTATCTTTGCAGCAACCCTCCAGAGGTATTTCCCAAACAAATTTCGACGATTTTGCTATACCTCTTGACGTTTCAGGATATCAGGAACCTTGTCTCCGCTGGGAATAAACGTAGTCGATGTGTTTGTCAATATACACCAACCAGATAGTCTCCGAGATTCGATAATAAGAAATTTGGTGACCCAACTGGCCGTGGCCGACATCTTGCGGGAGCTGGAAATCGAACCTGCCAGAGTGTTCGGTGCTTCGCTGGGATTGTCTCTAGGAACATTAGCTTGCGCTTATTTTGACAAAGCTGTGACGCTGAAAGAAGTGATGGAATGCGCATTGGCCATAGTTAACGCGGCCATCCTAGCCGCTAACGAGATTAAGGGAGCTGCTGTGATTGAAGATTTAGGGTCTCTGATTTCGAAAACCACCAAGATTGGTAAGTGAAAGATGTTCCTCGCCATCACTTCTTTTAAGTCTCGTATTGATTTGAAATTTTGCTCCCTTCTCAGCTATCAATCTATCTCAAGAGCTGACGAGCATCTTACGGAAGCCCAGACGTTTTAGTGACAAAGTAATTCCCGATTCGTCTGAGTTTTCATCGGCGTACATCATGATGTCGTTGGGAAGTAAAAAGGTTTTATCTGACGTCAAAACTATGATTGAAGGCCAAACTACGGTCGCAGAGATCGGCAATGGGGTTCTTTCCCAATGTATCAAAAATGATGCCAGCAAAAAAAGGGACACCCACTTGATGAGCATGAGCGGTGGACTGAAAGAATTTCTCTGCTTGATTGGGAGGTAAGTACGCATTTGATTTGCGAAACAGATTCGGCACGAGCACTTGTAGTCTATACGAGATGGGACACAACCCCCAAATACAGAATCTGTATCCCAAAATCGAGTTTCCTGTGAGCAGAGGCACGCCCATGATCGCTCCCAAGATTAAGTGGGAGCACGGACGGAACTGGTGGGTTTCTCTGTATACCAGCGAGGGAAACCATCAAATTGAAGAAAATACGGTGGCAGTTATGACAGCCGACCCTAGCTTCACCTATATGGAAGGCCACATCATCGACGGTGGGATCAACACGGCGTCTCGTCAAATTGAAATATATCTCTGATATTTTCGCAGGTAGAAATCTATTTCCCGCAACGGGATACCTGGAACTTGTCTGGGACACCCTCGCCCAAATCCACGGCTTGCTCTTACTCGATACCAAGATCGCATTCGAAAATTGCAAGTTCAAAAGGGCTTGTCCTATTCCCAAAGAATCGTACAAATTAGAATTGATCGTAATGGTTCAAAAAGGGTCGGGAAAATTTGAAGTAATGGAAGGCGGTGCGGTCGTGGTCAGCGGTAAAGTCACCAAAGATCCCAACGACGACTTGCATCCTATTCCTTGCTCTGCAAGAGTCGGGGCCCACGTTATGCCCGACCTTACAAGTAAAGATATCTACAAAGAGCTGAGGCTGAGAGGATACAACTACAAGTACGTAGAGGCTAAATGGCCGTCCAATATGCTCAGGTCTGTATTCTAGAGGGGCGTTCGCTTCATTGGACAATTGCGACAACGGTTGCCAAGTGGCGGAAATCCCGTGGGATGGAAACTGGGTGAACTTTATCGACAATATGCTGCAGATGAAAATTCTGCAGGAGGATACGCGACTTCTCTACGTTCCGACTCGCATCGGCCGAATGTTGGTGGACCCTAGGAGACACTTGGCTATCGTCAAGTCATACGGCGAGAATCCAAAATTGCCTGTCTATATATCAAAAGAAGCCGATATCATAAGATCGGGTGGAATCGAAATTAGAGGTCTCAACGCGAGCGCCGTTCCTAGAAAGAAGTACCTCGGCACTCCGGTACTTGAGAAGTACGTGTTCGTCCCGAATGTTCGGGATATGGAACTACATCAGGCGATACGCACGAATATGCAGATTCTATTGGAAAATACGTTCAGTATTAGGGTCAAAGTGGTCGAATTAATAGATGAATCGTCGAACGTAGACTCGAAACCCTTGGGAGATATGGTTCACGATGTCCTTGCGGATCAACCCTTAATCCAGCCGGATATCACTATCTTGGCGAAGGGCATGTTGGAGATGAAGAACGTTAAAGTTGAAGATAAGAAACTGTTGACCGAAACGGAATGCAGTTTGGTGATCGGCTCCAAGATCCTACAGAGGCCGAAGGTAAGCGATATAGTGGTGCGGGTGGGAGGGAAGGTTTTGTTTGTTCTTCTCGGCTTACGAAACAGTATCAATTTTAGATCCTACAACTGGCATTCGGGTCTATCAAAGAGCACGCGTTTATCCTCTCCAGAGAACCTATCGATTATGACCCTTGGACTAGCATCAATCCCATGGTCACTATTGTTACGGTTTTTACGACGAAAGAAGAGCGTTTGATCTTCTTCAGGAAAGCTATCCAATTTGTACGACCTTCTGCGGTGCGGATATCTGACGAAGAACGTTTGGGATGGCTGTCTCAGCTCCAAGCCTGCATCAAGAAAGACGGGAACGTCCTAGCCTATGCGCAAGGTGAACCGTCGAGTGGTATCCTGGGCTTGGTCAACTGTACCAGAAGGGAACCAGGCGGTCAAAACGTCAAGTGCGTTTTCGTGGTAGATGAGGCCCCTGAATTCGATCTAGATGATAATTTTTACGTCGACCAGCTAAGCAAAAATCTTGCCGTCAACGTTTTCAAGGACGGTCAGTGGGGTACCTACAGACATCTTCTGTTGGAAAGGTCGCACGTCATTGAAGCGGAGCACTGTTATCTGACGCAATCTATAAGGGGCGACCTGAGCAGTTTCCGATGGACCGAGGGTAATTTACGAGTGGATAGTCAATTGCAGTCCAACGAGAAGTTGGTATCTGTAAGTTACCGATATCACCACCCTCTTTAAATTAAAGGTCCACGTTTTCTTCTTTGTAGGTATACTATGCCTCGTTAAACTTCAGGGACGTTATGACTGCTGCAGGTAAAATAAGTGTCGACGTAATATCGCGCGACAGACGTGAGCAAGATTGCGTCCAGGGTTTGGAGTTCGCTGGCAGAACCATGGAGTAAGTGAAATTTTAAATGAAAAACTCCTGCTAAGGCAAAAAATGTTTGTTGTTTATTAACATAAAATTCAACTGAATTACAACCTTTTCATTCTATATGTGTAACTTGACAGTGGTCGACGAGTGATGGGCCTGGTATACAAAGGTGCCCTATCGACACTTATAGTTGGAGACACTTACCTATTGTGGCCGGTACCCGATCACTGGACCCTCGAAGACGCAGTAACAGTACCAGTCGTCTACAGCACTTGCCTCTACGCTCTAAGGGTAATGTATCAAATTAGTTTGGACAAAACAACATTATAATTACCTTCAGATCGGGGGCTTGACTAAGGGAGATTCGATTCTAATCCATTCTGGTACCGGAGGAATTGGACAAGCCGCTATAGCGTTAGCCCTCCACATTGGATGCACTGTTTATACCACAGTTGGTACTCGAGAGAAAAGAGACTTTTTGAAAAAACGTTTCCCGCAACTGACTGGTATGTAGTTCGGCTATGTTCATTCAACCAAGATGAATATTTGTCTCTTATAGATAAGCATATATACAGTTCCCGCGACACCAACTTTGAAAATCAAATAATGAAAGCTACTGGCGGTAAAGGCGTGAACGTTGTCTTAAATTCGCTAGCGGAGGAAATGCTTCTAGCTTCGGTGAGATGCTTGGCGAGGGGCGGGCGGTTCATGGAAATCGGAAAGTTTGACCTAGCCAACGACAACCCCCTCAACTTGCTGTTGTTCCAGAAGCAAGCCAGTTTTCATGGTAAATGCTATTGCCTGGCATGTGTTCCACAGCTACGAACTTTGACGTGTTTCAGGTTTCATGCTGGATGATTTCTTCAGACTGACGCCGGACGTCAAAAGGCAGTTCCACGAGGTCTTCCAGGAAGCGCTCAACTCGGGAGCAATTCAGCCGCTGAAGAAGAACATCTTCAAGATGGACGAGGTGGAGCAGGCGTTCAGGTTCATGGCTTCCGGTAAACATATTGGAAAAGTTATGATGCAGATTAAGAAAGAGGAAAACGAAAAGGTTGTGAAGCCGGTTATAGGAAAATTTCCTGGCCTACCCAGGTAACTTATTTAATATATTACCCTACGGGACTACCAAAGCATTTCTTTCCAGATATTACTGCGATGAGCAAAAGTCCTACATCATCTGCGGAGGTCTAGGGGGATTCGGATTGGAGTTAGCAGACTGGCTAGCACTGCGAGGATGCAGGAAACTAATCCTGACGTCCAGACATGGTGTACGAACCGGCTATCAGGGCTACAGGATATCGTAAGTGGTCTCGTTCTTCCTGACCTAGCTCTATTTTCTTTTCCGACATAGAATTTGGAAGTCCTACGGATGCACAGTGGAAATATCCACGGAAAACATAACTACGCTTGAAGGTTGCACGGCTGTTATCAAAAAGGCTAACGAACTTGGACCGGTCCATGCCATATTCAACCTGGCTGTCGTCCTTAAAGATTCAATTTTAGAGAATCAAGATGAGAAATCATTCAAGGTGCCTTTCGGAGCTAAAGCGTGTGCTACTGCCAACTTGGACGCCGCTAGCAGAGAACTGTGTCCCCAATTGAGGTACGGTAAGCGCTCAACGATTCGACGATAAAGAGGGTGAAATTTCAGGGATTTCGTGGTTTTCTCCTCGGTGTCTTGCGGAAGAGGAAACGCGGGTCAGACCAACTACGGAATGGCCAATTCCATAATGGAGAGGCTCTGTGAGAAAAGGCGAAGCGACGGGTATCCTGCATTGGCAATCGAATGGGGAGCCGTAGGAGAGGTAGCCTTTTGGTATACGATTTGAGGCGGGGTTGAGAAAATTGGTTGCACTTAGGTCGGCCTGGTAGCGGAAATGCAAAAGGAACACACGGAAATAGCCATAGGAGGCACGTTGCAGCAACGGATATCGAGCTGCTTGCAGGTGTTGGACGTGCTCCTGCGGCAAAACGAAGCGGCAGTGGTTTCTAGCATGGTGGTCGCGGAAAAAAGGGCCGGCTTCGGAGCTGGAGATAATATTTTGGACGCGGTAGCCAGTATTCTAGGTATACAAGACTTGAAAGCGATCAGCTTCCAGGCTACCCTCGCGGAAGTTGGTATGGACTCGATGACGGCGGTAGAGATTAAACAGACCCTGGAGACGGAGTTCGAGGTATTTTTAACTGCGCAGGACATTAAAAGTATGACGTTTGCTAGGTGAGTATCTTTTAACGCGTAGCGGAGTGGGGGTTTCACCAGAGTTTATCAGATTGCAAGAGATCCAGCTTGAGAAAACGGCAGAACTCGCAACTGGTTCCAAAACCAAAGCCCTGATGGGCATGGACATGATCCTGAGGATAAGTGTGGAACAAGAGTCTGTAAATTTACCATTGGTATCCATGAGGAAGTGTGCCGACAGTTTGCGTACTGTCGTTCTCTTCCCGGGCGTTGAGGGTATTATAAGCGTCTTGAAACCGCTATATACCAATTTGGACGCGGATATCCTTGGGCTGCAGTTCTGCAACTACAATCAAGCAGATACGATAGAGGGGATGGCCGGCGCTATTCTGCCGGTAGATTGTCTCCATCCAGTTCTTCGGTGGTTTTTTTTTAACTGGCCGGAGTTCTAGATTATCGAAGAAAGGATGCCGAAGCAGCGACCTTTTAATATCGTGGCATATTCGTTTGGAGCCGTCGTTGCTTTGGAGGTAGTCAGCTTGCTGGAGAAGAAGGGGTATTGCGGGAGCATGGTGTCCATCGACGGTGCGCCGGATCAATTGAAGAAACTCACCAAAATATTGGAGGTGGAATCAGATGACCGATTCCAAACCAGCCTGTTGATCCATTTGATGTGTTTGATCATTCCATTCGACCGTATTTCCAAGCATGTGGTAAGCAGTCGTGTTAGCTTTCTTCCTCCTGTTTTAATTTAATTGACTAGCAGTCCAATTTTCGTAAATGTTTTAGTATTAACTTTTATGATGGATTTAATGTAAAAGTTGCTATGATTGCCTATCTTTATCGCAGGAAGCCCTCTACAAATGTTCCAACTTCGAAGAAAGGCTAAAGTTAGGGGAGGCTATAGTAGGCAACAAGGCTTTGCATTCTCCGGAGCACCAAAAAGCTAGTACAATTAGTTTATACAAGCGAATTAAGGCGTTAGTTATGTACGAGCCAGATTTCAAGTTGAAGTCTCGAGTGACGCTGCTGAAACCGACCCATTCCAGTATCGAAATGGATTCCGAAGACTACGGTCTATCGAAGGTGTGCGAGCACCCGGTAGAGTTGAAGATGTTCGAAGGGAACCACGTCACCATCCTAGAGAACCCCGAAGTTTGGCAAGCCATCAACCATATCGTCGGAGGTGGTGTGACCGAAGTCGGCACCAAGGAGGAGGAACTCTTGGTGCACGCGGACGCTGTCAGCGACGAAGCGAAGGAAAATAACTTGTGTTAATTGAGTGTAATTTGTGCGAGTGACGTAGGCAGCGTTCTAGTTGTGCACCGTAAGCAAAATAAAGTTATATGTAAAAATCCAAGCCTATTTTTTTTTAGTTGAGGCTAATATCATTTTAAGACTAAGTTGGACATCTCGTTGTTGTCTGATAATTGAAATTATTACAATTTTCAGAATTGAAGAACCTATCTTTCGAGGACAGACTTCAGTATGCCCATGAAAAAGTTGTGTGGGGTAGGTGGGTAGGTGCTAATGTTCAGTGCGCACACTGTATTGATATTTATGAGGTTTAACATAATAGCTAACCATTTTGGTCCGCAATAACTTCCTAAAAGTGTTTCGTCGTTCGTTTTTTGCCTAAGATTACTCTAGGATTTTAAAATAATATTGTCATATTTTTAAAAATTTGCTGCCCTACATTGGTACAGCTGGAATCAGCGTCGAAAAAAAACGTTTTTATTTTTCTGTCTGTTTGTCCGTTCTCGGTTCTCTGTAGACGCTTCATAAAAACGCAACTTACTTCGGAACCTCTGAAATTTTGCTCCTTTTAAACTGGCCACGAGATACATGAACCTAAAGGAAATGGACATCTGTCTTTTTTTGCCTTTTTTTTTGCAGCTATCGATTTCAAAATTGCCACAAATATAGAGTGTAGCCCCCTAACCGAACCTATTGAAATTTCTCAAAAACGGTATCGAAAAAAAAACTTGAACCAGAAGACGCGCGAGATCTCGACCAAAATTTTGATGATTTTTAAAAATGTACAGCAAATAGCAAAAAACTGAAAATTGGAAAATTGACAATAACTAGAAGGCTGTGTTTCAGCTGCTATTTTCTTTCACTCTACATATAGTCCGTATGGAGTGCTTAAACTTTTGTATTTTCGGTTTTCATATATTGTACAGGGTGTTCGGAAAATTTGTAACTATCGACTTCAAATTTAGCAGATAAGTGAAAGTCCGCACCCACATCTAAACCGTAGACACTGGGAGCAATCAAGAGTTGCGTAGTATATTTTTTTAATTTTGAAATTTTTGTTTTTCCTATTTTTTCCTGCAGAAAAATCCGAAAACTGTTAACTTGATCGGCAAAATTATTTTACCAGGAGACGCGAAAGATTCGGTACTATAACTTTTATTACAAGCATTTTTTTGGTTATGTACAGGGTTTTTCAATTGTCGACAAAAATCTAAAAGACTCTGAAAGTCAACAAAGAAACAAAATTCGTGAAAAATATGGCCAAGTTTTGTTTTGTATCACATACATTGTTCGAGATATTTGAAAAAATTCCAATGAAAATTTGCTCTATTGGAAAAATTCATATTGGAAGACACTTTATACAGGGTGTACGCACAATAAAATTACATCGATTTTGCGAAAGTTGGTCCGCAGGAGCGCCATAGAAAAACTATGCGTTCCTCAAGGAAAATAAAAAAAATAAAGAGCTTCGTAGTGACTTTGTAGGCTGCGTACCGCATAGTACGGCGTAGGCGATTCGCACTGCCACGATTTTTCAAAATCAACCTTGTTACTTTCATCGATGAAATCGATTCTTTTCGAAAGTATACGCGCTCCTCGCGCTAAACTCGAGATGTCGATAACGGTGCATCATACAACGTAGACGTTGGTTCAGATGGAATCAGCATCTAAAAAAAAAAACGTTTTTATTTTTTGTCTGTCCGTTCTCCGTTTTCTGTTCTCCGTTTCTCCGTTCTCTGTTCCAGGGTTTTTCGACGATAACTTCTGAACGCTTTGAGCTACAAGCTTCAAATTTTGCTCCTTTTTAATAATAAAAATTCAAACTTCGGCGTCCATCTTTTTTTTTCGATTGCTGGGACGTTGCTAGGAATTACGATAAATGCCCGAAACTTGGCAAATAACGTTTGGTCCCCGGAACCTATTCAAATTGGCAGGGTTGGGGGGTCGGCAAGTATTTAAAAAAAATAAAAACTGCGTTTGCAAGTGTCTAAGAAATAAATCATTTCTCGAAAACCGTGTATGCAACCGAAAAACAAGACGCACACAATTTGGCTCCAAAAACTTTAATTCTTGATAATTTTTCAAGAATGAACAGTAAGTAGCAAAGTAGCAAAGTCAAAAAAACTTAAAAATGGGTACCACTAATAGTGAAAATTGTCTGTAACTTAATGACTGTGTTTGAGAAGAAATTGATTTTTTTTTTGGTTATTTTGGCTTCCAGAAAAATATGCTTTTCTCCATAACCATTTACCGGATCGTCAAAATTCTTTAACCCGAAGACGCGGAAGATCCAGTGCTATAACAGGGATGATATACAGGGTTTTCCAATATTAGACAAAAATTTAAAAGACCAAGAAAATTGTTCTATTCCAGAGTCACACTATTTACCGCGAATCAAAAATCGTAAAAAATATAGCCGATCGGTTCAAACAGTGTCATAGGCCGCATCAAGAGCGTTGTATTTACGGTTTTCGTCTATCACACACGCTGCTGTAGATATTTGAAAAAATCCATATGAAAATCACTATACCTCGGGTTCAGTCAACACGCGATGATGTCATTGATTATCACGGCGCACTGCATGGTTTCAGAAAAAACTTATTTTGGAAAAATTTTTGGACCAGGAAACGTGGGATATCCATCTATAACCTCCAATTCCGGCATTTTTTCAGTTACGTACAGGGTGTGACGATTATGGGTAAAAATACCTAAAAGACCTTGAAAATTGCCGTTTTCGTTTGTAGATTATAACTTAAAACTTGTAAAAATTTGGTCCAAACAGTATGGAAATTGTGAGGAGAGAGAGAGTTTCAGGTTTCGTCTATCATACAGGGTGCACGAGATACTTGGAATAATATCTTTGGAAATCGTTATTACTTGTACAATTTTTTATATTTATCTTGTTGCTTTGGCTGTCGACCTACTTTATGCCTTTTAAGTTACGTTGCTACTGATTATGGATAACGAATGAAATATAATTTATATAGTTTAATCCTTTTATACTGAAAATACTGTCATTTTGATTGTTATAAATGATATTCCATTTTCTATTACTTTCCATGAATGGTTATTAAATAAAGACGGAAATTGCAGTTCGGTGCGTAAGTAAACATGAATTTCCCGGTCTTGCAAATTTCTGAGGGGTCATGAAAACACCGGCTTTGTATGATAATCTCGGTGCATCAAATGCAGTCAGGTTATAAATGGAGGTGCGCGTTAGAAAACCCAATAGATTTTCAGTCCGACGGAAACTTTAATCGTGCGGTTGTGTCGTGAGTGACATGCTCTATTTTCCTTAAACTTCGATTCAGTCGAGTGACCATGGCGAATCCCGAAGACCCCTGCATCAAGTTCGGCAAACTGCTAGCTAATCCAGATCCTGGCGATGAAATTGTTATAACAGGTACCACGATTTTAATGTTGATTCTCCGACTTTCCCAGTTTTTCGCGTTTTGAGATTTTGCTTTCTTGTTCATGCAAAATATGAAAACAAAATTTTCTTCATGTGGAGACAGCACAAAGTGGATGCAGATCTATGTGGAGCTCTTCTCATGACAAACTGGTGTTAAATACAAATAATCAACAGTGTCAATCTTTGCAAAGTGCTCTGGACAAGCAAAGAATTAGACTTAGGAGTCTTTTAGTCGATCCAAAGAATTTGAAGAAATAGGAACTCCATACTTTGCTTTCCAGGATTGTCGGGCAAGTACCCTGATTCCGGAAATGTCCATCAGTTCAGAGACAATTTATTCAACAAAGTGGATATGATCAACGACGATGGTCGAAGGTGGGAAACCAAGCACGAGGAAATCCCTCCTAGGGCGGGGAAGTTACTGGAAATAGCTGATATGGATGCTGGATATTTTGGTTAGTAACAACTATTTTCGACGACCCTATCATATCTAATCGCCTCGTCTAGGGATACACTACAGACAGTCCGTATCAATGGACCCCATGGTTAGAATTCTTTTGGAGATTGCTATCGAAGCTATCATAGACGCCGGTATCAATCCTTCGGATCTCGAGGGATCCAACACTGGCGTCTATGTGGGAGCTTGCGTTAGCGAAACTGAAAAGTTTTGGTTCTACACCAAACTGCTGTCGAAGTACTACGCCATCACTGGGTAACTCTATCGTTTAGAACCGTAGATTGACGCCAACATGACCTTCTTCTCTAGCAACGTCAGATCCATGTTGGCGAATCGGATCAGTTACTTCTTGAAATTGAAGGGTCTGTCTTTTATATCGGACACTGCTTGTAGCAGTTCGCTATTCTGCTTCGAAAACGCCTACAAGGCGATCAGAATGGGCCAGTGCGACCGGGCTATTGTGTGCGGTGCCAACCTCTGCTTGCACCCCTGTGTGACGCTGCAGTTTGCTAGGTAAGGCTACGCAGGCATCGATAACTTGATACCAGAACAAGTCTATGACGACTCCCACAGTGAAGTATTCTGGAAAATTTTGTTCATCATTAGATCATTAATTTTTATACAAAATTTTTGTTGGCTAATAGTTCTATGTACAATAGACTTTTTAGTGTGGTGGACTGGGGCGAAGCTAGGCTATTCATCACATGAAATTTGACATTGGGTTGCTAATTGGGAAAACATGTTTTTGCTTGGTTATGGCCTGACGTAGAAAATTATTCTAGAATAATAGCGATTTGTAACAGGTTAGGGGTATTGAGTCCCGAGGGTTACTGTCGCCCGTTCGATAACGCCGGAAACGGCTACGTGAGATCCGAAACCATCTCGGCCATAGTCCTGGAAAAAGCTAAAGACGCCAAAAGGATCTACGCGACAGTGCTGCACGCGAAAACGAATTGCGACGGATACAAAGACTCAGGAATCACTTTCCCGTCGAGGGAAATGCAAGTCAGACTGTTGAAGGAAATTTACGAAGAGTATTCGTCAGTCAAACCGAACGAACTAAGCTATTTGGAGGCTCACGGTACCGGTAGGTGAATTTGGAACCAGCTGGTAGCGCGTTTAAAAAGAACATTGCAGGTACCAAGGTCGGGGATCCTGAAGAACTTCAGGCGATCGAAGATGTTTTTCTACAGGGTCGGAAGAGTACGTTGCTCGTAGGCTCTGTCAAATCGAACATTGGCCATAGCGAGCCTTCATCGGGCCTTTGTTCGATCACCAAGGTTAATACACTTAAGAGTTGTTAATTGTTTAGCACGGATTGCTGTTTGTAGGTTCTGCTGGCTATGGAAACCGGTTTCGTACCTCCGAATTTGCATTACAAAACGCCACGTCAAGGGATAAAATCTTTGGTTGATGGTCGACTCACTGTTGTTGCTGAGAAAATGCCATTCCAGGACAACAGAGGTCTAGTAGGTAATTGAGGTTTAATAAAAAATGTGTATTACTGCAATACATAAATCTGTAGGAGGTAACTATAGATATTACTAGAGTCTTTTTAAATCCTCCCCTAGGAAGCGGTTTTCTTAAAATATGTGTCAATATATTCTGGACAACACCTAACAACATACTAAAATCAAAATCATAGAGTTAAACCACTAGGTACTGAAGTAGACATGTCTATAACACCCACCAAAGTTGTGAAGATGATAATTGATCCCCAGGAATAAGCAGTTTTGGATTCGGTGGCGGAAACTGCCACATACTTCTGAAACACAACGAAAAGCACGTCAAAGGCAGTACAAAGTCTCAAGACAACGTCCCCATACTAGTCTGCGTCAGTGGAAGAAGCAAAGAATCAGTATTCGCTTTGCTAGACGATGTACTAGATAACAAATGCAATGTGGAACATATCGGTTTGCTGCATAACGTTTTTAGGTACTTGGGACCAACGTTGCGTTAAAGCGGTACCTTCTGCATTTAATTCTAGGAAGAACTTAATCGGTCATCTTTGGAGAGGTTATTCAGTGATGTCCAAATCCCGAGAACTCACCAGGTCTTGCCTCCGAATCTCTAGCTACGAATCGCGGTTGATAATAGCTTTTGGGGAAATCAGCAACGTGTCCAATAACGAGGTGACTGATTTTATGCGACTACCCTTTTTTGCATCTACCGTCCAGAAGATATCTGAATTCCTCTCGCCGTTGGGAGTAAACATTGCGAAGATTCTGGCCAACCCCAAGAACTCAGCTCCGAGCGACATTATCCTGGTAAACTTCTCCGTACAGTTGGCGATGGCCGACGTTTTGCAGGAGCTGCAAATAAAACCCGCAAAAATTGTCGGTGCTTCTATGGGAATATGTCTGGGTACGCTAGTGGCGTCGTACTACGATGGCGCTGTCACCATGAAGGAAGTTTTGGAGTGCGCTGTCGCCATATCTAAGGCCGCTAGCCAGGCTTACCAGAACAACGGTGTAGAAGAACAGTTAGGTGCTCTAATTTTCAAATCATCTAAAATATGTAAGTCGATGTTTCGAGCGAAGCTTACTCTATTTAACTTGTTATTCTTAGCTACCAAGCTTTCGGAAGAGTTGACCCAAATTTTGGGCAAACCCAGAAGGTTGTCCAAGAACGTGATCTTTGATTCGGGCCCGTCCGAAATATCTTCCTACTCTATCATGAACTCCCTGGGGAAGACGAAAATATTGAAAGATGTCGCACTGGAATTAAACCGGAGAACCGTCCTAGTCGAAGTGGGCAATGGTGCTTTGCTGAAAGCTCTTAAGAAGAAATTTAAGCATCTGGACGACGAGTTTTTCCTGGACAGCGTCGCAGGACTTCACGGACTACTAAGCTTTGTTGGCAGGTAGGTAGCACCAAAAAACAGTTGTTCGATTAGTTTTCGAAATAGTTCTTCGCAGGGTGTACGAGACGGGGCGTAATCCGCAAGTGCAAAATATATATCCCAAGGTACAGTTTCCTGTAAGCAGGGGCACGCCAATGGTTTCCCCGAAAATCGAATGGTTGCGGGAAAGGAAATGGTGGGTAACGAGGTACGAATGCAATCTGCAATATGGCGTCGAAGAGAAGATGTTTTGCATGTCGTCCGCCTCTGAATCCATGTATGAACAAATGTTAGGGCACGTGATTGATGGTGAGTATCCACTTCTTGAATCCTATTAACCAAATGCTCACAGATATTTAGACGACTCTTTACAGGAAGGAATTTATTTCCTGCTACTGGTTACTTGCTACTGGCTTGGGAGACCTTGGCTGATATCCAAGGTATCAGTACTGACTACATGAAGGTAGTGTTCGAGGACTGCAGGTTTTTGAGAGCTTGCACCCTTTCGGCGGAAGGTTCTAGGCTGTTACTGAAAGTGGCTATTCAAGTCGGCAACGGATTATTCGAGATCACGGAAAACGGAGTTGTAATGGTAACTGGTAGGATCTCTCAGAAGCAGGCCGAAGGGTTGCCACCAATATCATTTCCTAAAGGCGTGACAAACGAGAACGCTCCTGCAATGACCAGCAAAGATATTTACAAGGAATTAAAACTTAGGGGCTATCATTACAAGTGAGGTATTGCTGAGGGACTTAGGGTAGTTTACTCTTAGTATGTACCTCCAGGGGGAAATTTTGCGGTCTCGACAACTGTGATAATAGTCGTCAAGTAGGCGAGGTCCGGTGGGAGGGTAGCTGGGTCAGCTTCATGGACAGCATGCTACAGATAAAGATTCTGCAGGAGGATACTCGTCTACTTTACGTGCCCACACATATCCGGAGGGTGTTTGTCGACGCGAAAAAACATTTAGACTACGTCCAAACGCTCGGAGAGAATCCCAAGGTGCCGGTTTACGTTTCGAAGGACGCCGGACTCATCAGGTTTTAAAGGTTTAAAGGCAGGGTCTACCAGTGACTCTATAAAGATTAACTTTAGGTCCGGTTTCGTCGAAGTTAGGGGTATCAATGCAAGTTCGATAACCAGGAGAAAGTACTTGGGTACGCCTGTTCTGGAGAAGTACGTTTTTGTTCCGAACGTTGCTCAGCTTGGGCACCAGGAAGCTGTCAGAGTGAATATGCAAGTTCTTCTGGAAAACCTGCACAGCACCAAGGTGAAAGTGGTGGAGTTGGTAGATGAGCAAACTTCGCCCGAGACTGAAACTCTTGGCGATTTGATTTACGATGTGTTCGCCGATCAGCCTCTGATTCAACCAGACATTAAAATTTTGTCCGATAAAAAATTGGACACGTGCAACGTGAAAGTTGAGAGTGGAGAGCTGGTCACCCACACCGAGTGCGCGTTGGTCGTTGGGTCGAAAATTTTAGAAAGGCCCAAGATTTTACAGTTGGCGTTGGGGTCGATTCTGGACAAAGGATTTGTCCTTTCGAGAGAACCGGTTGACTTGGATCTTGATTCATACGACGAATCGTCGGTTACCATAGTAACTGTTTACACCACCGACATCGAGCGACTGGTATTCTTCAGGAAAAGCGCCGATTTTACAGCGCCTACCGTCGTCGACGTTTCGGACACTTCAGGCTTCCGTTGGTTGTCCAAGCTCCAAGCGGCCGTCAAAAACGACGACAACGTTTTAGTCTACAGTCAAAATTCACCCTTAAATGGCATTCTAGGGTTGGTCAATTGCATCAGACGTGAACCAGGTCTGCAAAAAGTCAGAGGCGTGTTCATAGTGGATGAGTATCTAGATTTCCATCCACAACATCAGATGCTCAAACAGCTGAAGAAAAACCTCGCGATGAACGTATTCAAAAATGGCACGTGGGGAACTTACAGGCACCTGCTCGTCGAACGATTGAAAGCTACTGATTTCGAGCACTGCTACGTCAACTCAAGAGTGAGGGGAGATTTATCATCGCTGACTTGGATCCAGGGCACCCTCAGCAGTAAAACCAGGCTATCGTCTGAACAAGTATTGATTTATGTGAGTCGGAGCGCTGCCGTGAGGATGTAAATTGCTAAAGGGTTCGGTTGCAGGTTTACTATGCTTCACTGAACTTTAGAGACGTCATGCTTGCGTCTGGAAGAATCAACGTGGACGTGTGCACGCGAGATCGACGAGAGCAGGAGTGCGTCTTGGGTCTGGAAGCTTCTGGAAGGACGGCGGAGTAAGTGAGTTAAACCGCGCCTTGTATAGGACTGACGCAAAATCTATTTTAGTGGAAAAAGGGTAATGAGTTTGGTTAGCAAAGGAGCGATGAGCAATTTGGTAGCTACCGATACTCTCATGACGTGGGAAGTACCAGATGACTGGTCCCTTCAAGAAGCCGCGACGGTACCTGTAGTGTACAGTACATGTTTGTTCGCCTATGAGGTGAACCTAGACTGCACCTGGGTCGTACAATGAAGCGATCGGATCTTTTTTAGGTGGCCAACGTCAAGAAAGGACACTCTATACTGATCCATTCGGGTACGGGGGGAATTGGTCAGGCTGCAATTTCATTAGCTCTGTATCTAGGATGTACTGTATATACTACGGTTGGCAGTAGAGAAAAAAGGGAATTTATCAAAGAAAGATTTCCGCAAATGACCGGTAAGTTACCTTATCAAACAAAATAAGTTGATCTTTAATCAGTATCTGGGATTTTTCATCATTTTTCTTTTGTGACCTTGCAGAATATATTTATCCCAGGTACTCTGGTACTTCCAGTAAATTGTGGCATTTTCTCAGATCAACATATATTCAATTCGCGCGATACCTCGTTCGAGAAGCAAATTATGAAGGAGACCAAAGGCAAAGGGGTGGATGTAATCTTAAATTCACTTGCCGAAGAAAAACTCCTGGCGTCCGTAAGATGTTTATCAAGAGGAGGGCGCTTCATCGAGATAGGAAAGTACGATTTGTCCGTGAATAATCCTATCAATTTGCTTCTCCTGCAAAAGCAAGCTAGCTTCCACGGTAAGTCAACCACGAAGCAATGTAGCGATTCATTATCCAGATTGTAGGTGTAATGTTGGATGCCCTATTTGAGCAGCCCTACCATGTGAAGATGCGATTTCATACTACCATCCATCAGGCGATAGCTGCGGGTGCCATCAAACCAATAGGCAAGAACATCTTCAGAGTAGACGAAGTCGAGCAGGCGTTCAGATTCATGGCCTCGGGTAAGCATACGGGTAAAGTTTTGTTGGAAATTAGAAAGGAAGAAGAAGAGAAAATGGCTAAACCGAAATCGACAAGCATCCCCGGAATACCCAGGTATGACTGTCCACGAAAGGGTGACGTGATCAATTGGAATGTTTATAGGTATTCCTGCGATCCGGATAAAGTTTATATTATCTGCGGTGGGCTTGGTGGGTTTGGCCTGGAATTAGCCGATTGGCTGACTCTCAGGGGATGCAGAAATTTGGTCTTGACGTCCAGGCATGGAGTCAGGACGGGCTACCAGGCATACAGAATATCGTAGGTGACGTGAAGAGTTTGTAAACTTTCCGAAAGTGTTATCATTTGTAGATTGTGGAAATCCTATATGTGTAACGTTCAAATTTACACCGACGACATTACCACAGCGGACGGTTGCAGGAGTCTTCTAACGAAGGCTAATAAACTTGGTGTTGTTCATGCTGTATTTAACCTGGCGGTTGTGCTGGAGGATTCCCTTTTGGAGAACCAGAACGTCGAGTCTTTTGCAACAGCGTTCGGACCCAAAGCCCATGCTACAGAATACCTCGACGCAGTAACCAGAGAACTGTGCCCGAACTTAAGGTAGGCTATCCAAATCCTTTTTACCTTAAAACAACTAAACCGTGTTTCGTAGAGACTTCGTGGTGTTTTCGTCCGTGTCCTGTGGACGAGGAAACATCGGCCAAACCAATTATGGTATGGCCAATTCGGTTATGGAGAGAATCTGCGAAGCACGCAGATGCGCTGGGTATTCCGCATTGGCCATAGAGTGGGGAGCGACAGGAGAGGTATGTTCAAATGGTAACCGTAAGATGCTGAGTTGCACGGTACTGCTTTAGGTAGGTCTGGTCGCGGAAATGCTTAAGGACAACGTCGAGATGCAAATTGGCGGTACACTGCAGCAAAGAGTTTCGAGTTGTTTGGAAGTGTTGGACATCTTGCTGCACCAAAACGACGCTGCTATTATATCTAGTATGGTGGTTGCGGAGAAGAAAACCGGCACAGGGGTGGGCGATAACGTTGTAGACGCGGTGGCTCACATTTTAGGCAAGGCGACGCCTTTAGCTTCAGCCAGAAGTAACATATATTCGTAGGAATTAAAGATTTGAAGTCGATAAGTCTATCGGCAACCTTGGCGGAAGTCGGTATGGACTCCATGACGGCCGTGGAAATCAAGCAGACGCTGGAAAGGGAGTTTGACGTTTTCTTGACCGCGCCGGACATTAAGACTATGACATTTGGGAGGTATTGACTCGATTCCACTCTTGCACGGTTACCATTGCATTCCGGTTATAGGTTACAAGAAATTCAGGCAGAGAAAGCTATCGAAAGCGAGAACACGTCCGGTCACAAAAAGTTGTGGGGGTTAGACATGTTGATTAAATTTGTTGCCAATGACGAGACGGTCGAGCTTTCGGTACTTCCTGTTAAAGGGAAGCAGTCGGAAAGGTCAGATTTGCCGGTAGTGGTACTGTTTCCGGGAGTGGAAGGTGTAGCTCACGTGTTAAGTCCCTTGTACAGTAACCTGGAAGCGGAATTCCTCGCTTTGCAGTACCCGAACTCCCGCCAGGCCGATACCATTGAAGAAATGGCGAGCGGAGTTTTGCCGGTAACAATGAACAAGCTTTAGCTAATATGTCAATTTTTGCACTGAGTATGGCACACCAATTTAACACCAATTGTTTTTTTTTGCACCTTCATTGTCAATATTACCAATATGTGCCAAATTGCAAATTGATTAGAGGCCTTTAGGTTTCGCGTTCATTTATACTTTACAGTTCGAAGACAACTTCCTCGCAAAATTTAATCATAACCATCGTTGCAGTTCGTTGAAGAAAACATCTCCACATCACAACCGTTCAACATAGTCGCGTATTCGTTCGGAGTGCTGGTGGGGCTGCAGGTAGTCCACGTGCTAGAACAAGCCGGATACCAAGGTAGGTTGATTTGTATCGATGGTTCACCGGAGCTGATGAGAAAGCTGGTCCAAATGTTGGACGCGGATTCCGATGAAAAGCTCCAGAACAGTCTCCTGATTCACATCACGATGCTTTACTTGAGTTACGATTTGATCACCAAACACATGGTGAGCTTGCTCAGGAGTCTGGTGTTCGAGCTGGATAAACTTGTTCGTAGGAAACTTTGCTTAAATGCAACACCTTCGAGGAGAAATTGGAGTTGGTGCAAAACGTTTTGGGGGATAAATCGTTCCAGTCGCCCGAAACGCTGAAACAGTCGATCACTGGCGTTTATAAGCGTCTGAGAGCGATCACTTTGTTCGAAGCCGATTTCCGTTTGAAGTCGACGGTGATGCTGTTCAAAGCGAGCCATTCGAGCATAGAGATGAACGAGGAAGACTACGGGCTGTCGAAAATCTGCAGCGCGCCAGTAACGGTGAGACAGTTCGATGGAAACCACTTGACCGTACTGGAGAATATGGAGCTAGCGCGAGCGGTTCAGGAATGCTGCAGTATTAGGCCGGATGATGTTTCATGAAGCTGTAATTGTTGTACATAATTTTTTAAAGTCGCATTAAACTTTAATTTATGAAGCCTCGTGGTTTTTATGAAAAAAAATCACTTTTGATCACTCTTCAAATTGCTATTGTAATTAGATGCAGCTTTTAGAAAGAGTTTTAATATTCCATCCATAAAGAAACGATTTAAAAAACCCAAGCGATTTTTTTTATTTTAAATCTACTATCAATCACCGTTAAGTACAATTTTGAAGCTGAGATGAATTCAAATTTTTTGTTTAATACTGTTTGTTCCATCTCTAGGGTATAGGTGGTCGCACATTTTCAGATATAAGTGTCGATGATTCGGAAAAGGCTTTACGTGAAGTAAACTGGCAGGTGGCGTTTTCTGAGATAAATGCGAGATATTAATTTTCTGCAAAAATAATAAATCCACCGATACGACTTGTTTTACGCAAATAAATAGCTAAATAAAGGTTAAACAACTTAGTGAAAGCCGCATTTCAATTTCTTATAATCACCACTTCTAATTTACTGTTTAATGGGTAATCCCGAATAAATAAAACGTTAGCAAATAAAATGTTATCTATAATTGCCTTTTTTCACTAGATACTATTAATATTGACGTCTCCGAAGCTTTCCTGAAGTAAATAGATTTTAAGTTGGTTGTTTATTTCAAAACCAGTATATATCTGGGGCGCCACAGTTTCGCTTTTCTAATTATATTAATAATACCGTTAATAACGCCTTTAAAATGCTTATTTCCATGACGAGAAAACCCCAGGACATCACATTACCAGCCTTCAAAGTCCTCATCTCAAATAGCCTCTTCTGTGTCTAGTCTCCCTTTTATGCTGTAAATGTAGCTATATAAATACGCATTTTAGGTAACTACAATAATGCTGAAATACTTTTTATTCTGCATATGGCGCGTATATCCGGGCGTCATAGCGGAGAGCTTATAATGTTTTGCAACATTTTCCAAAGAAAAGCTGCGGCCTCAGCAGCGCATATTCATTCGTTCAATTCATAGCGCAAATTACGGCATCAATAGTTTTATTTCTAAGGGGTGTTTTTTTTTCAATGTATAGAACTACAAGTTGCAATACAACAACGATGGATTATGGCATTACATTTTAAATAAGATTTCTGGCATATGACCGCCACAGCTGGACGTCCAATTTTCGATGAATTTTGCCAACATTTGTGGCCGCATATATATCGGCAATAACTCGGCGAATGTTGTCTTCCAAATGGTCAAGCGTTTGTGGCTTATCCACATAGCCCCACAGAAAGTAGTCTAGCGGTGTTAAATCACAAGATCCTGGAGGCCAATTCACTGGTCGAAAACGTGAAATTAGGCGGTCACCAAACGTGTCTTTCAATAAATCGATTGTGGCACGAGCTGTGTGACATGTTGCGCCGTCTTGTTGAAAGCACATCTCCTGGACATCATGGTTATTCAATTCAGGAATGAAAGAGTTAGTAATCATAGCTCTATACCGATCACCATTGACTGTAACGTTCTGGCCATCATCATTTTTGAAGAAGTACGGACCAATGATTCCACCAGCTCATAAAGCGCACCAAACAGTCAGTTTTTCTGGATGTAACGGTGTTTCGACATGTACTTGAGGATTAGCTTCGCTCCAAATGCGGCAGTTTTGTTTGTTGACGTAGCCATTCAACCAGAAGTACGCTTCATCGCTTATGAAAATCGGGAACAACGGCAATCTCGTTTTGGGCCCATTCGACGAATCTACGCCTTACTTGATGATCGTTTGGCTTCAATTCTTGCACGAGTTGGATTTTGTAAGCACGTAAACCAAGGTCCTTCTGCAAAATCTTCCATAAAGTGGATGGGATCCAATTCCTGTGCTCGATGGCGGATACGCTCTGCAGCAGAAATAGCTTCTTTTGTACGCACCGTACGGCGTCTCTGTGGATGCGAGTTATCAATAAAACGCGGTGCGAAAACGTTCCATGGTTAATCGAATTAACCGCTCTGATGGACGATTTTGTCGGCGATAAAATGGACGTAGTGCGCGATACGTATTCCGCACAGAACCATTATTTTCGAAATAAAATTGCACTATTTGCAAGCGTCGTTCAGGCGTGAGTCTATTCATGATGAATTGCCAAACCAAACTGACAGCTGTTAAATCTTGAATTTTTTTATACTCCTTAATTTAAGATTTGTTTCCCTTAGAATACTCAAACCGCAAAACCTGAATAAGCCTGCACCTTCAGTATTTTGAAAGCAGTCCTAATATTGGGTTGTAAAAAGTGGACATAATCAATATAATATTCGTTAATAATATAACGAAGAAAGCAAAAAAAAAAGCAAAATCATATGGATTTTAGTTAAAATAAAAGTCGGGAATTTTCCGAAAATAACATAATAATAATTTTGTTTGACTAGACTTGGCTTAAAAAATCACGATTATGAACAAAATTGTAACTAGATTTGGTTTAATTTTGAAGTCCAATCCCACTTTTTGCTAGAACCGAAAATGATCAGGAAATCATTAAAAGTATTAAACAGTATTAAAAAAGACAATAAAATTGTGACAACGTTGTAATCATAATTTTTTCTGTTGGATCAAACAGCAAACCATTTTGAGGGGATTTCATGGGAACCACTTTTATGACAAAAAGGCAATTAATTGCAAAACGTAAAGCCGCACTTCCGGTATAAGGTCCACAAGTTCATTGCCCGTGAAAAATTTTCGATAATTCTATTCTGCTTAGCCGAAATAGAAAAATTACCATAACCGAGTGTATTTAAGTCCGTTCGAAGTTTTTTTTCGATCGTTAGTTGGTGAAGTTAGTGTAGTTAGTGCAAATAATTCGGTTCAAACTCGTGGAGAAAAATTTGTGAGTCATGGTTGTCGAAAATGCGACATTCAGTGCCAACAATAACGACAATGGATTTAAATTTGGTCAATATTTGGCTCACCCTTCCACTGGCGAGGAAGTTGTCATATCAGGTAAGTGCGCCGTTAGCAATTCGCAATTTCTTACCCATGGGAGTTTTCGAATTTTTTTTTGTTTTCTTTGAAAATGATTTTTTTTTAATCAAAGTAAAAAAGTCAAGTTGCTTGGGGTTTGATATATAATAATAAATAAATAGTTTGCTATAGCAGAATTATTCATGGATTGTACGGAAACAAAATATTTATGAAAAATATTTAAAATTATGCTAGAGTATCTAAGCAGAGCTTTGGTAGAAATTAATTACTATTATTGCTATTATTATTTATTAAGAAAATCATAGCTAAAAATAAGGTACTGGTATTTGAATAAGTACATTTCTTAGCAAAATAATTTCTCCTAATAATAGAATCGAACTTTATTTGCACTATAAAATACAGTAATAAGCTAACGTACATATACCTAAACGTGAGTAGAAATAGTTATAGGAATAACAATTATTTTACAATATTATGGTTATCATACTATTATGTGAACAAACACTTAAAAATGAAAATAAGAAAAATATTTTTTTTTACAAATACAACCTCCTATTTTTCAAAAAAAAAGTTTGATTGCTATTAGCTATTGGCCAAAGAAGCTATGTGTATTTTGCAGTAAAATATTGTAATGTTGTAATAAGTAATGTTGACAAAAAGAAACTTAAAAAAAGTTAAAGATAACATTAGAATAGTTACAATCGAATAAATAAAATGTAAAAATAAAATTCAAAAGTCTTTTCAATTTGTAAATTAATAAAAAATAAAATCTATTTGTGTTTAATTGGCGAGGTGCAACTCACAACCAATATTAAGTAGTTGTAAGTTATAGTAAGTAGTTGTAGGTGTAAGTTTATGTTAGAGCCAACCTATGAACGGGCAGTATTTGCCCCCTATATCTACTATAAAACTATTTTTTATATAAAAGGAATTTTTGGCCACAAATATTTTTATTATTATTATTATTATTATTATTAAATACAAATTGGGAAACCAAGGTATTGTTAAGCTGGCTAACAGCATTTTTCTATTTCTTGTTTACATTACACGATTTTTTAAATTTTAAAGTGGATATAATTTTCCATTTTACTCTGAATAAATTAAAGTTTGCTATTATTAATTGCTTTAATATCAATCGGTCGACCACTCATCATAACGAAAAATAACATGGCGATTTTGCGTAACCAAGGGCTCTCTGGCGCATTCCCCGAGAGCAACAACGTCGAAGAATTCCAGAACAACTTATTCAACAAAGTCGACATGGTCACCGAAGACGAGCGCAGGTGGAAGCACACCCATCCGGAGGTTCCCAAACGTACGGGCAAGATTCCGGTACTCGACAAGTTCGACTGCGGTTTTTTTGGTAAGACACGCCCATTATCAGCTTTGGTTGCTACTTCGATACGCCCGGGCGTCCTCAGGGGTCCACTTACGTCAGAGTCACTCGATGCCGCCCAAAGCGCGGATCATGCTCGAAAAAGTTTTCGAAGCTATACTAGATGCAGGAGTGAACCCCGATGACCTCGAAGGATCGAACACGGGTATATTTTTGGGCTCCTCCTACTCCGAGTCTGAACTCAAGTGGTATTTCGAAAATCTGAAGCCGCAAACTTACGCCATCACAGGGTAAACGGAAGCGATGTTCTAAATCGGCAATTTCTCTCTACGCACTTTTCGTAGCAATGAGAAATCGATATTCGCGAATCGCATCAGCTATTTCCTTAAAGTCCACGGAATATCCATTAACATCGACACGGCCTGTAATAGCACGATGGCCGCGTTGGACGACGCCTACAGAGCGATCCGAACAGGCAAGTGCGACAACGCCATCTTGATCGGCGCCAACCTGGTGCTACACAGAAACAGCACGTTGCAGTTCGCTAGGTAAGCGGCTTTACTAAAAAACATCCTCGAAGCACCACTCTACAGCTTAGCTGAAATAGACTCGGTGTCCTGAGCAAAGAAGGCCGATGTAAAGTGTTCGACGAAGATGGTTCTGGTTACGCGAGGTCCGAAGCTGTGGTCGCTGCTTTCCTGCAGAAGTCTAGAGACTGCAACAGGATCTACGCGAGAGTGGTCCACGCGAAATCCAACTGCGACGGATACAAGGAACAGGGTATCACTTACCCTAATGGCGACGTACAGAAGAAACTGCTGGAGGAAGTGTACG